TAATTAGAGAAGACATTCCTCGTCAGAATCAATGCACACGCTACCTGTGCCTAATGATCACCTACTGACCACGCTGACAGCAATCATGAGCTTTTAAGGTATAAATACTCCTCCTAAAAGGCAAAGATGGTATGCAACAACAAACTCTCTACGACAATACATCTTTCTCAGTGTTTTCTTCTTCCTCTCTCTCATTCAAAGACTGACTAGACCGTCGGAGGGGATACGCCGGAATACACTCCGGCGCCCTTCTAACTTGTTCCTCTGTATTCCAGGAAACCCTTTCACCCACACAGGATCGTTCTTCCTTTCCCAGGATCTTTCGTTGCCGTTCCAGGTTACCGTCGTACCTTGCAGGCTGTCTCAAACAGCGTGTTTGGCCACTCAACCGGCTCACTCAAAGTTCACCAGGGAAGAGATCTGTTCCCGTTTTTATATTGTGCAGGATCTTGCCCGCACATTATTAATAATATTTTATAAATATAATAAACTAAAAAATTATGTGAGACTCGCAACAAAACTTAAAAAAACTGAAAAAAAAAGCTAAGCTCATCAAATCAGCTTAAATAAGTCTTTTTTGGGTCAAAAAAAATTATAACATAAACTAGTAAAAAAGTCGACCTGACTGATTTTACTCCAAATTCTTTAAAAATTACTTATTTAAACTAGATTCAAACATGCCCATTAACTTGACAACCCTTATAATGACAAATTCAACATGCCATGATTTAATACGAAACTATTAATAATTTATTATTACAACCCTCATAATTATTATTAGAATCACAAAAAGAGCAGAATATATTCTCTAAAAAAAGGGGTAAAGGATGGATCAATCCATCTTTACTTGGATAAGAATTGATCTCTCTGACTTTCTATTTCAGAGTATTAAAAGTGACCAACTAAACTGGACCCAATCAATTTCAATTATATCCATCTTCATATCATATCTTAATGGAGCCTATGATATATGGTGTGTATGAGCTTAGGCATAGGTTTCAACCGCCTACTATAATTTCTCAAAATTCAACCATTTTTATGACAATAAAGTTCTCTCCTAGTATCTTAAGTGGAACCAAAAATAAATAAAATAATCATAATAAATGATGCTAACAACCCTTATGATTTCGTGTAAATACAAAAGATATGATTGTGATTTTTTATATTCCATTATACTCCTTTCTATTTTGGGTTTATACTTTCATACCAACTCTCTGTTGTTCAATGGTTAAACCGTAAATTATCAACGTAATCCATAATTTAAACTCTCAATTTAATCCTTAATGCAAAAAAATATATATATATATATAATTAACCCCAATAAAATGTAATAGGGCCAGCAATACAATATCAAAAACTAGCATGGTATTTCTTTAAAGTTATGAAAAACAAGGGGTGCCAATATAATTAACCCCAATAAAAACAAATCTCTCCATTTGTGGCCAAAATTCTAAACTTCTATAACGGGGACGACAAGCTGTCACAATCATCCAATAGTAGATATGGAGGTAGGACCCATCTAACTAATTGTTGTTGCACTAATTAATTAATCAATTGACAGACCCGGCTGAGAATATCAGAGTAGGTGTCAACCTCAAGATTACAAGGTGTGACTATTTCTAGTACAAGACTAAGGTAAATAAAAATTTCGGTACCTTTTCGCTAAATTTTATATAAATTTTTAAATTTATTTACCGCAAAAAAATTTGTAATTTTTGAAGTCATATCATAATTTTTATAGTTCAAATTACAATTTTAGTGAATTATTTATGGTCAATCTTAAAAAGTTTTGGATCGATCCCGAATGACTTCCACGAGTTTATAAGTGATCCTCAAATAATATAATTAATAATTAATTTTTAAAACTTGTAAAAGACTTCAAAAGTAGTAAATTATCCTTAAAAATATAAAAATACATTATCCTTAAAAATATAAAAATAAACCACAATAATGAACAATAGGCTTCTCCTAAATTCAAGGAGTTGCCAACGGTACCCCCAAAAAAAAAAATTAGTATAATATTAACATTTATTATATTTTTGAGTGTTTTTATTACAGATATGATATTGAAAAAAAATGGTAAAAATAGATATCACAACAGTGATAAAAACACCAATAAATGTGATAAATCACTCACAAAAACGATTTTTTTTTTTTGGTACCAAAGAAAAGTGATAAAAACACCCATAAAATTAATAAATTTTTTGATTATAAAATGACCCACAAAAATTATAAAAATACCCATTAAAATAATAAATTTTAGAAATACAATACTATTTTTTTTTTTTAATTGTCGAAACCCTAATCAAGTCCTAGCTTGAAATGCCAATTATAAGGAATTCCGTACATTGACGGATGAAGTATATAACTTTACAAGTTAACCAACCGAATAAAGAGGTGGTGGTACAACTAGAAAAATAATGAGAGTCTCAAGTTTTAGGTGAGGGAGTTTATTAAATGCTTGAATGATTAAAGTTTGCCAAGCATACCACGCAACCACAAGTTGTATTAGTTAGTATTCACCAAGTTGGCTGGTACTGTGAGGGCAGTTGGGTGGGCAATCTTCTTTCTTTTCTCATTTCATTATCTAGCTTGTTTTCCCTCTTTCTAGATTGTTAATCAACAAAAACTTTTCGAGTGTCTTTCCTAACTAGTCCAAGGGTTGAATTGATTGGTATAGGATAGACCGATTTGTCTAATCCAGTCTTTTCTAATATTTAAACCAAACACATTCGAATTTTGACATGGTTAAGTTTGGTTCGAGAGCTTAATTGATTATTGAGCGTAGACTCAAACAATGATCAATTTTGAATTGGGTTCGAATGATCTGAATTGATTTTAAAATTCTAAAATTAATATACTTTATAACTCTTTTATAAATTCAATCCAATTATTTAATTTTTTTTAGATAAAATGACCACATCCGATAAATTAAATATATATATTTTTTTTTGGAAATACCGTAGTCCTCTCTTTTAAACTACGTGACATTTCTCAAACTGTATGCCAATTGTCAAGTGAATTTTCAAAGCTGTTCAACTCATAACTTCCTACCAGTGTTGTACTCGTACAAGACACTTGTGAACTTAGTCTTCAACAGGTGTGTCCAACACAATGACTATGTTTTCATCTCTGCTGCACTACCACCAATTTTCTCCATCAACAAGAAAGTTCTCGAAAGATTCAGAAGAGAACCATCCACCGGTTGGTTCAGTGGGGGGTAAAAATTATAATTTTTTTACTCAATGTTTGGATTTTTCATCGTTCGTTGAGATTAAACCTACTATTCAGTGTCCAGAATTTCTCTGTAAGGTCTTAATTTCAGGCTCCGATTTTGGTACAATAAAATTTTTTTACAGATAGTTGTGTAGTATTGATAAACAATGCTATCTGACAAATATGTAGAATAAATATCTATTTCATGTACCAAAAAAAAATAGGAGAGAGAGAGATAGAAAAGGGTCCACCACGTGTGTGTATGAAGTGTGTGGTTTTATGACCGAAAGTGAACAAGTATCCACCGTATGTATATTATTGCATGTGAGGTGTGTGGTGGTTGTATTAAAAACAAATACATAAAACTTATTTATTTTTGTTACATCATTATTCTTTTGACTATTCCTGTATTTTTTTTTATTACTATTGGTTATATTTTTATTATCCTAGTTTTCCATATAAACATAACACACCACATCACTTGAATTTTTATTTTTATTTTTTTGTAATCAAAATGAAATTAAGTTTTGAATTCAAAAATATGTTCATTTTGGTAACTCATTCAAATAAGAATGAATTTCGCCGTATCACTCTGCGTAGATTAGGCATACGAGCATTCCAGCCCATTTCAGTAGAAGGACACGCTATTTATTTATGTCTATTAGCCTGTAAAGTATTCAATGTAAAATTTGACAGGAATCAAATAGTTGTTCATTTACCTTTATCTTTGGAGGCTCACACAACCTAAAAGCTACTCCACAAAATTAAAAATTGTGTATTGATTGTACAATATTGATATTTTATATAATAATTATTTATTTATTTTTAATTATATAATTTAAAAATAAAATAAACAAAAAAAAATAAGAGAGGTAGATGTAATTTGATAAAATTATCTGAGATTAATAAATGTATTAGTTGAGTTGTGTGAGAACCATGAAGAAAAAAAAATATTTTTGGACAAAAAAATAATTGAAATGAATTTTATATAATTAGATTAAAGTAAATAAAAATTAGACTAATCTTGACCGTTGTTTTATGTTTATAAGTTAAGAATTCAACTTTCAAATTATAATATTAGATATATCAATATCGAGAAAGACTTATAACCTTAATAATTCAAACGAAGATCAGAACACAATAAAAGGAAGAACATGGATACCAAAAGTCCACAACCACAAAAAACTCGGGTTTAACTGGTGCATGATTATTGAACAATTATACACATTCATCATTTGCGTTGCAAATTACGACCATGATTCCAAAAGACACGTGACTAAAATAATTTTACTTTACCAAAAGAATATAAAATTTTTTACGGTAATTTTGGCGATATCAGTATCAAAAATTATAATTTTTTAATGTCAAGTTACAACTTTTTTAAAATGTAAGTTACAATTTCAAATGGCATGATTGATTATGAAATGTTGGGATTGATATTACGTGTTTCTTGATCGATCATAAATGTCTATGATCGATCATGATCTCCCTGAGCAATTTTAACTTTTCTTTTTTAAATTGTAACTTTACCGTACAAAGTAGTAATTGACAGTAGCAGTACCAAAGTAACGCAGAGTTTCCCAAAGAATATGGATGGATGCATGTATCACAGACTTCTAGTATCAAGCAAGGGCATTATATCAATGTCTCGATCTCAAGAGCCAGGCCATGGATATTCAAAAGATAATATATATCAATATATTCAAAAGCACTACGTATACATTTTGCTCCAACAAAACATTGATTATCTTCAACCACCCTACAAGGAAAAGATGGACAAATTGCTAATGCCGTTCTCTTCTTGTTTTAGCGTAACGAGGATCATGTTTTATCCGTTTTTTCCGCGGCAATAGAGTACAGTAACCAATCTTACTCACCAAAGTTAAGACACATGCAACAATCAAAACAGTTGATATTGAAATCATGAGTGGAAAACTCGGCAGGGGCCTGCTGCACATTGCTGATGTCTCCGTGCTAAGTGATGCAAATCCTTTTCCGGGTTGCCTTCGCCTGTAAATTGGGGAATGGTTAGAAGAAGATAATTCATAACAGGTGCATAAGGCTGATGGAACTACTGAAGTTTTCTAATAACAAATTCAGGATATCATATAAAACAAAATTTAGGACATGAAAGAACGATTTGGAAGAAACAAAAAGGGCGCAAACAGAGACTTCCAGTCAGCTTATTCGTAAGCAGGAGAACAAGAGGGATAAAGGGAGAAGGTGAGAGATGAGATGATGAGGGATGGCACCTTTGCCATTTCACCCCTCTCAACATCTACAGTAAGAGATAGAGAAGGGAAAGGGAGGAAGAGGGGGGGGGGAGAGACAGAGAGTTAAAAGCCCAAGGCTCTTCAAAAGCTATGCATCTCTTCAGACTATGATATGTTCCCCCCTAAAATGTCCATTAGTAGACATTAAAAAACCCTACCATGTGTTCTCTCCAAAAAGCCACTTTAAAGCAGCAAGGCCACCTAGGTCAAGCACTCTAATCAATACAGTTGGAAGTATTGGTTATGGTCTCAGTTTTTATTTGAAAGGATAACGTTTGGTACAAGAACAATTTGATGCCATTCTTCTAACATAAAGCAACAGCATACGACAACAAAGATATATACTTCAAAAGACCAATCCTTTGGTAGCTATTTCATGTGTCATGCATCAGAAAGATAGCACTTACAAACTCAGTGTCAACAATCAACTATATGATGGGCAAAGGAATTGTTTGTGTTTAAGCTTACATAAGCATAGATTGGGCACATAATGGTTTGAGATACATTCAGGCCATAAAAGTGTGGTTATCGGTCTATAAATCTCCAATTTTCATAGGGAAAAAAAAGGAGTGGCTAGCTGGCTCTAAATCACTGCTTGTTACAAAAATAAGTGCTGGAATATATAAAAATAGGAGAACAAATATTGAGATGGAAATCCATTAACAAATGCAATAAATAAGTTTCTAATTCTTATTCTTGAGGAAGTCTCACATAGGGGTTCATTATCCAACTAGATAAAACAGAATAACATAATGACCAAAACATTAACATACCCCAAGAAGTCCTTGATTGAGCTCCATAAAGAAGCACCACGTTTGCTTCCATGGCTTGAAGCATGGTTTCTGTTTCCTTTGTCAAGGTTGGCTTTAGGTGAGTCTGGAAAATTAAAAGGTAAAGAAAACTATTGAAAAGGACGAAGCTTATCTTCCTAATAGTTTAAAGTATCAACCTTCGACAAAATACCTTTTTCCCAACCTAAACACCCAACAGTAGAATAAAATCAAAGGAAAAAATTACCATCAGATATAACTGAATTTTCCTTGCATGATGCTGCCCTAAGTGAAGACAACTTTTCAACAAGAGCACATTCTTCATCACTGAAATTATCACAATCTCCAGCCAATTAAAATCAATTGCTAATGATAAGAATTATTATCATATTATGATGCCAAAACTTCCGGTAAGTAGCCACATTTCTAAATTGATACCAGATTATTAGTGTAGTAAATGACTGTCTGTAAAAAAAATTTCCTTTGAAGAGTAAAGGTTTGGTTTGGAGGAAAAAGAAATATATCAAATTTTAATTACATCAGAAGGTGAGTTCTCTCATCAGTATGGAGTGATCTAGTATATGGGACCACCAACCAATTAAAGGGCGACGCTCCCACCACTGCATGGCATGGGAGGGTCAAATTTATTTTTTGTTGAAATATAGTCTTGTTTATTAGGGTTTCTTTTCCCTTTTTAACCCTTACTATGATTTTATATTTTAGGTCACTTTGTATTATTTGACTATATATACGGGGCTTTACTCTTAGTTTGAGTAACCCTTTCACTCACATATATCTCTTGTTGGTATTAGAGCCACTAATCCTAAACCTAGCCTCCGCCAATCGTCAAAACCAAACAGACCCAGCCGCTGCCCCTCCTCCATATTGCATCAGCAACTAGCCACCAATCACTTCCCAGCAAGCATCCCAGTCCAACCTATAACCACCGACTGCCCAATAACCACACCAAGCAGCCACCACTCAAACAACAACCGAACCAGCGAAGTCGTCTCCGTGCCGAAACAACATACTTCACTAAGCCCACTGCCCAGACTTCCTATAACCACCGACTGCGCAGCCAAGCCCACTGTCCAGACCACCTATAACATATACCAACACCGAAAAATCAACACAAATCAGCCCAGCAAACCATCACCGACAGCAGCCCACAAACCCAGCGACCCATCAGCAAAACGACTTGCATTCAGCCTCCCATCAGGAAAACCCATCTACCTACCACCTTAGCTCACCCCAGAACAGTACCGACTGCTGCGAATTGAGAGTCTGAAACATTCCAAGTGGATAAACAGTGAGATCTGTAGCATTTTTTAAAAGCACCGACTGCCTCACTCCAGCCCATCACCGACTCAATAAACAAATAAGCAAAGCCCAACCAAAGCCCAAAGCCCAAACGAACCAAAAACCCAAAGCCGACTGCACCCAAAGCCCAACCAGCCCGGTACCCACTCTAGCGAACCAGCCTTCGTGTTTTACCTTCGTGCGCCACGTTCTTTGTCGTAGTGTTGCCATCTATTTGCGCCACTACCTTCTTTTTTCAGCCTTTTAAGAGGGGTTGAATCCTCTTATCCGTTGATCTGCTCTTGACGCAGTAGGTCCATTATTTATATTTCTTAGATTTCTAGGCACCGTGACCTGATTATTTAGGAGCTTTCTGGACCTTCTTTATCTGTCGCTATTGTTCGACTGGAGGTATATTGTTTTCCCTTATTTTATCTCTCTATTTATCTTAGAGTAATTTTTTCTGTCATGAGTGCCCACGTATTGTTATTGTTATGGCTACTACTGAGGGATTTGAGACCTCTACTGTTAGTACTTCCCCCTAGAATGTACCTCCTGGTTCTCGTCAGTGTAATTATTGTGGCCGACCAGGTCATCTCAGGACTACTTGTTGAAAGCTCTATCCGGAGCTTAAGCCGCCTCCCCGCAGCCGTACTGCTGCTATTGTTGAGGTACCACCACCTACTGTCGCTGTTCCTGCTGCTGCTCCTCCTTGGCAGAGTTATATGGATGCTATCATTTCCCAATTGGATATACTTATGTCCGCCCTGACTTCTCAGGGTCCGACTACTGCTACTTCCACCACTACAGGTATACCTCGCGCCTTTCATGCTTGCGCCAGTTCGTCTCCTCTTTGGATGTTAGACTCGAGTGTGAATAGTCATATGACAGGCGAGACCCATCACTTCACCACTTTTGACGAGCAGTTACACACACAGGGTCAGCTAACTGATGGGACACATGCCCCTATTGTTAGTTGGGGTACAGTCTGCCTCCCAGATGGCTTTACATTATATTCGGTTTTTCATGCGCCAAAACTGGTAATAAATCTATTATTCATACATCAATTAGCCAAAAATTTTCACTTTGCGGTTGTGTTTTTATTTGATTCGTGTTATTTGCAGGACCTGAGAACCAAGAGGATTATTATCAGGGGACATGGGAGAGATGAATTGTATTATCTAGGTGATCCACCTCCATCATCTGCACCTGCTTTGTCTCTATCTGTTCCTAACTTGCATGCTAGTATTTTGCCTAGTACTTGTCGTTATGATTTTTCATCAAAAACCGTTCAGTTATGGCATGACCGTTTTGGGCATAAAAATTTTAAATACTTATGTATGTTATTTCCTGCTTTGAGCAATACTTGTGTTGGTGGTAAACTTGACTGTATTATATGTTCCCTATCGAAACATGTCCGAACCAGTTATATTCCTCGCATGCACCAATCACCCAAGCCATTTGACCTAATACACTCTGATATTTGAGGACCTTCTCTTGTTACTGCTCTGTCAGGTGCTTCATACTATGTGACATTTATAGATAATCATACCCGTTGTACTTGGGTCTACCTTTTGCATAGGAAGTCTGATATACTCCCTGTCATCACTCAGTTTCTCCAGATGATTAAGACACAATTTGATGTTATTGTTCGTGCTCTTCGTTTGGATAATGCCAAAGAGTATGTTTCTGATGCCTTAGTGTCTCACCTTTCTACTCAGGATATCCTTCAGCAGCTCACTTGTCCACATACTCCTGAGCAAAATAGAGTTTGTGAAAGGAAAAATAGGAGTCTAATAGGGATGGTACGTTGTATGCTTAGAAATATGGGGGTACCAAGATCTTATTAGCATTTTACTGTTTTGACTTCTATTTTTCTGTGTAATCGTACACCGAGTCGCGTTCTTCAGCATCGGGCTCCCTTACAGGTCTTATTCACTAAGCGGACACTTTTTTCGGTCCCCCCTCGTGTTTTTAGTTGCACATGTTTTGTTCAGAATCGGTCTTCTACTCGTCATAAGCTTGATAATAAAGCGATTCGTTGTGTTTTTGTGGGCTATTATTATCAGTCTAAGGGGTATCGGTGTTATAACCCTAACAGGTGTCATATGTATCACAGTCTAGATGTTACATTTCTTGAGCATATTCCTTATTTTTCCTCTAATTGATAATACTCCCTTTGATTTTCCGTTACCACAGGAGCCAGAGCCATTAATCACTGTCACTATAGAGTCATCAGTCTCTCCTCCACTAGAGCCACTTGTCCCTGTCAGTACAGAGTCACCAGTCTCTCTTCCTTTGCGGGTTTATGTTCGTCGCCCTCGCTCTCATCCCCCTGTTGATGTCTCTTCTTCCTCAGGCGATGCAGATAATACTTCTCAGTTCGGTAAGCATATTGATACACCTGTTGTTAGTACTGATGAGATTGCAGGTATTGATTCAGTTACTTTCCCTGATGAGACATTGTCAGTGGAGGATGATGATTTAGAACGTCGTTATCCGCAGCGTGATCGCCGTCCAGTTGTCCGTTACGATTAGACTGCTCAGGCTTTATATCCGATCTCTACTTATGTTTCTTATGGTGATCTTTCTCCTACATTTCGAGCTTATAATGTGGCCTTATCAGATACACCGGTTCCTCGCTCTGTTTCAGAGGCTATGCAGGAGCCCAGTGGGTTCTTGCCATGCACACGGGAATGGACGCTCTTCAGCGTAATCATACGTGGGATCTTGTCTCTTTACCTTCAAGGGTGAAGCCTGTTGGCTGCCGCTGGGATTACACCCTGAAGTTTCTTGCGGATGGTACTATTGATCGTCACAAGGCCAGACTTGTGGCGAAGGACTTTACTCAAGTACCAGGTCGTGATTTTGGTGCTACCTTTGCCCCCGTGGCAAAATTGACTACTGTTCGATTGATTATTTCTTTGGCTGCGAAGTACTCTTAGCCTCTTCATCAGTTGGATGTGAAGAATGCATTTCTTCACGGTGATCTGGATGAGATTATTTATATGGATGTACCACCAGGCTTTCGTGGTGAGGGGAGTATGCTGGAAAGGTATGTCGACTGCATAAGTCTCTTTATGGACTGAAACAGTCACCACGAGTCTGGTTCTCTTGCTTTACTGATGTAGTTGTACGTTTAGGATTTACCAGGTGTCATTCTAATCATACTTGCTTCATTCGACGGAATACTTCTGGACAGTGTGTCATCCTTTTGGTATATGTTGATGATATTATTATTACTGAAGATGATATTTCTAGGACTGTACAGGTCAAAACAGACCTTGGGAAGGCCTTCGATGTAAAGGACCTTTGATTTTTGCGATACTTTCTTAGGATTGAGGTTGTCCGTAGCAGCAGGGGTATTGTTCTTTCTTAGAGAAAGTATGTTCTGGATCTTCTCTCAGACATTGAGATGCTGGGGTACAAACCGGCATCATCACCTATGATTTCAAACCTGAAGTTTACTGCTGAAGGTAAGGAGTTGAGAGATCCGATTGTTTATCAGAGGTTGGTAGGTAGACTTATCTACCTAGCCAACACTAGGCCAGACATTCATTCACTGTAAGCCGAGTTAGTTAGTTCATGCATAGGCTGTGTCAGCCTTATCTTGATGCAGTTCATCATATTCTTCGGTACCTCAAGTCTTGTCCTAGACTGGAGTTGTTTTATGCATCAGGATCTCAGACTGATTCTCTAACCTGTTATTCAGATTCAGATTATGGGGGAACATGTGATGGTCGATCTACTACGGGCTTCTGTGCTTTTTGAGGGACTCATCTTATCTCTTGGAAGAGCAAGAAGCAAACAGTTGTCTCTCGTTCGTCAGCAGAGGCAGAGTATCGGACACTGGCACTTGGCACATGTGAGATTATATGGCTACGATCGATTCTTGGTGAGTTGGAATATCCAGTAACTTCTTCATCTACATTATATTGTGATAATCGATCTGCTATTCAACTCGCTTCTAACTCTGTATTACACGAGAGGACGACGCATATAGAGATTGATGTTTACTTTTTTCGGGAGAAAGTTCGCTGTGGTATTGTCACTCTATTGTTTGTGGGGACCAGTGATCAGATTGTGGATGTTTTCACCAAACCTGTCACTCTATCTATTCTTCGGGACTCTGTTGTCAAGCTTGACTTAGTTGATATTTTTGCGCCTAACTTGAGGGGGAGTGTTGAAATATAGTCTTGTTTATTAGGGTTTCTTTTCCCTTTTTAACCCTTACTATATAACTTTATATTTTGCCTAAAACATAAGGATGTTTAGGTCACTTTGTATTATTTGACTATATATACGGGGACTTTACTCTTAGTTTGAGTAACCATTTCACTCACATATATCTCTTGTTTTTCCTAAAAACGTGTCTATGTATAGCTCATTCTTTTCCATCAACAATTTAATTCCTAATGGTAAATTGGCCATCCGTCATCCAAAACTATAATAGGAACTAGGAAGACATCAGTCCTCGTGAGAATGTTAGATCTGTACCCAGTTTACACGTCCCAAAAAACGCATGCATGACCATAACCACACCAAGCAATGGCATATCGGGATTATAAGTCAGAATCCCTACTTTCAGGCCCCCTTGTCACTTAAGTATTAAATCCAGAATCTAGATATTGTTTAACTACATGGTATAAATTCGTCAATTCCATCCCTAAGCTTTCTCACAATTTACAACTTCCTTTTGACCTTTATAGAACTTTTACACCCCACTTGTTCAAGCTTATTGAAGAATACCCATGACAAATCCAACCTCTGGTTTTTCTTGCAATATTTTGTACAACTCGTGCATAAATTCGACATAACAATATAAATTTCTAACTTTGTCTGAAAATTATCCTGGATTTCCAAGAATGCTGAAACCTGATTATTCGTTGATACGCTCAACGCGAACAAAAGCTGATATTATATCAAAAATAGACAATAATTTTTTAACCATTTTTGGAATTTTCATACTAAATGGATGTGTACTCCTTTCACAATGAAATATATGCAAAAACTATATTAGGCAATCATTTTGATAGTGTACCACTAGCGAAGAATGAAACTGCAATTTCTGGTTAACTATTCTAGTCATTGGGCAAGACAGCTTAAACAAAATACACACCAATAAAAATTCGGATCGCCTGAAACTCAAGCTACTGTCTTTGACAATTTCACAAAAAGATATGCAAAACTGTAATAGAACTCAAACCTGAGATTTTGCGGGATCTGAACATTCACAATAAAATGATGATGACCTCGCACAGAGGGCTTACTGATATCTGGAACTCCCATGTATGACATTTTTACTGTATCTCCAGGCTGAATCCCGGAAGGAATCTGGAGATCTCTCAGGCCCTCAATGGTTTCCACCTTTAATTAGCACATTGTGAAATTTATCAAGCAATTTAACAAGAACATTAACTTTCAAGTACTGAAATGCAGTTAGTCATAGTTTCTGTAAAATTAAATGATCATTTGTGCTTGTAACCCCAACAGTCTTTAAAGAGAAGAAAAGACAGAATTGGTGATGATATACTAAAGAAATGATGTGTATTTGAGTAAGTGAAATGCTGATGAGAGAAAAAATAGTATGAAGTAATCTGAAAATTCAGAAAACAAATTACAAATCTCAATTAGTGTTGAACACAAACTGCAGAGTAAAATAGATTATACCATTCCCAAGTGCAATTTTTACATATCCTCCCCACACAGTAATATTATGTAACACTACTAAAAAAAAACACTCGAACACATGCATGATGTATAAAAGCATTTTACATTGGTAGAGACATATCAAACCAATTTACGAGGCAATTAGTTAAATACAAAGAGGGCTCTTAGTATTTAGGGGTTACCAACGCCAGGGGTGACCAAACATGGGTATGGACATTGGATTTGTCACGTAAATCTACCATGGGGACGTTGGATTTGGCAAGCAAATCTACTATGGAGCATGGACATTCCACCAACAAGGCTACAAGACAAAAAATAGAGACATGAACTCCCATCAAAGTCTCGTAAGATACCATTTAAGTTTGTTCCTTTTGTTCCATGCTTTACTATGATAACAAAAATTACAGATCATCACAGAACCACACCCAGCTACATCCAGCGACAAGAACAAGAACTGCTTCCTCGTCTATTCTTACCCTTCCTCCTCTCCTCAGCTGTCCAACTAGATACCTGATCAAATATCAATATCAAAATACCAGAAAGTTTGATCTCATCTTTATACCTCATTCAGTAAAAGAATTGAACCCAAGCCAAGGAACTAAGTTTCGTTTTGAAACGTTTGAAACGTTTTCGTTTCCATAGAAACCGAAACGAATCATTGATTGAATATCAAAATTCCGGTAATTCGAAATATTTCGAGGTGTTTCGGAATGTTTCGACCTATGTTTCGGTATATTTCGATTAATGTTTTGAAAATAAATTTTCAAATTTTTATTTATTTCCATCTTATTTTCAAAATGTTTTTGAAACATTACTGAAACATTTCCATTTCCAAGCTTACCGAAACTGTGCCCCAAAACGAAATTTTGATCTTTGGCCCGAACAATGGCTTGATCACCATGTCACACTTGTGAATATATATAGAATATTATCTACTAGTTTGTATATATCATAAACATACAATGTTATATAGATATATAGAGATATATACATACACGTGCACATACACATAAGTTTATATATAAGAAGCCAACGTTAAACATGAGCCTGAACTTGAGTTTAAGCTCAAAGCCAAACATGAGCATGGTTCGTTTAATCAAACGGGTCAACCTGTTCACAGTTTGGACAAAAGGTTAACGAAAAGAGCTAAAAAATGATGTTTGAAGCTTGAATTGATCATGAGTGTTCATGAGCCTGAACCTGAGTTTAAGCTCAAAGCCAAACTTGAGCATGGTTCGTTTAATCAAACGGGACTACCCAATTCACAGTTTGCACAAACAGTTAACGAAAAGAGCTAAAAAAAGATGTTTGAAGCTTGAGCAGACCATGAGTGCTCTTTGTGGACGAATGTGCCAATCCCAAACCTTTTGGCACTCGTATCAGTTCAGATCATTTGCACCTCTAGTCCCAAAACTTTCATAATACAAATCTGATGCCTAGAGATGCCCAAAAGCCAACATGCATGCATGAGCCCATCGGACATAGGTTATCTCAAGTTATGCTGCTGTTAAAAAAATAAAAAAGAATTGACAAATCAACTTCTTGCAATGACATTCTCATCCGTAAAGTTATAATACTTACATCAATTTGATCCTTCAATTCATATCGAGGGAACTTAGTTCTTGTATCCTCTTTATTAACTTTGATGTTGGAATGATCTGGATGACCGAGTGAGCTTCTATTATTGTTCCATCCACTTACTCCCTCCTCCCCCTCCCCTCAAATCCTCTCAAAACAAGGACAACAACCAACTATAACAGTATTTTAAACTTGATTTTTGTTGAGTGTTGTATTTTATATGTGGATGTAATAAGTATACTACTCATGTGTATACTAGTCTTTTTTCTATTTGATTTTGATACCTATATTTAAAAGTTGAGAGGGGTGAAGGATTTTTCTCTTCTTCCTCTCACATAGGTCTTTCATTTATCTCTCTTTTTTTTTTGTTTTTTTTTTTTTAACTTAAACAATTGTTAATGGTACTCGGCTTCATAGGTGTTTCAGATGAATAATTTCCATATCCTAGGTGCACATGCCAATGGTCTTATGAGGTTTCCAATTCTACTCAGATAGTGTGACTGAGACACAAGAAATGGATAATTTGCATGAGTGAAAAAATGCACCCTTGTAATACATGAATCATTATTTTAAGACCACAAAAAAAAAATCATCCTGGAAAATTTATTATTAATTATAGGGTGGTAGGCTTACCTTTCAGAACTCAGACTTTCTAATCTCTCTTTATTTACTTAATGTTTTTTCGAAATCATATCTAAAGGAATTCTCTAGATGAAGCTGATCTGGGGGAGAATGGAGGAACTTATTGGACAATCTGCCTAACTGTTGGAGAACAAAAAAAAAATGATTTAATTGTTTAAGGAAACATCTACCCATCGACATTAGTAATCAATTATGGTATATCACTGACTAATTAGATCGTAACATTTATTAATCTAATATCTTAAAAAATTGGTTCAACTAAATGAGAAGGCTAGAACTGTTACATATGACATTCAGATAACATAATTATCTACCTGAAATTGTTGACAGTAAACAAAGTGGTGGAGAAAGAAAGAAACGAAGAAGATCCAAAGAAGTATGGTAATTTTCCACTCCACATATACTACAAGTCTCAGAATTTTTATTACCTTGACGACAGTCCCTAGTATTGCCTCTGTAAAATCAAGTTTTACTTCTGAGTACAGATTTAGACCATCCCTCCAAATACCATGTTTTTCCTGAACATGGAGGACTAAGTATAGGTCACCAGATATTCCCCTGCATAGAAAATCCCAGAGTGAATGCTTGTTTGGAAACATATTCACAGTTTAAGGTTCCTTTCCAAAATAAAGAACAAAGAAGAGAAGAATTTAATGGGATTGGTAGCTATAAGATCACATGGATTGCAGAAACCTTTTTCTAGTACACTAACACAGTTTCTCCATATTCCCAAGTTGCATTCAATTGAAGATTGGTAAGAAAAAAAAACAGCCAAAACAACCCAGAAAACTAAACAAGTTGAAAGAAGCATTTGATAACAAACAGATAAAAAGATGAGAAAATGTGCACATTAGCAAGATGAAAAATGAGGAACAGATGGTCAGAGAGAGAGAGAGAGGTCTAGACAAACTTTCAAGGCAATGCAGACAGACATAGCTAAAAACATAGTGTGCAGATGTTTAGATCACCAAAAATAAAAGAAAAAGGAAAACGAAAAATAATAGCTTCCTCCACAGGCAAAAAAAAAGCCTTGAGACCATCTATATAATATTACACATAGTCCTGTTTACATAAAACACAACAACGGCTCATATCGTTTAGATCCGATTTTTTATATTACGCTTTATATTTAATCTTCTAACCGCAGTAACTCATTTAAATTTAACCTTCTAACCATAGTAACTCATAACTCATTTAAAATTTAACTACATGCTCTAGAGTTCAGACCAAAACACAAACATGTTAGCATGGCTATTTGGGGAATAGAAGTCAAAACAACAGACTTTCAACGAATACTTCGTTATCATAAATGCCCTCTTCTAGTCTCCCATATCCTTCTATGAGTTGCCAGACAATCTAGTTACTGCAATATGACAGACCATCCCTTCCCCCAACCCCCCCCCCCCCTGAAAACAAAAGAAAAAACGGATAACGGAAGAGCCAACCATCGTAGTTGGTGCAATCTGTAAGTAGTGCAGAGGTTATTTAGGGGTAGAAGGAAAACCAATCCCCACTGGTACAGAACAGCTACAGTCCATAGAGGTAAAATGTGGTCAATAGTCATCCAATTAAAAGAGCTACTACTTGATTTTACAAAAAAAATCACATAGCTTGGTATGAATAGGTCCACTTTGGTAAAGTAATGTCGGAGATGAGGTTAGCAACAGTCCAGCCCTTCTAAAACCCTGCGTTGTGGGGCAACAACTACATTGGGTGATGGACTCTTCCAGACATCAGTTAAACCACCATCGACCATCTGTTGTAACAAATTAAACTATTAGAAAAGGTGTAACTTAAGAATTTATATATTTCAACACACCCCTCACATACAGGCTAGATTTTGGGCCAAGCACGCTGAAAACTTCTGATTGTCAAGGTGGTGGCGAGATATGAACATAGGACTCTGCTTTGATACCAAATTATACCACCTATTACTCTCAAAGGTTACATCCTAGACCTCGACTTTTTTCGAGCTTGGTAACCTCTAGTTTGATCAAGAAAACCAGCTATTCGATGAGGCAACAACTATTCAACCGGAACCAGAAATGTGGATCATTAAAATCGGCAAAGCTTTCAGCCTCTTTGTTTTTTTTTTTTTGATCACTAGATCTAATATTACACGATGGAAGCAAAATTTCCCCTTTTTCTTTAGTCAATAAAAGAGAAGTTTCATTTTAATTGCACACCTTTTCTTGTCAAAGTTTCCCTCCCCTTGAACTTGCATTGTGGCTCCATTATTAACACCAGGTGGAATGACTACTTTGATACTTCGCTTTGACTGCAATAGACCCTTGCCACCACAACTTCGGCAATGATCAATGATCATCTTGCCATCACCACCACATTTTGAGCAAGTAGATACCTAGAAAGCATAGAGTATCATCTACACATCATGTCAAAAAAGGAACTGAAATTTATTAAAAGCAGATAGCAAGCAATCGTTGGTTTAGGCTCGATCAATACTTGTAGGCACCAAAGAAACAGTATTCATCAATTCAAAACACAAAATGTAAAACAGGTGACTTGCAAAATTTTGAAATTGTATCAACAAAGTCTCTGCGAACCTCCCGCAAGTATTTTTTGCAATTTCATCCGCATATTTTAACCTTACACCTTAGAATGAATTCATGCAACCAAGCCACTAAACATTGGCCTTTTGTTTGATCCATCTTTTAGAGAATCAAAATATAAAATTCTATAGCCAAATTCCAGTAAACTAAGAGTATATCTTCTCTTCCTAAGACAGATCAGTATACGTCCAACACTAAGCATGTCCATCACCCAGCTTAAGTCATCAGTCGAGGTGCTTCACATTAATGCCATCCATGTAACATAAGCTCACATGTGGAAAATCTACACAAGTTTAGTATTAACATCTAGAAGATGTAAACAATTCTCATAATGGACTCTTACATAATAGGAGATCCTATGTGCTTGTGCAAAGAGGCAATCACAGTTACACTACCCAAAAAATAGCCTTCGGAGCCTTGCCGTATCCATCATAAAAACACTAGAGAATGCTTGCTTTCTGCCAGATATCAAAAAACACAAACATTAATTACATTCCAACCTATAAACCAAACTCTCTATGGATTCCCAGCATCAATGATGTGTTTTGAATCACTTACCCAATTTAGCATTAAACCAAACAAGTTCAAGTGTGGATATAAAGTAAAAGCAGCACTGGAGGAGTGAAGGCGACCAACTGACCAACACATACTATATAAACTTAAACTAAAGTGAAAATAACAAAAATTAGTTGTGACTTCCTACAAACGCAATCCGGGTGCAATATTTGGGCTGACTCTGAACTTAATTAACTTCCATGAACAAAGAAGACTACTGTTTGTATCCAAAATCATCGTATTGAAATTATAAGGATGGACAACCTCCAAGCTGTATCCAATTCATACCAAATATGTTATCTCAGAATCTCTTATGAAGATTACTGGACCAAACAAAAAACTAGTTTACGTTTCACTAAGTTAATCAATATATATGTGGGTTGTGGAATATGCATATTTTGACCTGGAAATTATCAAGTACATATCATCAAACCAGCAGAAGAACATTTAGCATATTCCATAAGCCACAAAGCACCATCATCCACATTTAAGGCTTATGCCATATTTCCGGATAGGGTTTGCTGATTCTGTTCCAATCATCTCACTCTATCTGACGCCAAGATTGGGTTACTCCGTTTCAACCATTTCACTCTATTTGAAGCCATATAGTTGGTTAATTTGTGTTTTTCCAAATTTTCCCTCACCATTACCATAATCGCATGTGTTTCGGAAGTGAATGGTAAAGATCAAGATGAGTTTTATATGCCAAAAACAATTATTATTTGCCAAATAGAACTTTCTATCCAGATTTTTATCATGCAAATGACAAATGCCTAGCCTGCATTTGTCAACACAGATCAAGCAGGGGGTGCCAGAGAAAGGGGGGGGGGGGGGTGGACCAAGACTGTTGTATAAGAGTTATTAACACTTATCATAGTGCTACAAAGGAGACCATTGGAAATAGAAAAGAGAAAACTCTTGTGGCTTCGGAAACTTTTAAACAGAACAGCACCTAAAAGTCTAATTTCTGTTGGTGCAATACCAAAAAGCAGCAAATATCGGCATCTTGTTTTTAGCACTTTCAGGAGAGGAGAGGAGAAGGGAAAAAAAGGGGGAGGGGGGTTCAACACAAGACCTGAGAACCTAGAGCATCTGCCCAAGAGATGGCTAGAGGACATGAATCACATAACAAATGAAACTGTACACAGCCGACTATTGAGCAATTATAAATCAATCTCAAGGACACTATTAAGTGGAGTTACCTGAGTCATTAATCCAAAAGGTGTTTTCTGAGTTTTCGCCACTCCTCCTCTACCTCCACAATCAGTGCATGATTTTACACAGCTGCTGGATTTTGCACCTGTTCCACCGCAATTATCACATGGCTCAAAACAAGAAACTTCAATGTCCTGCTCTCCTCCAAAAATTGACTGTTCAAAACTCAAAAAAAGGTCATATCTGCAATTTAAAGAAAATTTGAATCAGCAAATTCTATACTTGGCATGACAAAACGAGGAAAGCATACATGAAGAAGATAACGACACTAATCGATGGATAAGGAAAAGAGAAAAACATAAAACAAAAACTTAGGAGGAAATGATAGCACATACAGTCCATTCCAGCTTCTAATTGTAAATAAATTAGCCTTGGCAAAATTGAAGCTACGAGGTTAAAGCGCAAAAATGTATCTCACAATCCTCCTCTTCTCATGAAGGTGACAGGGTCACTAAGCAGATAGATTACAACAGAGAGAAATGATAAATTGTTTTCTTTGGTCCAGAAAAGATTTAACTTTCACCTCCAAACTTATGAGAACAAACAACCTTATTTTACACGGTGATACCTTTTTTGGAAAAATCTTATTTCTACAATAATCTTTCGTCACAAGTATTATAGGATAATCTCAAATCCGAGGCAAAAAGAGTAGGCAAAATTTGAAGTATTTGATGAAAATATGTATTTTCTTTGACGGATCCATTTCATCAACTAACTCAAGCCTCCAACAGGAATGCTTCATGAATCTTACCAGAGTGCTGAATCCCTACTTTCAAGATTGGGAAAGAATAGCACTAAAGCATTGAAAATTAACAACTCAGTAGTTCAAAGGGAAATTGTTCCAGAAAAAACTCTTTCCAGAAAATTTTGTAAGTGGTAATATTTGTTACTTGTTAGAGCATCCAACCTAAAATTAAATAGCAATGAATGGAATGGCCCCCTTAAATATATAAAACAACCTTGGGAGTGGGATTCAAGCTCTCTTTACACTCTCCCTCACATAGGACTCCGCTCACAAATGGGTAAGAGATTTGGCCCACTGCTCACCTAAGGCCTAGCTTTGATACCATGTTAGAGCATCCGACTCAAAAACAATTTGCAATGAATGTAGTGACCTCTCAAGTATATAAACCAACCTTGAGTAGTACTAATCATTTGATGTGAGATACAAACTCTCTTTATACCACTGAGCTTTATTGCATATTAACAAAAGAACCCTGAGTTTTCTACTCAACTTTTGGTAATTTCAATTATACCTTCTTTCCTGTTCAAAAGAAAAAAATTATACCTTCTTTGCTAAAAGTGCTTTAGAGAGTCAAACTTCGGGGGAGGGGAAGTGGGGCAAAGACAATGTGGAAGGATTCCCTCAATGCTTCATTTAATGTATTTGGAAGGGAAAGAACAGATCAGCATCAGAGGGGTGAAACTTCCAAATCTTAAATTTAAAACACTAGTGATGTAATTTACAATTTTCTGCAATTATATAATCTGCACTCCCACTTTAGATTCTTGGGTGGACATCTTTTGGAGAAATTATATTTACTTGACGACACCTAGGACAGTTATTTGTGCACACACACGACGTTTCTCTGCCCCTTTTAGTGCCTTCTAACAAATAATACTTTAGTTCTACAAGGAAAAAAAAAATCTTCAGTGCGAAATGGGCCCTCAATGTTCCAGACACCATAAAGGTAAAGGCATGCTACATAGCCCAGAAGAATTGAGATAATATATTGAAGAATGATAATGTCATCATATTTCAGGTTACAAGAGAAAAAGAGGGGGAAGAATTTATAGCCTATAACCAGCTTACAAAATTTTGGCCTCACAAGTCTTCTTTAAGGCTAATGAGGTTCATGGCTATTGTTGCAGCAATTGTTATCAGAGTAATGCATGAGGAATTGCAAAATGTGCTTTGTTCGCAAGATTTTTTTAAAAAAAACATCATTAAAACAACACAAGAAATACAAATTAAATGGAAGGACTAGCCAAATACTTGTAAATTTTCATCCTCGATGGGTTGAATAAGGTCAAAATCAAAAGCCATCAGTAGGTTCTATGTGTTGATTAACAAAGGATCAACATTTCGCAAGGATGCATAGTTTTTGGTCGGTTCGGAAACAAAAACGTTTCAGAAACAGAATTTACACAAAAAAAAAAACTATAAATTTCTTTCTAAAACATTGATCGAAGCACCTCAAAATATAGAAATTTCGATAATCATTCAATAATTTATTTTGATTTCCATGGAAACAAAAACGTTTCAGTCATTTCGGTGAAAATGAAACAAATTTTCAATCCCTCAAATTGACAGAGCACCTGCACTTGAAAAATATGGTGAATATAAGAATACTAGATTTCAGAGTACAGGGTAAAAATGTTCATTTACAAAATTATTCTGAACTCAGCATCTTAAGATCACACAAAAAAAAGGTGACCAACAAACATAATGTGAAGGTAGATGATTACCGAATGTCAAGACTCTGGCTGCCCTTGCTTCTGAAATTAAAGTTAATGCCTCCAGGTTCACCCCTCCCTCCAAAAAGGCCATTCGATTCCCCAAAAAAGGCATCAAAAACTTCAAAAGGGTCAACCTAAAAAGGTATATGATTCAACAATAAGTGAAGCATAACTATAATGCATCAAGAAGCATTTAACTAAAATAGGGACACATAATGCACGCAAAGGCATAGACTAAAATATTAAGGTAACATAACAAAAAGAACACTCATCTTCACATATTATGTATATTTTAACAATTAACAAAAAAAAAGGGAAAGCTCATCTAGATATTGCCATCGTAGCAGAAAGCACAAGAGCAAATATGATTTTACCCCCCGTGAGCCACTGCCTGATCCGTCATATGCTCCTTGTAAACCTGCCTTGCCAAAGCGATCATATAAAGATCTTTTCTCATCATCTGATAGGACCTACAGAGATGCTTCATTACGTCATGAAAGAAAAGCAGAAAAATAACCAGAAAATGCAAACCTCAGTCAAATCTCCCAATAGAATGAAACCTATTGTCATAAATACACATGGAAAAGATCTAGGAAAGATTAATGAATGAAAAAATAAGTATGCACTTTTGGGGAATACTAGAACCTTGAGGATGAGTACCTTACCGAAAACAAAATCCATTTAGGATGATTAATGCAAGAAACGAAAGCTAGCACTTACTGAGTGTTTATTTGGGCAAAACGCAATGGACAGGAAGAAAGTACCTCATATGCAGCACTTATCTCTTTGAACTTTTCTTCTGAACCAGGGCCCTTGTTCATATCTGGATGATACTGTTCCCAAAAATAATGTTCAATATTATGACTCAAATATCAACATACACAAATGTGAATTATCACCAAGTACAACTATCAGAACTGCCAAGAAAAGGGGAGGAGGTACAAATAAAAATTCCAAACAACTAACAAAAAAACATACACAGCCCACACACCCAAGCACACAAATAGGCAGTCCAATCTTGCCAATGATCCATGTGTCATGTGTGCTATAACAGCTTATTAGTAGATCATCCATATGCATTCTGTAACACCTTACGAATTGATCGTTCCAACCAGATAAAGAAACTATTTCAGACATGACTTGAGTAAAAATACTGTTAAACAAAAAAATGACAAGAGTCAGCAGGTTGCAGTTCTGAGAATAAGGCTGAGAAAGATTAACAGATCCCTGAAAAATAGCTCTGTTTACAATTAAAATATAGGTCAGTGTTGCATTCCAAAATACACACCTGAATACCACTATTGCCTGACTAGATGCAGACAGGTAGAAATCGATATAGCCATTTTACCCACATGCTGATCATTGAAAATTGTTTCTATACGCCAGAGTGGCGAATTGACCCATGGCAAAAGTTTAAACAAGTAAAGCCTTCCAATTAGACATGGACGACATCTAATTAACTATATTCAAGGGTAGCAATTCAGCGTGACATATTAATGCGAGTCATGTGAAACAAACCCAACACAAAAGGTAACGGGTATAAGTTGAGGCTAATCATGTTCATCTTGTAAACAAATTAACATGATTAACCCATTTATTAAGTCGAGTGAGTTCAGCTTTAATATCAACCCACTTGACACGAACAAGAATACCTTGCTTCATTTTACACGAACATGAATACGACCCGTGTTAGAATACAACTAATGGAGCCTACCTAACTTGCCTTTTTAAGTATATGGTTTTATATTCTTTCATCTAAGAATATGGCCCACATATTCAGTAGAACCTGTCTCACCTGTCCCAACCTATTTATTAAGCATTACATAGATCGTGTCATGTCATTTGAGTACGAAAAAGGTTTTGAAATGATTAGTCAATTGTATCATGTTCGGAGCTTCAGATTAGCATATCTGCAATTATACTAGTATTTGAAGAGGATACAAACCTGCTTCACACAATACGGCTGTCACCCCAAACTATATGACAGAAATGCCATCGAATCTCAAAGTATGACCTTAAGAGGACGTCTTACTAGAGCAACACACAATGAGATCACTTGATTTACACACTATCTACGTCACCAAAGCACATTTATTTGCAATTCTTGTACTCCCTTCGGCCCTAAGTTATCCCTTTGACTTTAACCAATGACATCAGCACTTTCTCCTTTATCAAATGATCATAACTTCTCAAAAAATGGCATTGAAAACAAAAATTCTAAAAGGAGCAGCCCAACCCAATCCAACTAGAAACCAAGCAACTAATCTGCTCTCCAATTTTTGGCAACGACCATTGAAGGAGATATTCTTTTCTACAAGTTGGCATTACCAGCAGGATTAATACTTGAAAACTTAGATTTTTCTCAATTGATAGAATCACTCTACCTCAGATCAATGAATTAAGATGAATTTATTGTCCCAAAAAAATATTAAAATAAAAATGTCCTGGATACTCTAATACTAGCAGTTACCATATTTGTTCTTTGAAATTTTTGGAATTTACTCTATTTGAATATATGAAAAAAACCCTTTATCATCACAGGCTGCCATTGTCGCATTGGTTTGGTTTTACGATTATAGAGAGAAAGAGGTCCTTGGTTCCTATTTTACGGGACAAGCACGAAATTGATATATTACATAGGTTGAGTTAGTATTAGGTTATTTGGCACAAATGATTTACTATATAGCAAAGGGAGAATCACTCTACCTCACATCAATGAATAAACATGAATTTATTGTTAATATGATATATTCCTACAGATAGTAACTATGTCCTTCCCTAAGAATAAAGCTCTTTAACCATTATATCAGAGCATATCTACAGGAATCCATATTCCACAACAATTCAATGAAAACTATGCCATCCTTTCTCAAACTTTACAATTTATGATAAACATCTCATTTTGAATAGAATTAATCATGGCCAACATTCATAGATGTAACTAATTTCAGTCAGCATGTTTTTTCTTTACTCCTCAGAACTAGTAGAAGAGTTATGAAATCTGATGGTGCAATTTCTCAGACTTTCGCTCATACACGAACTTATATGTATGTATATAAGAACGTAGGGATCATCGAATGTCGCATCGATGAAAAGTGCCAGGCTAACAAATCATGGTCATGGGTAAGATAATGAGCGCAGCTGCTGAGCTGCGTTGGGCTGGGAAAACAATGCCAAAGGTTATACCCTCGATTAATGGGACCAAACTGGGAAATAACATAAACATGAACGTCTATACAATAATATATACATACCATATATACACATGACCATATCGAAACATAGATATTATTGGTAAAAGTATTAGGCTAACAACCATTAATAATGGGATCCGATACTAAGATAGCACGTTGTGCAAATAATGTCGAATGTTAATTTTGTGCACACTCGGGCCATTCCAACATTCTCAATTACCAGGACCAAACTGGACAGTGCATGAGTTCCATTACGGTACCGAAATACCATTTTTCAATACCCTACTTCCACTTGTTATCCATTAAAAATTTATCAAAAGTGTTCACATTTTATTATTCTTATTACTTTATCATTTTTTTTCAACTGCTTTGCAAATCATCCAATTCAATATCAATGGTTGTAATGGAAGGAGGTACAAAACCGAACTGGGTACCATATTCTTACCCATCTAGCACAATAACAGTCAAGATTGATTCAATTTCAAGAGTGATTCAATAACAGTCAAGACTGATCCAATAGGACAAAATTCATCCCAAAATTTTATTTCCAGCTCGAAAACGTCATCTTCTCTACATGGCCCCATTATCAAACAACTCAACCATCACACTCCCAGACATGCAACCCCACTACTCGTCACTTACTTCTCTCTCCCTACCAATTTCGTATTTTCTCAATGTTCACTTTAATTTTAATTTTAAAGAAAAAAAAATTGTTGTTTAAAATATAATTATTTCATGATCAGATTATTGGTATTATAAAATGCCTTCACGCACGGGATTATTGCTGGTAAAAATATATATACACACACATTATTATCCATGACTATATGTAGAAGTGTCTGCGACAGTGTCGAACCTTGCGAGCAAGTTGGCGGTAAGAGCTCTTGATCTCCTGCAAAGTAGCGTTTCTACTGACATTGAGAACGGAATAGTAATCAGAACCCTTTGCAGAAACCGAAGCAGCGCGAATTATGGGATTGAAACGACGACGCGTCGGATTGAGGGAAGGGGAAATCGGAGCTGTGTAGAGGAGTTTAAGAGTAGGAAAAGAGTTAGAGAATCCCAAAGGGTTCAGAGGAACGAGAGAGCTGGAAATTGGACGGAGCTTTTTAGTAGAAAGAGAGATAGTGGTGGGGTTTATACCGCCAAAAAAGTGGTGGGTTTTGATTAACGACATGGCCGGAGAAACAGGTTGAAGAGAGGGAGGGTGTGAGGTGGCTGCGTTACATGCTTTCACTCATTTTCTGCGAATTTGTTTTGATACATTGTTTCGGTTATTAAAAAAAATATTTTTAAATAATTTTTTTAAAATATTTATTAAAATATTTTGAAATATTTTTTAATTTAATAAAATTAAATATTAAATTGTGTTAAATTGATAAAATTAGTGTTTGTACGATGAAATTGAAGTTTAATTTAATAAAATTAAATTGGGTGTGCGTAAGGGTAATTGAGAAACATAGGGGGTTAAAAAATAAATAATAGGGCGTAAGCCCTGATGGATAATATAATTTAGTAGAATTATAATTTATGTTTAGTACATGATTTGACATAGGGTGACAGTAATTTTTTAAAAAATATACGAAGTATTCCCCGTAATTAAATCAATTTTAATGGCGCATCAGTAAAATTCACCCATATTTTTATTATATTATTTTATTATCATCTAATTCTTTAAAATCCATGAATTGTCCATTTGTAAGACCTTATTTTGATATTCAATTATTTTTAAATTTTTTATTTTGTTAAAATGATTTTATAGTTGCCATATTTTATAATACATACTTAAAAAATTATTTTAAAAATATAAGAAATATAAAACGATAAAGTTTGATGTGTCACGGCCAGTATTAAAATTTAATTTTTTCTTGATCAAAGTTCATAAATTTAAAAGAGTTATATTACGTGGATTTGATTTGGTATATGATTTATGACGAAAAGTTCCGAGACAGAGTAATTTTTTTTTTTTTTTTTTTTTGTTTGGGTAGAGTAGCGTGGATGTTAGTAATTCCATGTGTCCTAAGTCTAACAATCTGTAATTCTTTAACGGAGCTCCACTCCACTGGTGACGAACGACCACAACGAGACCAGCAGCGACCACAGGGAGAAGAGACGAAAGAGGGAGTCTTGAAGACGATGTCTTTGCAGATCGACTGTTGGAAGATTCGGTTTAATGGCGGATTTGAGAGACGATATTGAAGTTTATACCACCGCTATTGTGACTTTATGAACCATAACAGGTACTTCCCTCCTCTCTATTTCGCCCTTCTCTGTCACAGTTCTGATCAAAAAGAAAAACTCCCCCAGGGGTTGCATTCAGGGGCGGAGGATTACATTCTGGAGGGGGCAAAATATGAATGAAAAACTAGCCAACTGGTATAAAGCTTTCCTGAGATTAATAAATACTAACCAGGATTTTCGTTTGATATGAAAAGAAATATATTAAAATTTTAAGATTGAATTTCTAGATGCATTGTGTCATTGTGCATTGTGTCCCACCAAAGTGTCATGAATAGTTAATGAACTTTTGATACAATCGAATAGAAGAACCAAACGATCTACAAAATAGGATTAGGCAGCTACTTTGTTTATCTGAGGCTCTATATGAAAGCTCAAGTCCAGCAGTAAAATTAGTTCCTCTTGAATGAACCCTTGCATGCTTCTTCATGGGAAACATTTCATCCTCTTCTTTTAATTCAGCTAACTGATATTATAATGGTCACTGGAGGGTGGGCTAAAAATGGGATGTTGTTTGAGGTGATTATATCAATCTTTAAGACTTGACTAACTATTTTTCTGTGGTGACTCACTTTCCCTCTCAAACGCTTTAAATTGTAGTTTTAGATACTTTATGTGTTATATATGCATGTGTAGATGCCTTATTCGTCTTTAATTTTGAGTGGTAGTTGTCATTCAACTGTTGAGTTGAAGCCCATTTTCTCATGATGCTTGCTATATTTTTTTTTCTCATAGTTCAAAGTATCGTATTATCTGTTCAATGTCTTATGTTGAGTTTAATTTTGCTAAATATGTTTTATATAGTTTTTTTTGGAATGAATTTGATGTAGTTGTCCATTGCAGTGTGTTTGTTCACAAATTGGTGCAGTTGGCCATTTTATTGTTGTTTATTTTTATGTTTTCTGTTGTCTTCTGGTACTAAATTTTTTTCTTCCGATACCATTGCATAAATAAATGTTGTGATTCAACATTTGAGGATCGAATTATAGTCTGTATGGTAGCTTTTTCGTGTTTACTGTATATGGATGCCCATGTGTTTGTTATTTTGTTGCAACCAAAATTACACAATCTTGAATAAGATACCAAATTATTCATTATTTACTACTATAAATTGATAAATTTGCACATGGGTGTGTTAATAGTATTGCTTCAAGTTGATAAAAAAAAAAAAATATAGGTAGCCACGACACCGCATTATAGCTAACGAAATTATTCAATAGAATTATTGCTACTAGAAAAATGCCCTATGAATGGAGGAGGAGTATTTAGTACCTATCTATAAAAATAAAGGAGATATTCAAAATTGTAATAATTATATGAAAAATGGTCATTGAACATTGCCTAAGAGTTGAGATTACAATTTTAGAAAATCAGTTTTGGTTTATGTCTAGTAGATCAACTGTGGAGACTATATATTTATTAAGGACACTCATAAGAAAATATAGAGAAGAAGAAAAATCTCTGTATGATATTTATAAATCTTGAAAAGGCATTTCATAAAGTGCCTAGAAATATAATATTGAGAGTGTTTCAGAGAAAATGAGTGACAAATAGGTATAATTTGGTGGTAAAGAACATGTATGAGGGGACTATGACTACAATTAAGTATTCTGTGAAAAAAAATAAAAATTTCTAATTACGGTGGGATTACATCAAGGAGCAGGCCTAAGTCCATATCCATTCGCCCTAAGTATGTATGAACTTACTAGATACATTCAAGATGATATCTCATGGTGTATGCTATCTCATGGTGTTATGCTATTTGAAGATGATATTGTCTTTGTAGATGAAACTCACGGTGGGATTCCTTATTCTTTTTCTCATCCTCCTCCTCTTCCTTTTTATTGCTCCTTCTAATTCTCATTTTCCCTCTCCTCCTATTTCTCTTCTCCTTATTCGTTGCATCTTCTCATTCTTCTTCTATTCCTCCTCCTCTTGCTAATTTGTTTTCTTCTGCTTCTTTTCATTCTCTTCCTTTTTCTCATTCTTCGCTCTTTTTCTTATTTTCCTCCTCCTCCTCCTCCTCCTTCTTGTTCTCCTATTACAATCCATGTAGACGAAAATTTTTTAGAGAACAACAAACAAAAACATATTTTTCTCTTATTTCTTATATTTCTCGCTAAATAGATATTCTAGAACCATTACAAACAAGCACACATAAATAGATCCAAAAGATTAGTGTATTACCAACAAGCAAGCCGAGTTTTGGTCCAGCATAAGGTGATAAGGGAGGATAAGATTTCTAGGTCTCCTAGGTAGTAGAAAAATGAGAATCAAATTCAAGATTGAGGAAGATATGTTATGTTGGAGTGAGACACAAAACAAAAATGAGGAGACTTAAGAGATAAACATAAATGCCAACTCTTCACTCATTATAAATATACTTAGAAAAAGAATATTAGGGAAACAAATATATATATTTGTGAGAGAGAATAAAATTGAGTTGATAACTAAACAGAATACAAAACATATGACTCCGCACTTTATGCATATCAAAACAATATGTTCAAATTACAAGAACGATTTGCAAATATACCCTCTATAAATTACAAGAACGATTTATATCGTTTAGTTTACCAAACGCAATGTAAGAGATTGGTAGATGTTTGAATAAAGATGCAAAGTTTTGCACAGTATCAGGTGTTTTGGGTAGAATAAGTCTTTGATTTGGATCAGAATTTATGGATGTTTTAGTGAAAAAGTCAGAGATAGAAAACGGTCTCTCTCAAACCCTAAATCACAAACTTTAAAGTGAAATGAGTTATTTCCATTATCCAAGATAGTGAAATTTGATATTTCATTGTCTAATACTGTAAACACGTGAATTTTATTGCTTTGGGACTAATTTCGTTGTCAAGTAGTTTCTTCCTTCTTTTTTAAATACCAGATAACTTCTTTACATAAAGTAGGTCTAATTCATTGTGCAGATAATTCAATCTAACCGTAAAATGAGTTATTTCACCATCCAAGATAGTGAAAATGGCTATATTTCACTGTCTTGACAGTGAGTCAAGTCTTTTTATAGTGAAACAGATCTATTTCAGAGTTTAAACAGTAAAATACGCTCAATTTTATTGTCACGGTGAAATTGAATGGTGAATTTTTATACTGGTAAGTCAATTTCACTTTATCCAATTACAATGAAATTCCTCTTTCATAGTCACAGTTCGAACAGTCAAGTATGTCTAGTTTCAATGTCACACTAAAATTCAACAGTAAATTTTTGTACATTCATAAGCGACTTTCACTATCACTGTTCAGACAGAAAATTTGCACATTCAAATGTTGATTTTGTTGTCCAACTGTAATGAAATTCTTATTTTATTGTCACAGATTCTAGAGTGAAATATACCCAATTTCACTCTTTTGGGCGTATTTCAATGTCCAATTTAAATTGTAACTAAAGTCTCCTAATTTTGATTTTAAATTAACACTAAATCTCACTAATCCCATTGATTCTGTCAATTATGTTTTGCTAAAAACATAGCAATTTAAATTTAAAAAAGATAAAGATGTGATTGATATATATATATATATATATAGGAACAGAGAAGAGAGAGAAAAGAGAGTAATTTAAGGAAAGTAAATGAGGGGGAGAAAGAATGAGACACAAGGGAGAGGAGAAAGAAGAGTGAGACACAAGACAGAGGAGAAAGATGAATTTAAAGAAGAGAGATAATAGAGATATGGAGAAGAAAGAGAAAAGATAAAGATGCATTAGATATATAAGATAGAAGAATAAAGAAGAGGTCCTCCTTGCAGTTCAAGAATTTCCCTCACAGTTTAACTTGATTTGTTAGGATGTATCTAAGTAATTTGTAATTAACTTGGTATCACAGTTTAACACACCTTTTGGCAAATCTATTTGTATAATATCCTAGATAAAGTACCCTTTAGAGTTTGTTGCTCCTCTTCACTAGGCTTTGTTTAGTTGACTTGGGTAGTTCCCCTTCTCTCAATCTCATGTACATCAATCTTTATTCTCATTAATGAAACTCTTACTCACTTAAGGTGCTTAGCAACTAATAACTCACTCAAGGTGTTCAACCTGTGTATGCTAGGCTAGGTTACACTGCCCATTTTAGGTGCCCAAATTAATATATTTAGACAGAGAATTAAACATTAGCATATGCTTTTAAACCTTTTTTTTAAAGTTTTTTTATGATGCAAAAAACTAAGAAGTGTAAGATGGGAGAGCTGAAGAGCTCCTCTGATTTGGAATGGGCAAGGGGTGTGTGTGCGTGCGTAGTAACATAAATAAGGAACGCGAGGAAAATAAGTAGTTCATCAAGTTAAAGAGTTAGGTTAGTCTACTCTAATGGAGTATCTATTACTTGAAAAAGAAGAAGAATGCAATTATAATTTTTAGTGAATAGAATTGCTCATCATTTATTGGGGTATACCCCCTAGTTTCGTGTCATGTGGTTCTCCTACCATGATGGGGAGGTTCCCTTGTTAGGATTTGGGACTTGGGACAGAATATTCTCCAAATATGATGTGACATTCTAAAAACTAATGCCGTAGTATTAATGACTCCTTCCTGTATAAAATTCACACCCCTTTGTCAGTCATCAAGCTTGTTTGGCTGTCTGGAGTGTCTTACGGGCTTTCTCCTTTAACGGGCTGACCTGACCTAGGCTAGGAGTGATGGTTGGGTTGGACTCATTCTTGGGCCATTTTCTCTTGATTATGATCACATGCCCAACCTAATTTGGGCTGGACTGGCTCTATTCTAATCGATGTTTCAGTTTTCAACATGATGAAAAAAATTTGGGATGAAATAAAAATGATACGTTGTTGTATAAATGAGTGTTGTCAAATCTGTTCTTCAAACGTATGACGGAAAATTAGGCATGCGAAGAAATATTAAAATGGATGTGTAAAGGGTATCATAAAAATACTAGAGAAAAATACAAGATAAAAAGCACAATTATTTTATATTATAGTTTCTTATATATAGTGAAATTGCCTTTGTTTATCACAAGACTAACTTTTTAGAAATATACTATGGCTTGTTTGCTTAAAATGAATGCACTATAATACTTTGAAGTCTTAACTTCAAGTGAGACGAGATGCACTAATTAATCTGATGTGTGTGTTATGTAGGTTTTAGCGCATTCCGAATTTAATTTAACCAAAAAAAATAGACAATACCCTAGCCTTAGACCCCAAAATAGATTCTAGGGAGAAACCAAAATAATTCGATAGTAAAAGGATCTAAGAGAGACAGAATCAAGCTCGGTACAGTTGTTGGATTGAAAGTGAACTCCATCTAACATTGGAACTCTCAACTAATCTGATAGTTATATTGAATTAGATCCTTGATTAGGTATTCAAATTAAGTCTGTATAGCATTGCTCTTGTCTTGGTGTCGTACTAACCATTCTTCCTTATGCCATGACCAACTTTGGTATGACAGGGAAAATATCAAATTAAAAGAATCCCAAAAAAAATACAAAAAGATAAATCGAAATTGACATCTGGGTTTAGCTCAACTCCAAATACAAAGACGAAGTCCAATATTTCAGCCTCAGAGTGAAAAAAAAAAAAAATTATATGAAGTCAATTCATAATGACTTCCAACTCAATTTTATTTTATTTTATTTGTTTCTGCTTTCTTTCTTAGAGATCACCATCCAAACTATGCATTCCACCACACAGTCATGCACCATGCTTTTGTTTGGCTATATGGATTCCAGGTTATCATTATCATGGGATTTAGATCCCCTCCACTATCCTTTCTCTTCAATACAGTGCTAGATGAGTGACACGTGTAAGATTTTAAATTTCAATGGATAAGATTTTTCTTTGTAAGAAAATTCCTTAATAATGGTCAACTCTTCACCGACAACAAAAATGAATGAGGAAACATCTTATTCATTAAAATTTAAAATGTTACACGTGTCACTCATCTAGCACTGTATTAAGAAAAATTGAAGGGAATGAGTAATGGAGGGGAATCGAATCCATTATCTATCTTCAAAGGTCAAAACTTGATGGACAATGTGCTTTGGTGGCCTCACATGAGATGTGATTAGATAAATGATTTCAATTCTATTCACATCAGTGGTAAAAACCCGTGAGATAATTACTGTATTATTTTGAAGGTTAATGTTTGATATTAAGTTGAAAAAGACAAAAACACCTTGCATCTAATAAAATCCAAAACAAAGTGATGGGGGTCGTTCTGTCATTCATAATCTTAATACCAACAATGATCAATTCTATATCGTTTATAACAAGAATTTGATTAGTAAGGTTTATGTGGTTCGTGTTTAGTATTCTAGCATCGATTAAGCTACTACTATTGAACTAATCTATTACGATTCCACCCCTTAATACCTGAACTAAACATTCCCTACATCTATGATGATACATTTGCATGAATATTCTCATATATCCGAATGCTTGTGGCTCTACACTACACAAGGATTAAAAGGAAGGGAATTCAAGAATCCAATGTGGAAGCCACTGCCCGTCACTTGGAAATATTCCACTGCTTTTTGAAAGTGCAACTTGTTTAAGGGAAAATTAATCTTTAATCCCTCAAGTTTCCTATTTTTGCATTGTATTTTCAACTATGTTATTTGTTTCGTATTACCCCAACAAGAGACGTGTGTTATAAATTGGACGAAAAGTTATGTCACGCTTATCTTCAGAACTATGTGATTTCTTTCTTCCTTTTTTTTTTTTCCACAAAAACCTAATAATTGGTAAATATTTTCCTTGCAAAACACAATATACATATAAATGTGGAACAATAAAAAACCAATTCGGATAATTGAGCAGGTCACCGAACTTGAAGTGAAAAGAAGCCTCAAACGATTTAGTCAGTTGTTGAATTCGCGACAATGTAATAGCTTAATAGTAGAGGGGAGTAAAATAGGATCCGCGAAATAATTTAAGGATGCAAAATGTAATTTGAGGAAATTGTAAGTTGTTCCACAATATGGGAGACATTCAATAAAGATGAAGCAATAGTTGTTTTCATTGTCATGGTTGCATTTTGAGTTAGATTCCAACTAGCAAAGAAAAAGAAAACGCGTTGGATTCCAACTTCTTACACAAATACTGATAAAAAAAAATATTGAAACTAATTTTATAATATGATTAATTGCAGTGGTGGTCTATAAAGTTTGTATTTCGTCTCATTTAGGTCTCCAATATGATAATTATATTGCATTGGTCACTCATGTATTAAATTTATTTTTAAGTGAGCCATGGTCCAAATTTTTAACGATTTTTTTTCATGTGTTTTTCACATGCTCCCAAATGAAGGCTATTTTAGACAAATTGTGGTCTACTTGACCCAAAATTTACAGCAATAGTCCTCAAAGTATATTATTCGTCTCATTTTGGTCCTCCAAGATTGCAATACGTATTCAATTTGTCCAAAATTGAGTTGGATTGGGGAACATAATATTGGGTTAGTTTTACGTATGGTATTTGATTCCCACAAGATAAGAATATAGCAAATTTTTATTTGTCTAAGCTAATCTCCTCTCTCTCCATATATATATATATATATATATATATACACGGGTTACAATTTTCGACGGCAATAGTTTGATTGTAATAGAATCAAGTTAGTGGTGACAAATATTTTTATTCGGATAATATTGGATTGTATTGGATTGAAGTAGACTAATTGTGAAGCACAAAACCCTTATCCAAATGATACTTTTTTGTTCTTATAATGGGACTAACGTGACTTCATACCAACCAACCATCGTTTTCAAACAATTTGGGAAATGAACAACCAAACAAAACTTCTTTCAACACCATGTTTGAAAAAGAAAGGTGAGGCTCTATGGTATTGCCCATTATTGATGACTAAGGTTAAACCCGTGAGATATTTGAATTAAATAGAACGTAATTTTAATGTAAAACACCCCAAACAAATGGGTAATACTATGAAGGACTTAAAAAAGGGTATAACTTACATTTGTTTTTCTTTATACGAGTTGTTGAAACTGTTGCACTACTTTATTGAGCGATATCAATTGACATATTGTTTATTACGTCAATTTAAAAGATCCCAATGGCAATATTAAAAACCAAAAATAAAAGAATTGTGATAGTATTAAAAATAGAGTAATCTTATTTGGTTCTAAAAATCTGACTTAAATTGCTAATATAATGATGTGATTTCAAGGAAACTATTGGATCAATTCTAAATTTCAATATTTGATGGAATTTACAATCAATTCAAATGTCATGACAAATTAGGTCAGTAAATTAAGTTTCAATAACATAGCTCTTAAAAATAAGGACAGATGACAGTCCTCCGTACACGAGATCGTCGCATATTTTTTTTAAAAAAAAAATTGAGTGCCAAATCTTTGTTAAAAACACTTAAAATCGAGTAGCGCACACATAATTTTGTATAGAAAAAGATAATATGGCAAATACAAAACAAATATTTTCCAGAAAAGACAAGGAACATTTACTTTTGTACTATATTGCAATCATTTTATCTAATTAAAGTTACAAAGGGAAAATTTTAATATTTTAGGACGTAAAATGAGAATTTGAGAATCTTTTAGGTTGCAACATGTAATTCACCCTGAAAAAATATAATCAAAAGAACCAACTAGTTAGTTTATTTTGCTTAAATCACAACTCAATGGGGGTCAATAGACCAATGGAGGCCATGGTGACAGTATACATGGAGGGAGAAGAGAGGAGGAGCCAAAAGAGAGGTAAAGAGCAATATCAAAAAAAATAAAAAAAGAAACAGGGTTGGGGATGAGACAAATTTTTTTAAGAAAATCAATAGGTTAATTCTTTTTGGCAATTATTTTGTTGAGAGAACATGATCATTAGGTCAGAATATTTGATCAGAATAACGAGTGTGAATAACATTATTGAAAGCTGGAAACAAATTAGACAAAAACAACTTAGAAAATGCAAATCAAGCATGGGATAATTCAATTACGTACCCTAAAAACAATCTACCCTTTCCTTCAGGGCTTTATACTAATGTCATTGTCTTTCAAACACCACAGGCAAAATGAAGAGGCAATGGTTGCCCATAAGAGATGAGAACAAACACCATTTGGAAACACTACTAAACAGGACAAGCAGTACAAATTTAAAAAGACAGAGGTCCCAAATTTATCCATATGACTCCACATGATTTAGGAAATGTAATTATCCCACAGTGACAATGCGGAAAACAGTTGCTGTCTCATGGTTTTTAAAGGATGGTAGTCCGTGCAATCATAGAGGTTACTACATATGGATCCATGTTTGAAGCAGGTCGCCTGTCCTCGAAATATCCTTTTCCAGCCTTCTCCGTGTCCCTGCCAACCCTAATGGAGGCTCCACGATTCGCCACACCCTGTAAATTCACCACATAAGAACAATGACAATTCACCAAATTATAGAGTGGGGGAGGGGGAGAGGGGTCTTATTTTTACCCATTCTTGACATACTTATTATTTTGAAATGACTGCTATATATTTTTTGAAAAAATAAAGAGGGGGAGGGGGAAAAAATAAAACTTTAAAGTGTCATTCATTCATCCTATTGAAAATTTAAAAGCAAAACTTAAGAGTCTGCCCCAATTATTTGAAGATGACCAGATATCATATTGAGAACAGGTTCTTTTGACTGAATTCTTTCCTAAATTTCCAATCAAATGGTGCTTCTTCCTTATCCACAGCAAAATATAATAGGTCACAAAGGAGGATATGGTATTCAGAATTCAGCACCATAGAAATGAAGGCATCAATATGCTAATAAGAAGCAGAACATCTGTAGAACGGGAACAGAAATTGTTACCCATAAGAATGTGTTGATGTCAGCTGTTTCGTGTCTTCCAGTAAGGCGACGTTCATTGCCTTCACCATAAGCAGCAATGTGCTCCTTGTGCTTCTTTTCCAGCTTGCCAATGGCCTTCTTTATGACTTCATAACCTCCATCACTTCTCATGGACTTGGTACTGATACCACCATAAATAGGACTCATTAGACAAAAATAACAATTTAGAAATTGAAACGAGTTGAACATGAATTTTTTTCTTTTGTAATCACAGTTACTACCCAAGAGATCTTCAAACCATAACTTGCCAAGAAAGAAAGTAGACTGGGAATTTTGGACTATCGTGTGTGTGTGTGTGTGTAAAAGAGAGAGAGCGAGAGAGAGCATATAACACCTGTAGTTTGTGTGAGCACCGGCTCCATTCCAGTCACCCTGATGACATAAAGAATAAAGAATTCAATTGGGTTACAGGGAAAAAAAAGACGCCAGCTAAAAGGGAATGCAAGGACCCAAATGAAAATAAAAAAAAGGAGACAAGGACAAAGTGGTCCACCACTTTAGCTCTACAATAACATCATTCTAGACAACAATACATCTGATAAGAGTGGTGAAACTAGAACACTTGGTAAAAAGCAAGAGTAATAATCTCCATCACCACTATCTAACCTGAATAGGTTTTGGATCGAAAGAAAGAACCACTCCAGCAATCTCCGTTATCCTCTGCCAATACGTAAAAGAATAGCAAAATATATATTTTTAGGTACATTTGAGTCTAACTTTTGAATAATATAGATCAGGGGATTCTTAGTATTTGACAAGAAGTACCTCTAAGATGTAGCGAGCCACCCATAGCTCATCCCCAGCAGAGATGCCCACTGCAGGACCCACTTGAAATTCCCACTGCGAAAGAAGAAAACATATTGAGTATTTGAGATGAAAAACCAGTGTCTTACAATGCAGGAGAAAAAACTCCAACATGATACATAGTAAGTATAGCAACCCGAAGTCAGACAGGATTAATTTGGTTTTACCTGGCCTGGCATCACTTCACCATTGATGCCGCTGATGTTTATGCCAGCATACAGACAGGCTTTATAGTGGGCGTCAACGATGTCACGGCCGAATGCCTTGTCAGCGCCAATCCCACAATAGTATGGTCCCTGTTCACCCAAAGAAGAATTCAACTCATAACTACATATAAATAGTTAGAAAACACAATACATATGAAACAAGCTAGGAAGATTAGTATGCCTATAATAGCACTTTGGACAAGATAAATGCTTCCATTGATATTAAAAGACAAAAGAAACAAACTCAAACGAGCATACTGATAAGGGTATATGTTATTGTTACCCATGGGTTGGCCTGGTCACAATATTCTGTATGAACCTGTTAGCTAATGAAGAAACTGGTGCCAATATGTTGGATTGGTTCCCCTTTTGGGGAAGATGAAAAACCCAACAAGCATTAGGTAAACATTGAACAAGTTCATGCCAAATGTTGCAAAAGAAGAATATTCTATAAGTATCATTTTACCACCTTTAAACAGGAGTACATTCCATAGAGAATTTACAAAGGAAACAGCATATCCCATAAGAAAGGTGTGAATTGGACAGGTTATTGTATTGGCCCAAGAGAAATGAGAAGAGGTCATATATTCATATCTGTACTATTGGACGGAGATTCTATGGCAATTGCTCGTCTTCCAAAGTCCCAAAAGAGCTTAAAGTAGTCTATCATTTTGGCTCTCCCAGATCCCATTATGCTCAAAATATACCATTAAAAGGTAGACTATTCTCAGTGCAATGGAGATCTTGTTTAATTAGGGTTAGACGCGACCATACCACAAAGAGAATACTTAGCACACTAGAGAATATGAACATAGCTAATACCCCAAACAATTGGACAGATTCAGTTTGTAATATTATCTGGATGCACAAGGAACTGCTAGAAAATTATGGTATGACTAAACTATGCTGACTGAGTTAGTTATCAAAGAAAATCAATACAGTGACAACTTGGAGAAAGAGAAACTTTATTACCTGAGGTCCGGGGTAACCTCCCTTAGGCCACCCAATTGGCCATTTTACATCTTTCTGCAACAAAGTATATTCCTGCTCTATTCCGTACCTGTGATTTTTTAAATAAATAAATTCCACCAGGTTATTCTAAATTTAAATTACAAAAAAGTAAAGCAAAGTGAAAAAAAAAATCATAGCAATTGTAACGTACCATGGGACCTCGGCAACAACATTAGGATGGCTGAATATCTTTGCAGCATCAAACCTCTTGTTAGTTGGAATGGGCTCTCCGCCGGGAGTGTAAGCATCACACATCACCTGAAATATCAAAAACACAAATTGGGTATACATTAATTTGGACTGAAAAAAAAAAGAAGATCAAGACACAAATTTGTGATTCCGTAAGTATATAATTTCAGTAAATGATAGAAAAGCACTAACAAGAATGTTGTTGCCTCTCCTGAAGGGATCCCTGAATATTGCCTGAGGACTTTTTAAAGGTACAACAAATATCAGTACACTAATTAAAGAGACAGTAAACAAGAAAACAAAATTGGGAATTCCATATCAAATGAAGAAAACATACTATATGATGACTTCACTGTCTTCACCAGGGGCTTGGCCAGTGCTGGAACCATCAAAGTTCCACTTTGGAAGCTTTGACGGATCAGTGATGGGCCCTGGCTCAAGAATGGTCTGATTCATACCAATAACAGATCAGCAGCAAAAATAATTTAAGAAAAAACAACTATAAAAGATATCGGTGATTGTGTGCAATTATATATGTAATGAAACAATTACCCTGGCTTTGCTTCTAAGGTCCATACCCGATCCACCGACCCTGTTCAATGATCAACATATACATAGCAGAATGAGCAGCTCCATCAAAGTAACACAAAGATAGAAATTGAAATTGAAAACCCACTTATGAAAAATCAAAGATCGTCCCAACTTCATAGCATATAGATACACATATACAAAATTCCATACATTAATACACATAAATACACATTTATATGTATGTATGTAACCGACAACAAAATCGATCGTAAAATATTACAATCGATCATGAATAATTCCATCAAATCATAACTTCAGTTGTAACTTTGACATTTGATCATAGTATTTTTTGTGATGAACATAAAGACAAACCAAAAAATATTATAACTTTTGTCACCGTACGTCCTTGGGTACCGTAAAACACAACAGAAAATAATGAAAAAAGAAGCAAAGATCTGCAAAGAAAGAACTAACTAACCATATGTACTCTGCAATGACTTTCTTAGTATCTGTTAGATCCAAGTTGATAAGATCTGAAAGCAGCGACATACTGGAAATCCAACAACAGACTCAAACACTCTCTCTCTCTCTCTCTCTCTCTCTCTCTCTGTGATGAATCTGTGTTGGAATTGGAGACTATGAAGAGTAGTGAAGTTTTAGGAATTGGCAGGAGATGGGTCTCTCTTATAATGCGGTTGAGGCGTTGAAAATTATTATAGCCAGCCAATAAGTAAAAAGGTAGAAATTATTTTTTGAATAATAAAAAATTAAAAATAAAAATCATAATTCACCGGAGGTAGGTGGGTATTGACCAAGACAAAACAAGGCAGTTGAAACTAACCCTGCTTCGTTTAGAGGGTTAGTGTCTGTTTACAGTTTTACCCCTCGAATTGAAAATAAAATAAAATAAAATTGGAAATTTGAGGTGTAAAATGTAAATTTCGATGTGATAAGAAACACTGGCATCCACCAGACGACCATCAGATTCCTAAAATCACTCCAGAACATTTCTCGATCATTGTTATATTTATCAAATTATTTATTAAATATTGTATTTTAAATCAATTTGAATAGCTGGATCAATGGAATTTATTAATTTTTATTAAATATTTGAAATATAAGATTTTGTCACATTATTTAAGATATAATATTTAATAAATATTTTTGAGAAGTATAATTTTATCCAAAAATGAATTGGAGAGCGAATCCTACCAAACAAATTTAGTAGGTTGTTGAATGTAATGGTTGTGGAGAGTTGTTGAAATAATGGAATTTATTGGGCCCGTTTTATTACCGTATTATTTAAAAAAAAAGATTGTATTAATTAATATGAATTAATTCTATATATTCGGAAAAAATATAAGATTAAATGTAGAATAAAAATAATACTCTTTGTAATTTAGTGTTTCGTAAGATATTAGATTAAGAGTGACATAAAAGAAAACGAATTATATATTAACCAAAAAATCATCAATATAATCTAGTTATTCATGCTTTTTGTTTTTTTAGTGGGTAAAATAGTAAAATATGACCTAATACAGTTGCACTGTATTACAATACCATTTCTTCGGCTGATATTAAAATTGGCTCAATAGTACGGGTAAAGTTTATATTTATATACATATTTTATACGTATTTGAAATAAGTCTAGATATAATACAAAATATTTTTGACAATTAAATGTAATTTAAAGTTGGATTAAAAAAATTTAATTTGTTATGACTGTTTAATTCACCCTTTAATGCTGCAACCAAACCGCCCCTTAATTTGTTATGTTCACACGAAATCGAAATATTATAATTAGTTAGTGATACCATATTTTACTAATAATGTGGTATCACCCACTACATTTAACAATTTTTTTTTTGACCTTTTTATCCACATGAGACACGTTACATTTAATATATGTTTTTTGATTTTACTAAAATATATATCACATTGCATATAATTGTGAAACCCTAGATATGAAAGGGTAAGAGTACTTTGTTTTAGTGAGCTTTGTTTTCAAAAAACCACTTTGTCTATGATCTTGACATTTCCTAAGTAATGCAACTAGGAAAATCCATCATTTGATGATTTTTCTTTTATTTATAAACATTTAAAAAAAAATACTAACTATCATTTTTCCATCTAGTCAAAAAAAAAAAGAAGATGAAAAACAAAATCACCTTTAAGGTTTCAATCAAGGACTAAATTTCTCCTTCATTTTGGGATAAATTCAAAGTGCAATAGGTTAGGGATATATCATATATGTTTTCTTGATATGGTCTAGGTTTCCGGCGTCACCTCCGCACTAGATTTGCCTATAGATCGTATTTTATTTCGATCTAATTAACTGGATATACATTAGGTTTTTTTTTATCAAAAATCCAAAAATCAAAATCTTATATATGATATTTCAGTTTCATTGAGTTATTTGGATGAAGCAGGTTTCCGAGCAACGAATTTAGATATAACCTATGAGAATGAAGTCTGTTGGACATTCGGATTGAACTCGGATTTGAATAAATCAAAATTGGACTCCAATATGATTGTTGACAGGTATAGTTGGCAAAAACCAATGACAGTCCTTGAATTGGCATACTTGTTTTGCTCATACTGTTGTTTGATTTGGCTAAGGGCATCGACAACGTCGATGTGTGATCTACTCAGCTTCCTCGACGATGTTGAGAGACATGTAGTTTGCCAGTTTTGCATACTTGTATTTTAATCTACTTTGATGGGTGATGATGGTTACTAAGACAATTCATTTGGACCACAAGAAATAATGTAGAGGATAAAAATGTAATAATAGTCTTTTAAGTATACATTTTTGTGTCATTTTAATAATCATGTCCTTAAAAAAAAATGTGCAAAAATAATGTCTTTGTAGTACTCCAAAGAACATAGGATAGAACTAAGTGGTCATTTTCATTCTTGTTGGAGTAAATTATGCATATCACCATCAAACTATGATTTTTGTGTTAATTAAGTCCTTAAACTTTTTTTTGGGTCAATTGAACCCTTAAATTCTCTAATTGTGTCAATTAAGACTTTTTGTATGCCTCCATTAGAGTATGTCACTCACTGGCATAAAAAGACAAAAATGTTCAATTGACATAATTAGAAAGTTTAAGAGCTCAATTGATACACATAAAAAAAAAGTTTAGGAGCTGAATTGATATAAAATTCATAATTTAAGGGTAATATGTGTAATTTACTCTAAATCATTTGAGTGGCAAGCTTCACCACTTTCCATTAAAAAATCTAATGGATGAAAATAGAAGGGTTCAATTGATATAATTAAAGAGTTCGGAGGCATAATTGATGCCAAAAAAAAATTAAAAATTTAAATGACACAAAGATCATAATTTGAAGATCATATTTGTAATTTACTCTTATTTTTAAGGAATTGTAGGTGGCATGTGCTAAATCAATCCTGCCAACATAACGTTAGACAATTGAAAGCTTCTCATATTCAAGCTCCTTTCCTCATTTATTTTATGGGTTAATTACAATCTGCTAGCTATAACTATGTTTCTTGTTCCAACCAGTTCTCTATAATTTTAAATGATAGAATTTGCTCCCTCTAAATTTTAAGTGGATTAAATTCACTAATAACAGTGACTAAACACCCGAAAGAATCATTATACATTTTATCTTGTACATTATTTTTTATATATTTTTTTTGAAATACTAAATTTTTCCTTAAAAAATAAAATAAAAAGAAAAAAGTCAAGGCTAAAAAATAAGAAAACCTATGTTTTCGTCTCAATATAGGGAAAACAGAGTTTCTACTGGAAGGGAGAAGAGAATGAGAGTTATCCGTCAGAGATAAGACAGGATGAAATAGTGTAAGGGTAAGTATGGAGATTTGGCAAGGGAGAAAAATAGAAGTAAGGATAATTATCTATCTCTTTTCAACAAAGTAAGGATACTTATTCAAAAAAAAAAAAATAGGGATTATATGAATTTGGCATGTTTAACTTTTATCAATTTTTATTGTCTAAAAATAACTATTGAAGTTAATTGCAAAACATTCAAACTTAAAGGGGACTATTTGTTAAAATTAAAACTTGAAGGAGTGAGTTGTAAATTATCCAAATTTAAAGGGAATATTTTGTAATCAACCCTTATTTTATTGGAGAGCCCAAGAATCACCAACTTGGAAGGTGGGGATGGGTGCCGTGTTTTTATTTTTTATTAGGATCAAGAATATTCGAATTATTTTATACGCATCTAGGACTAGATTTAATGTTATTATTTTTTTTATGCCTTTCTTTAATGCCATAGGGTGGCGACACACTTGAATCTACTAATCCAATTCCAACACTTTAATCTCCATGTACCCATTTAAATAGGTTGAGAAGCATGTAATTTTTTTTTAATTCTTTTATTTGCATGTGAGAAGGGTGTAATTAATAGTTCTTCGAGTTGCCAGCGGATATCTTGTACCATTATATATATTTTTTTAAATTAACATAATTTTTTAATTAAATTTATCACAATCATTGAATTTGATTATGAGTTTTAACATATATCCGATACCCATTATTATCAATGTAATAATTATGAATAATTAAATCAACAAATTAAGTTAATAAATTAGGTCCAAATAACATTGCTTGTAAGAAATTGATTGAAGCAATTTTTATTTTTTTTGTTTAATGGTCAGAAATGTCTGAGCTAGCTTACGAGCACCTCAACTCAACTAATCTCCTCCCAGTCCAATCAAAAATAGGTCATCCATGTTAGAATTAAGATATTCATTAAAGATAAATTTCTCTTTAGCTATTATTGTTTATTGGTTAATAAACTTTATTTTAAACTTGACGGAGTTGGTCTAACTAAACTCTCACCAACACCGAAATCAATCTATCAAAAGCAACCCCACCACCAACCACTGAAAATTCTCAAATTGTTTTACTTGGCAAAATCCAAAAGAGGTAAAACTAAAAGCACTCTTTTATTGTTATTGATACGTCATTGCTTGATGTCACAAAAACCAAAATCTTACGTTTTTTCGGGTAATGTTATGGTGGAGTAGTTTTAGTTGTAGTTGTCTCTTCTAACATTTTAAATACTGGTAAAGGTAATTTTTATTATATTATTAATTTAGAGAGAGAGAGAGAGAGTAGAGGTAAGGTACGGTTTTTTCATGTCACAATATCTCTTTATTTATGCTACTATTTGACTCTATTATCTCAGCTCACATAACTTCAATCTCTGTTGGTCTCTTTTATAATATCTCACACTTTGGAAATTAAGCACATGAATATATCGTATGGTAAACATCATACTAACTTACTAGACGCTCGCTACGTAATAGAAATTGGAGGCGTACATTTAGTTTTTGTTCAACCCTCAAAATTAAAATATATGCAAGTTTCAAGTCCAAAATCACACACACACACATATATATATATACAAAAATAATGTTTGAAATCGTCGCACTACTACCTTTACCAACCCCACCACTACCACCGCCACTGTCGCCACCACCACCAACACCACCACCAACACCACCCTCGTCGTCACCGTCGCCACCGACACCCCCACCCCCACCCCCACCACAATCATAACCGCTACCGCTACCCCCACCACAATCATAACCGCTACCCCCACCAGCATTGCCCCCACCCCTGCCCCACCATCACCTTTGTCGCCTCCACCAATCCGTTGCCGCCACGGTCATTACCATCTACTACAACCATCACCGTCTCCTACCACCACCACTGTTGTCCACCACCTCTCACTCCCACTACAAATTTATGCTTAAATTCCTTTATCTTTTATCTATACTTCTGATTTGATTTTGAATATGAATATAAATATATTTATTGTTTATTATTTTTTATTACTTAGTGTCTTTAGACACAGACAATAACTAGTATATATAATATTAACTTATAATTCAAATTTTAAAAGATAAATAAAATAACTTTTGATTTTTGCAGTTCAGATCACTTTAAATTTTACTTTAAAATTAATCTAATGGTTAATATTAACAATCTAAATTTAATAGGAAAAATAGGCCTCTAAGGGTGTGTTTGGAGTAATTTTTAAAAATACTTTTAAAAATTATTTCTCATAATACTTTAAAAAATTGGTGTTTAAAACTGCTCCACCACTATTTATACCACCACCACCACCATCGCTGCCACCACTACTGCCGTCGTCGCCGCCGCCATATCCGCCCCCACCACTGCCACCACCGCCGTCACCACTACCATCGTCGTCGTTGCCACCATCATCATCGTCGCCGCCTCCATCACCGTCATCGCCGCCACCACCCCCACCACCGTCGTTGCCACCACAGCCCCCGCCACTGCCACCACCACCGCTCACTCGCCATCGCCTCCACCATTGTCGTCGCCACCACCACCATCACTGTCATCGCCATCGCCACCCCCACCATCGTCGTCGTCACCATCATCACCGTCGTCACCACTTGTACCACCATTGTCGTCACTGCCATTTCCGCCACTGTCAACATCACCACCGCCGCCACCATCACCACTACCGTCATCGCCACCACTCTCACCCTTACTCCCATCATCGCCGCTACCATCGCCGCCGCCACCACCACCACGATCATTGCCACTTACCACAACCATCACCGTCTCCTACCACCACCACTATCGCCCACTATCTCTCACTCCCACTATAACCTGATACTTAAATTTCTTTATCTCTGTTCTCTATTATTGTGATTTAATTTTGGATATGAATATCAATATGTTTATTGTTTACTATTTTTTATTACTCTGTGCCTTTAGGCACAAGCAATAATTAGTCTATATAATAAAGTAGAACGAAATTTGAATCAAAAAAAAAAAGAGACAAAACATAAATATATCCAACAAATAATGTAATATCAACATAAAAGACAGTTCAGATCATTTCAAAAATTATGATCCAACGATTATAATTGAAATTAACTCAAACACTCATATCTCTCATATAACACACACACACTCTCTCTCTTATCTCTTAGACATTTTAAACACACTATCTCATCTTCTCTCTCTCTCTCTATATATATATATATATATATAATAAAGTAGTTAGATTTTAAACCAATCTAATCGACATCACCACTTTCACACAAATAAAAAGTATAAATATACAATCCATAAATAAAATCATAAAGTTATTATTCATACCAAAAATAAATCACTACTATATAAAAACTTGTAGTTCTCAAAAAAGAAAAAAAAAACACAAAGTCCAATCTAATCACCAATAAAAAAAATAATTGACTAATAAAAAATAACAAGTATTACCAATTATACAAAAAAAATTCAAAATCAATCTAATTGTCATTACCACTTTCACACAAACAAAAAATACAAAAGTAAAACCTTCGAACTATTATTCATACTTAATCATTACTTTGCTCCAAATTACATGAAAATTTATAATTCTCAAAATTTTAATTTTTATTGAAAGTGAACAAAACATATTGTTGATTGTCATAAATGATTACTTAAAAGAATATCTATTACAAATTTTGTTAATGGCAAAGTGTCTCATTATTTCATGTTGATTATTTTTTTTGTTCAATTTTTATAATTGAGTAGTTATCAAATATTTCATGTTTAATTTTTATAACTGTGCAATTAGAAAATGTTTAACATTTATGCGTGTTTATAAATATTGATAATTGTTGCGTGTTGGTTTAGTAGCGTATGCTTTGACAATATTTTGTTGTTTTTAATTTTTAATGTCCATATTGTTATTAACTGATTGTTATTAAATGTTACATGTTAAAAGTGTATTGTTTAGGTTGGTTTTGTTTAATTTTTAATTTTACAATAAAACTTTGTATAAAATTAAAAATATTTTTATTAAACACACATTAAAATACATAATATCTCTAAGTTTAGTGCTTCTTTTTTCAAGGTTTGCCAATTTACATTTGACACCAATAACTTCATACACACCATCACTACAACACAAAAATCAGTACCTAAATAGACAATATCACCATTTTTTGACATGTAAGTTATTTGGTTTATCAATTTTTTCAAAACCTTTGGTATAATATTTCATTAAAAACCATTATATACTTACTATATAATTTTTCATTCTTCTTATTATAAACTGATTCACACCTAGAATACACTGTAAGTAGATCTTCTTATCACGCGTCTTAGTAATGATGGTTAATGTTTATTTCTTACTTCTTATCAATCAATGAAATTTAAATTGTCTTTATAATCCATAAATAAAATCATCAATTTATTATTCATACCAAAAATAAATCACTACTGTATGAAAACTTATAATTCTCAGAAAATAAAAATAAAAATAAAAAAATCCAAAACCCAAACTAATCAGCAATTAAAAAAAATAGGTGACCAATATAAAAAAAATAAGATATCAATTGTACCAACAAAAAATATTCAAAACCAATCTAATCGCTATGTATTGAAATTATTCAAATATGCTATCATTATGTGTTGAAATTTTAAAAGTAACATAGTGTTTTCAGGCACGAACAATAACTAATATATAATAAATTAGCTTACAATTTAAATTTCAAAAGATAAACAAAATGATTATTGTTTTTCGCGGTTCAGATCGCTTTAAATTTTATTTTAAAATTAATTTAACAACTAATATTAACACCCTAAATTTAATAAAAAAAATAGACTCATAACGGTGCATTTAGAATGACTTTTTAAAAGTACTTTAAAAAAATAGTGTTTAAAACCGTCCCGCCACCACCACTGCTGCCGCCGCCACCACCACTGTCGCAGTCGCCATCTCCTCCACCATCGTCGTTGCCATCGCCGCCGTCAACACCACTACCACCACTACCGCCATCCCCCCACCATCACCACCAATATCGCTGTCACCACTGTTGCCGCCGACGCCACCACCACCACTACCACTATCACCCACCACCTCTCACACCCACTATAACTGATACTCAAATTCATTTATCTCTCCTCTATATTTGTAATTTGATTTTGGATATGAATACAAATATGTTTATTGTTTAATATTTTTTATTACTCTGTGATGCAATAACTAGTATATATATATATATATATATATAGATTACTAGTGTATGTGAATCAAAATTATAAACGAATTTATTTTTAAGTTGCTACTATACAGAAACAGTCACCATTTTTATCACATCTCAGGTTTCCATAGCCAAGTCAAGCCTTTCCCCCCTGATATGCATGTAGACTGTAGCTTATAATCATAACTCTTACAAAATCAATAACTTTTCATTGAAAAGAGGTAAGCACTTCCTCTGCATATTAATGGTTTTTATAAACAAAAAAGATAAGAACTAAAAGAAAAAATATAGATGATAGGAGTTGTGTAATCCAAACCCAAAAAGGAACCACAAACCCCCTAATAGATCAAAAAAGGAAAAGAATACGCAGGAGATACAAATGAAATGATACTAAAAGAACATACATACATATTCCATGTACGCGCGCGCATCCACTCTCAATCACATGCCTTCTCCCAATCATCCACTACATCAGACATCTCGTCGACCTCCCCTTCTGGCTGTCCTACAACATTTGAACTACTTGCTTTCAGGGTTGGTTCAAGCCCCGACTTGTTATTATGGATTGGGGTTGGTTCTCCAGGATCCTTGCTCTGGACAGGGGCAGTTGATGATGAACTTGAAGTGATTTCAGAGTCCAGAACAGTCCACCTGTTTGCTGAAGCAGCAATTGGAGCTTCCTTCACCTTCCAAATGGACGCCACCTCCACTTCAGCAGGATCACCAGAACCCTCCTCAGCACCCCACGAACTCTCAGTCCAATCAAGCTCCGGCACAACAGCCTTCTTCCATGGATTCGCCTTCAGAGATGCAAGTGCTCCTCCATCCTTGGCCACTCCAGCAACTCCCCAAGCATTACTAGCTGATGTGGCCGCTGATGCACCACCATTTTGAAGAACGGCAGCCCCGTAATACACAGATCCTTGATCTAATCTCCTCATGGCAGTCGCTGCTCGGGCAGGATCACTAAAGACAGCCAATGCGTTCTTGTCATTCAACCAGACTAGTTCACATTCCCCACCAAATCTCAGGACCAGTGCACTTATATCTGCATCCCTAGGCATATCAAAGAGGGCAACGACAAGTCTGGGATCCATGTCTACCAAAGGATCAAAAGCAGGTGGCTGTAACATGTTTGTAGATATAGGACCTTTGGCACCAAACACGCGTGCAGGGACTTTGGACTTGGGAGTAACATGAATCACAATAAAACGTTTAGGCTCCCACCCAACAGCATTAACTGAAAGCTTCCACCTCTCAGCTATTAACCTCACTGCATCTCTCTTTTCCTTCAACATTGGGCAAAAAACATGAACTTTAAGAGCATTGATTCCACCTCTGCCTCTGCCAAGGACCAAAACCTTACATCTCTCTTCAACAGACAACACCCACTTAGGGTCGCGCCTGAGCAAGTCTGCAAGCACTTCCGAAACAACAGAACTCTCACCAAAATGAAGCACGTCCAAGTTCGGGGGAGTTATACTGAATGCATCCGCAAGTACCCGTTTACGCTCCATCTTTGTGCATTCATCATCGCACGTGAGCTTCCTCTGCCCAAGTGGGATCTTCTGGCCATTTGTTTCAACAGGTTGAAGTGGTGCGGGCAACTTCTGGATTATAGAAGCTTCAAAAACATTATCAATGTTATACCCACCACCGCCTCCTCCAGCATCACAAGGCACAGTTGCAGTTATTCGGCCACAAGAACATGTGATTGTGACAGGAAACTCGCACCTTAAATCAGGACACAAAGCAGAAGGGTGACATAGAGATGCACATGTATGCCTGCAGTCTCTCCGGGGAGCACCACATGTCTGCCCACAAGAAGCCCTCACACCAGAACTAGGCCCAGCAGAAGCATCACAAGGCAGGGGATGACAAGTTCTAGCACATGCATGCAAGCCGCATTGCCTGGTCTTGCCACAAAGCTTGTTACATCTGATATCCTTTGAGCCACAAGGAATGTTCCTGAGAACCACATGTCCACCAATGCACTCCTTTGCTATAGGAACTGAACAAGGTGGGCAGTCACCAAAGTGGCAGCTATGAGAAGATGAATGGCCACAAGGCTGAGGAACTGAGCATGGGTACTGACATGAAGGGGTAGGTGTTCCACAAGGAAGTGGAGGAGGAATGGAAGTCCTCCCGCAAGCACAAGTTAAATCAGTAAAAATTGTTTCAAGGCAAGGTGGGCAATGGCCACTGTGACAGAGTGATTCACAAGAATGCTGCCCACATCTCAGCTTCTTCCCACAAGGCATTGAGCATAAATGCAGGTCCCACTCAGCCGAAAGCGAATTGTTGGGATTAGAAAGAGGGCAGCACCGCTCACTGCACCGATGTCTCCCACAGTTTTTCTTCTGCCCACAAGGTTTATCACAAGTGAATTTATCATCCTCCATTGTTGTCCTGTAGCATTCCACAGTTCGAGAAGTTGATCCACACCGGCATTTTTGGGCGACCAGCACTTGACATGGTGCACAATCCCCAGAATGGCACACCTCTTTACATTGATGAAGACCACAAGGGAGCATTTTGCCACAAAACTGGGTGCATGTCGGGATTGGATCCAAACAACTCTGCCGCTCCTCCCGTAAACTTGTTTTGCCACAACAGCACGTCTTAATCCTGCCTGGCAACAAGTCACACTCCCCACAAGGGCCTGGATGGCATATTTCTCTACAGATATGGTTTCCACAGCCAATCTTCTTTTCACAAAGCGAATTACATGAAAACACACCATCTTCTGCTTTCACTTTACCCTTCACTGTCATGTCTCCACAGAGAAGAACCTCAATCCTCTTCTTGCAGAAACAGGAAGCATTCACTAGAACTTGACAAGGATCACAAGGACCCACATGGCAAGTCCTCTCACAGCGGTGCCGCCAACATTCAAGAAGCTTATCACAACGCTGCCCACAAGTAAGAACAGATGTCCGCTCAGAGCACCTCGTGGTTATGATCTTCTTCCCACAAGGACACAACCGAGGCGGAGCAAAAGCCTTACAAGGCGGACATGGTCCAGGGTGGCATTGCAAAACACAAACATGGGGGCACAAATCCTCTTTACTCATATTGCCACCAGGAAGCTCCTTCTCAAGTGGCTTCCCACAAGGCTCTCCACAAGAATGCGGCGTCAAATACAAATCTGAAAGCGGATCTGGCCTCTTCCCACAAAAGCAAATATAATGAATCTCTTTAGATGACATTAACTGCACCGATTGACATCCGGGGCACCGCCAATTAAACCCCTGACTCTTCTCGGCTGACAAGTCAGTCGAAGTAGGTGCACGAGCCCATTTCTTGATACAAGTCAAATGAAAAATTGAGTAACAGCTTGGGCACGACCAGATAGGTGCAGACCGTCTCACCATATCGTAACAAATCATGCATTCTACCGCACCCTTCATAAGCTTGTCCTGAATTTCTTGCATAAGTTGAGGCAAGCCCATATCCTTGGTCCCTTTTTCACAATGATTGTTATCCTTCTCTTTCTCTCTTCTATGACTCGAGGGCCGGTCCATTTGTCCCCTGGCCCCCAAATTGGGTCTGTACCGATCAACTGGCAAATTCACACTACAATTTGAGTCCCTGAAATTCCTATCCGGGTTTGAATTAAAACTCGAGGGCGGGTTCAACGTAGTCGTAGAGGAAGAGCCTCGTGGGACCCATTGTTGACGATGATTTTGGGCAGAGTTTCTGGGCCTATTGTTATTGTTTTCTCTCTGATTGTTTCGGATTTGAGAGCTCATATTCTGATTCTGGGATGTGAAATGCCTAAATTGACTATCCAGAGCTACAGTGAAGTGATTCGAATTCGATTGGTTCAGCACAGATATTGGGTACCCTAAAATGAAACCCTAGCATCAATCAGCAAAGAAATCCAAGAAATAAACACAAAAAACTTCACAAATATTCCTTAACTAACAAAACCAATAGCAAAAAAGGAAGAGACAATAAACCCTATGTCGTTCAATACAACAGGAAATGAAATAACTGAAACCAAAACCTATTTTCCATACACAGTAAATACACACATCTGCACATATATACACAATAGGATCAAAGAAATGATAACATACCCGATAAAGAAGATAAATCCCGAGTTCGATGAATCACTTCTCTCTCTCTTGAGATTTCTCTCTACAGATGTGGATGTGGGTGTGAATGTGCAGACCCTAAGATTTTCTCTCAGGAGAGAGAAACAAAGGACTGAGGAAGAAGGAGGCGCTCGTGGGAACAATTTATAGGCCAAAATGTGGATGGTGTGGCCTAGTGGGTCGGCGTCATGGCTTGGGCGGCAAGGGAGTCTGACTTCTTTATTGGATAATTACGTTCAGACCCTCTAAAATTTATCACTTTGATTATTTATTTTTAAAATATTACACACAAACTCTCTAAAATTTATACAGGTAACACTTAAACCCCGGATAATAAATTATACTCACACCTTTAAATTTTTTAAGCATGTAATACTTAAACCCTTCAAGTTTAAAATGTTATATTTAAACCAAAAATATTCCAATTAAATATAGAATATCAAATGTTTTAAATTTTACAACTAAAAATCATGTTTTATTATGTCATTTATGGAAATTAAATCAAAAATAAATATTTATTTTTTTCTTAAAAAATCATAATTAATATACTATTATATTATCTATTACCATAAAATTAAAAAATCAAATAAGTGGTCAAACTATAATAGATACAATATCTTCTACCAGGGATAATTTAATAGTTTAATTTGGTCGTTTAAATAACCAAATTAAATTCCAATAAATAGTATAATTGTATATCAATTATATTTTTAATAAAAAATATATTTTTATTTTTGATTTTATTTCAATAAATGATACAATAGAACATAAATTTTATTTGTAAAATTTAAAATATTTGATATTATATCTTAAATATTTGTTATCTAAGTAGAATATTTTAAACTTTAGAGATCTAAATATTACATGTCTATAAATTTTAGGGGGTCTAAATATAATTTACTAACGAATATACTTACCGATATTGACAGCAAGTGTTTACGTGTTACGTATGTATAAATTTTATGAGATCTATGTGTAATATTTTAAATATCGAGAGTCTGATTAATTAAGTGACAAATCTCATAAAGTCTGAATTAGACCACTCAAGATTCAATTTTCTTTTGAAAAAAAATTACAATTACATCCTATTTTGATTATAAAAATTATTTAGTCCTACCAAATTTTTATTGAAAAAATAAAATTCTATTTTTCATATTTTACTCTCATATAAGTCCTAAGTTTATTCTATTCATTCTTTCTAAAAAAGGTGATAAATACCAAGAATAATCGTGGTGCGGAATATGAAACGTCATAATTAATATGTGTAAAATGAATTTTCACTTAGAAAACAAAAAACTCAATTTGATTTAGCCAATGTCTCTTCCTAAAAGAGGTGCCTTTTAATCTTTAACTTTAAATCACAAAAATGTCAATTATATTTGGGTCACTATTTTCTCTGCACATAGCTTATCAACATATCTAATTAATCCAATTCAATTTAGAAATCTCTTATTGAATTTGATTTGAATATTCAAATTCTATTCAATCTAACTAATCGAATTTTGTATACCTAAGTCTTAATTTGTAGAATAAGATATAAAGAATTCTGATTTGAGATTACAAATAGATAATTATTAAACAAAAAATTACCCCTGTGACTACTTAAATGTAGGTTGGGCGAGCTTTTGACTTCATTTTGATTGGAGTAAGTACTTGTCAGGTAAAAAAGAAAATTAAATTCAAGTCTAGATCAAAGTTGGATTGAGATTAGGTTCATTGACAGATCTTAGACAATTAAAAAGATAAAATCGTGCTGCCCAAATTTGTTTATAAAACCTGATATCTAAAGTGATTTGTCAAAAATCCTATGCATTGAATGTTTGTTAGAATTAGTGGACTCCACTGATTTAACCGTCCTCATTGATTTGGGATACAAATTTTGATAAATGATCTGATATCATGACATTGCTCCAATTAAAATTACCTCATTCAAAATGAGTGATAACGTGTCAATCAGTGTTGGTGGAAGATTTAGTTGGGTCGGTTTTGACTTTTGAAATTAACCTTTTTCCACCCAATAAAACAAAGGGTGTGACATTGTGCTCTATGAGAGAAGGATGAGGTAAATTCAAGTCACCCCGATTGGAAGAAAAATGCATAGTCTATCTTGCAAGAAAATTTAAGAGATATTCTAAGGCTAATGGTGTATAGTCCTTAAATTGAAAAAGGAAAGTCAAGTAGAGCTAAAACCCTAATGGAGGGAAGTAGAGATGAGGCAAAACTTTTCGACAAGAAGTTAAGAAGAAGGAGCAAAGACTCCAATACTATGAATGTCAAAGATTTTGACTTGTTGTGGAATATCCTAGTGCAAATAAGAACATGCCAATGAAAAAAAGGAGAGTCGTGAAGGCTAAGTGGAGCGAAAGTGAAGGTGAGTCCAATTCGAGCGATAACTTCTCTTATTAAGAAAATAAAGATAATTTCACAGCCTTTCATATAAATGCTTATAAGTTTTATCTAATCTTTTTATAACTTCTACAAAACAACAAGAAGAAAGAAGAAGGGAAAGATGATATTTTTTTTCAAATTGTCTATTAATTTTGAAATCTTCTGCTTCTTTGAATGTCTCCAAACTTTCGAATAAAATGAACATTTACCAATTTTACTTCAATTATATATAATAGCATATATTTTAAATAATTCGTTGCAATACACTTGTACATCAACTTATGTGTTGCAAAAGACATTATGGTAAAACAGATTAATCTAAAAGATGATGACTTTATTATCTTTTGGCACGATTTAAAATTGAATCTTAAAAATCACATAATTTTGTTCTCTTTTCTTATCTTACATAAACATTGACCTCACTTGATTTTAAATCAATTAATAAAGTATTGTCCCAATTATTTGATGAATCGAATACGTATGCTCTATTAAAAACTCTTAAGTTATGTAACATTATGACTCGTGATTTTATCGATAAGTTTAACATGCCTCTTCATCGTTGATACAATAGAAGAGTTTCTACGAACATTTTCGAATCATTTAGTTGGTTATCTCTTAATTTATCCGTTGCTAGTGTTATTTTTAATTTGTTTTTTTTATTTGTGCTATTTCTACTTTCTAGTGTTAGTTAATACAAGGGAAATTATACAATAAAAATTTTATTTTTTAATAATCTACATTAACTTGTAACATATGCAAATTATATTTAGAAAGAAAGATGACATGTTTTTAAAATTATTAAAAAAAACCTACCAATTTTAATTGGAAACTAATTAACATATTTTTAGGAATGATAACAGTGTTGTACGGAGTTGGCCAATTATAATCCAACTCATTTAATTAATTACGTCATATACAGTGACACTAATTGTAAAATCTGGAAAAAATTTAAACTTTTTCAAAAAAATGGTAAAATGGTAATTTGTCACTATAATGCGGGTTTAAAATTCATATATTTTTAGAGCTTGGATGACGCAATGGACCTTACCGTTGGATTCGTATCACGAAATTTATCTACCCTGTCAATTTTTGTTGAATTTTGAGACAGTCGGATTTTACACATTTTACTAGACAACTGGATGATGAATGACCTCACAAACGTCCCCAAAAATAGAATTTTTAAAATTTTCTTATAATTGAATTAAAATTCAAATAAAATTAATTTGAACTTAAACCAGAATGTAATGAATCGTTTCAAGCCAAAAAACAGACCCGAAAGTAGTAAACGTGCGGGACGATGTGGACCGCACAATTAAAAGTATAAATAGGGGTTAAATATCTGAAAAATCAGATATTTTCACCCCAATAGCGGGCTGAATCAGAGGTTGAAGAGAGAAAATTTGTTTTTTAAGCTTTCTTCTCCGATCTAAGAAGTTTCGTTGGTCGAAAACCTTCAGACCAAGAATTAAAATTGATCACCGCGACGAGGGCTATGCATAAGTACCAAGAACGAGGAATTTCACCGAAGATCCAAAAAGGGGATTTATGAAATAAAAGGTTTTGGGGCTTAAGAGGTGTCCTCGACGTTCTAGTCTTCATCTCATGCTCCAAGAGGTAAGGGTTCTCCTACTTTGGTTCATTTCTTACCTAGGGTGCATATGGAAGGGAGTGAGTATGTAGAATATGTATACCACTTATTTATTGCTATGAAAATGAGGGAAAAAGTGTAGAAATGGCTTAGGCCAACTTGTAGCTTGAATTTAATATGTGGGAGTCACTTGTGTAATTCTTTAAAAATTGGTTTATGTGGGCATATTACATGTTTATATTATGCCTTGTAATTAAGTGCGATTGACATGAGATTGTGAAATGCCATACTTGAGATTTGTGTTGGATATAAATGTTGATATATTGACATGATAATAAATTTTGGTGATTATATGCATGTGATATAAATTGTTATGACACATGTTGAGATGTGTGGTTTAATTTGGCTCATTGACATTCATTACATTTGAGCATAATGTTGATAGTGCAATGACTTATTACATTGTATATGCACGAATAACACATTGCATTTTTATGGGTGTGAGTGCACGGTTGATATCAAACACCACATAGGTGGGTGATAAGTGGGCTCAGTACTGTTGGACCAAGGTTCAACAAAGTCGCACGGTTGCATGACATGAAAAACTTGTGTAGGATATAGAAATAAGGGCTAGACACTCCATCGGGTGAAAAACCCGATTATTGGTTCATATACTTCGACGGTGCAAGTCCAAAAAGTGTATCAGCGTGCGATACCAAAAGTCTGCTACCCAACAAAGACACAAAATTTTGTAATATAAAGTATTCATTCGATGAAAAAACATCAAAAAATGAATTAATTTTTATAAACTCATGGTTTGTATTTTCAAAGATGATCATTGGATGTATTTCATCAATGACAAGGGTTTTACACTTGCATTGCATAGTGTGGTGAGAGCTGATGAGGGTTCGGGTTAATGTTCGTGAGTGAATCTCATTTCATTCATGACATGGTATGGTAGATTCTAACATGAAACATGTATATTTTTGATTTGAATGGTTAGATGATTGTGAATTGTTGTATATATTCATTGCATATACACTTAGGTTGGGGAGTAACCTCTGTAGGAAACATTCTACTGGGCATTGACTCACCCTATAAGAAAAAAATTTTAGGTGTGGGGTTTATAGCGGCGAAGGACTTTCAATCGGGGCCTCAAAGATGAAGAAAAGTCGGAATGAGACTTTTGTTATGAAGTTTTGTAAATTTTTTGTTAAAACTACGTTTTGACATGTAAATGTATGAAATCACATGTGATAGAACTTGTATGGATCATATATAATATAGAAAATTTCATTATACATGCTTGAGATGAATTTGGAAAGGATTTGAATGAATTGGAAATCAAAAATAGGTAAATCGGGCAAAATTAGGCAAAACGTACAGGTACGGACCTGTCCAGAGAACAAAGTGTACTAATACGGCGTACCGGTACGGCTTTTCCAGCGGGCTAACCATACCAGTACTATCCTCAAAACTTTGAAATTTTAAAATTTCTTTCTCATGTTTTTGTGCTTGGATTTCCCTAGTTCCAATGATAAAAATGGACCTTAAATGGGATCTATTAGGGTGTATTGAACCCCAGTTGGATTAAATGATAAAAGGAACAAGGGTTACCCGTGTGAGTTATAATCCTGGACAAAGAGATATTATTAACGTGATGCCGGAGTGGACAACAATCACAGGTATTTTTACGGGTTGACGGGTGGTCAACGGTTAATAAATGACCCCGATTTTAGGGGCGTCACACTAATTCAATCTATTTATTATCATGTTGTGTTCTAGATAAAGCGTATAACCCATGCATAAAAAAATTAAAATTAAGCCACTATTATCACTCAACCAATCTGAAATTCACATTGTTACCCATCAACCAAACCCATATTTATTGTTTTTCCATAAAATAAAATTTTAATAAATTTATATATATATATATATATATATCTATATCTATACTACTAATAAAATACAACTGATTAAATTTTTTTTGATCGACTATTATAGCCCTATCAAAAAGATAAAAAACACTTATCTTTTATGTATTTAATTATTCAAAATTGATTGAATATACAAATAACCATTCATATACTTGCATTTCCACATCTATATTTATATTTCTATCTTTATCTTTACTACTGTATACTATTAGATATAGTTCAAAACTTTTGATTTTCTTTTTATTTACTACTTACCGCAATTGTTTTTACGCTGATTTTTTTCTCATTTCCCTATTTATTATTAATTGTGTTGGTGATTGAAAGTCTTCTTTTGTTTTTTCTTCATATTCTTTACTGGTTCAAAAAGTAATTGTCTGAATGACTAAAATTTTTATTTATTCTCTCTCCATTTTAAAAGTTTTATATTCTATTAGTCATGAGAATCAATTTATGATGAATTTTTATTCATTTTATATTTTATGTGTGTTTGATATTTTTAAAACGTTGCAATTTAAGATTTTTATTTGTTGGGTATCTTTTGAATAAAATATTCATATTTAAAAAAAAAGGTAGAAGAGAGAATATAATAATAATGAATTGTATTGTCTTGATGTTAGTTATGGATGATAAACCAAAGAAAATGACCATTATCCATTGACTTCACCATTGTTATTTTTTAATTTTGAATTTGTAATTTCACTCGTGTATTGTTTTCACAATATCAAAATAGTGTCTACGTACAATACACTTGTGTAACAACTAGTAAAAAAAAACAACAAGTTCAAAAGAAAAACTCTTATTTTACAAGTAATACATGATAAAAAAAAAAATTTACATGTATTTACACAATAAATATTAATTGATATTAATTTAACTAATTATTATTTATATTAATAAATTATAATGAGCAATGCTACGTGCCTTTAAAAAGTAAACTTAAAAATTAGACTTGATAATCTCAATTATTGATTTTACCGTGGGTCCCAATATTTATTGGGACCCACTACCTATTCAATAGTTGAGATTATCAAGTATAATTTTTAAGTTCATCTAACATTACTTAATTATAATTTAAAAAAAAATATTACCTTAAACTCATTAAATTTGTGTCGGGTTTGATTACTCTTTCCACCCTTATTTATTTCCTTCCAAATATTTTGTCTTTTGGTTTACTCTACGTTACATCGGGTGTGGGTGCGGCTCCTCTGCAGTTACAAACCACTAGCAGACCGTTTTGGGCAAAAGAATGGGACGTCATCGTTTTGCCCTTTTGCACAGTGAATGAATTTGCCCATAACTCACCGTCTGCAAGGCTCCACTGCTCTCAAAACTCTCTCTCTCTCTGGTAAATACTGTGTTTATACAACATATCATAAACATTAGAGGCCATCCATGGTCAAAAGCCTTCTCAATGATCTGAATCTTATTTTCACCGGCGACTTTGGTTCCTCTTCTTTAATATGCGTCAGAATATCAATTACCAGCATTCCGTCTAGGGTATTACTCGCTGATGAAGAGACCAACACGATGAGGATGAAGAAGCTGGTTGAGAAGAAGAAGCTGCGGGTATGGATTTAAGAACTGAGGGATCGAGGCCTCGACTAATATTTCACTAAGTTTTGGGTCGATAGAATTCTCCGATAAATAACCAAAGTTCAGTAAGCCCAATAAATTTTCTGGAATGCAGAGTTATGAATTTGCTGAATTGTTTGTTCATCTAGATCAGAATTTTCTGAATTATAGTGGATTGTATGTGTTGATTGATTAAACATTTTCCTTTTTTTGATTTGATTTGATTTAGATTTGTGGGTACCGATGGCAGCTCCGCGGGACCATAATTCACTCTCTGATAATATGCAAAACTTACAAATTAATCGGCCGGTGGTCAGCTCCGGTGGGCCTATAAGACCTCCTCCTCCTCCCTTTGCACAACATCCCCCACCATTTTCTGGTGCGGCCTCGGTAACCCGACCGGGCTCACCAGCACCAGCACCACCCGGTGTCTTTCCTAGGGCTATGGGGCCTCCTAGTGGTCCTCCTCAAACTACACTGCCACCAAATGTGGCTCCTAGATCTATGGTCTCGCCTGTTACTCAGACGCCTCCAGCTTTTGCGGCAAGGCCTTTGCCTCCACATCCGGCCCCTGGGTCATTTCCGTCGTCTATGGGTGGTCCGGTTCCACCCCCTTCTGGGTCACTTCCTAGTGCATTCCCATCGGGTCCTCGCCCTGGTCCTTATCCGGTGACAACAGGTCCAGTGGTGTTTCCTGCAGGCACCATTCCAGGTTCAATTAGTAATGGACCGCCAGCATTTGGGTCGGGGATGATGCAAGGTGGGCCCCGTTTTCCTTCTACTGTCAGTGCAGCACGGTCAACCCCTGTTGGACCTCCACCACCTGCCACAATGTTGACATCCAGGCCTTCCGGGGCTCCTCCCCACCCTCCAAGCATGAGTACTCCTTTTGGAAGTCGGCCTGCTAGTGCATCAGCAGGTCCTGGACAACCTGCCCCACCATTTTCAACACCACTACAGAGTGTGCAGCCCCTTCCAGGTTCCTCACCATTTGCAGCACCACTTCAAGGTGTACCTCCATCTTCAGGTTCTCCATACGGCCCTCCAACATGGACAATGCAACCACGACAGGTAAGTTTTTGGTAGTTCTTGATTTTTTTCCGTGCAATCATTTTATGTTGCAATCAAATTTATATTGCTACTTTTCAATATTTCAATTATATGTGACCTGAACTAGTTTGAAGTTTGAATAATTGATTGATTGACCTGAACTAGTTTGAAGTTTGAATAATTGATTGATAGATGACATACATGTTCGAAATGCATGATTATGGATGTTACATGCCATATTTTTGGAGTCAATTGCCCTAGTGGGGAGCGATGAAGTTGATAGACTGAGAAATGGATTACAAAGATCATTTGGTAGATATTGAGGTACGTAGTGGTTTTGGAAGCGGGGTTATGAGGAAATTCTAGTTTATGAATTGCTGCCACAATCATGGATTATTGCCAGCGAAGGTGGACGGAGGTTTGGGTAGATGTCAATCTAGTGGTGCGTGTTGCTGGTAGATGGTTGAATTTTGATTACGTTTCAGATGGTGAGAGTTTGTTGATGGTGAAATGAAGAGTGTCATGCAATTGAAAGAAAATGTGAGAACACAAAGGTCAAAAGGCTAACACAATTTTTGAATTAGATGAGTTTGAAACAACAATGCTAAGTGGGACATTGTAGTCCACTAATATTGGGGAACTCATTTTTGCGCTATTTATTTCCATATGTCTAAGTAGAGCAAGGATATATGAGGTTCTTGCTTTTTTTGCTTCTTTTGTAATTTGGGTATATCTGTTAGTCTATTTCAATGGGAATGGAGTTGGGGATTGAAAAGAAGGTTCTCTTGATAGATTTGTTGAGAAATCTTGCGAAGAAGGCATTCATGTCACTTCCAACTATAGTGATTAATGAGTTATTTTTCAGAAAGTTTAGAGGTGATTCTTTTTGCGCTTGGATTATGATGATTAAGAATCAGATTGAAAATTCTTTAAGAGAGTCAATGATTCAAAGCACCGGCAAGAAACAACGTTTGATTGTTCTGAAAAGATATAATGGAATTGGGTGATGATGGACATGGACTACATTTCTAAAAGGAATTGTAAGATTGAATCTTAGCTTTGATCCCTCTCTCTTTCCCTCTTTCCCCCTCTCTTACATCTCCGAAGTCAATTGATTGTGATAATATTTGACTTTGATAATGGGAGAATATCTAAGTATCGGTGGTAATGTTTTTGTTTCTTTTGTTTAATTAAATATACGGTTGAAGCATTGTTAAGATGTATATCTATTGTATATGATGTACAATACTTGTGAAATGATGTTATTGGTGATTTTGTAAAAAATAATTTCTTGTTAAAAATGCTAATTCATAAAATCTAATGGGGGTGATAGTGAAAGAGTCAGAAAATAGAGGGGGTGTCCTATGATAAACTAAACGTAACAACATTACTTCCGTTAGAGTTGTTAAGAGGCAAACACCAACAAAGGGTGTCAAGAAGTTTCAGATAATCGCGATTACTAATGCTACTTTCATATGTCTTATCCCTAAAAAGGAGAATTCTTTGAAGATTAATAATTTTAGGCTAATTAGTTTGGTTACTTGGTTGTGTTACATTTTGGCAAGTGTTTTTTAGAAGATTATGGAGTGTTTTGTATGATACTATTTTGCGAAGGGACAACAAATTCCTATTGTAGTGCTAGTGGGCAATGAGGATGTGGAAGAATATAGGATAACTAGTAGCGGTGGTATCTATTGGATTTAGTTTTAGAAAAGAAAGGATTTGGGTGCAAATGGAGAAGGTGGATTTGCGGATTCTTGTCTTTGACAATTTGCTTTTTGAATCAGAAAATGAGAAGGGTTGTGGTGATTCTAGGGAGTTTAGGTAAGGTGATCTCATATCTAATTTCTGTTTACTTTAGTGTTTGATGTCCTAAGTAGATCATTGTAGAGAGCTAAGGAGTTTGTTCTTGTTGCTGGTTTTGTGGTTGGGCGGTATAGCGTCTCAATATCTCATCTATAGTTTGCCAATGTCACTATGTTTATTTTTTTTAAAAAAAAATAAGGGAATGAGTGGAACATTCTTAATTTGCAGTCTATTTTTCAAATAATTGAATTGATTTTGGATTGGAAGTTAATGTGAGCTGAAGTCCCATTGTTGGTATTATTCGTTGCATGATAAGCTAGATAGCTTGGTGGGTGTTCTGGGTTGCTCTTTGGAAAACTGGCCTTGTAAAATATTTGGGGCTTTCCTTAGGGCAAATCTTAGATCTGAAGGTTTTTGGGGTCTTGTGACTGGGAAAAATGGGAAGAGATTATATGGATGGACGAAAGCTATGTTATCAAAAGTTGGAACATGGATGCTAGTGCAGTCAATTTTATCCTGTATGCTTATCCACTGTATGCCTTGTTTTACTATTCCTTCAAAGGTAGCAAGAGAATTAAAAAGTTGATGATAAAGTTTCTACGGGAATGGAATGGGGAAGGGAAAAGTGTTCATTTGGAGAAGTGAAAAACTAGTTTTGCAATAAAGGAATAAAGTAGGGCTTGTGTAGGCGGCATTACTGCTAGAAATATTGTCTTGATTGGGAAGTGGTTGTGGAAGTTTCGTATTGAATGCTGGTCTTTGAGGTATATCATCATAAAAAGTAAGTGAGATTTATGGTGATGAATGAGATTCTCCTAGTTGATTGGGGAAATTCTTGGAGTCCGTGAAAAGCTTTTCACCTGGCTCCCTAATAAAAGTAATACTTGCAATGTCAGCACCAAGAAAATACTAGCAAGTTAGGGCTGCTGGGGGGTCTCCACTTGGATGAAGCTTTATGTTTGCTGGACTCCCAAGTTAGCAAGGAGATATGCACATTGATTGCCTTCTCTTAAGGTGTGCATCAACTTGAATGGGTTGGTGTGGATAGTTTCCTTGCAGTTGTCAACCAGCAGTTTCATTGAGGAGTAGCGAACTTGATGCAATTGGATGAGGTTTGAATGCTTCTAGGAAATCAGTTTCAAGGATGACTCTTATGCCTTGGCCCATGTACAGCTTCAGACTCGTGTAAATAGCCCAGAGTTCAGCTTAGAGACTGCATGCGTGGTTGATTCTTCCATAGAAGCCTTTCATCCCGTAGGCTCTTTCATCTCGTAGTCCCTTTCATCCGGTTCTCATAGTGCCACTATTACTACGATGGTGTGCTTATTTTTCTATCCTATCAGTGGGAATTATGACTTCTTTAGAAATGACACTGATATGGGGGCCTTCATGAAAAAAGACACTGATATGAAAGTGATTGAGTTCTCTTTTCTGGATTCCCCATTGGATGGGGTGGGATATCCTAAGACAGTATGTCCCTGGTGGAAGGGTGATTGAGTTTTCATTTCTTGATTCTTTCTTTTGAGATGTATTCTTGCAAATCTTTTTGCAATGTTCTGGTTATCTGTTGATATAAGCAGCCCTATCTCGTAAATTCAAATTTTCTCTTGGATCTTTGCTCATATGATTTAAAACTAATGATTTATTTCAGAGAAGAGATCTCACTGTTTTCTTTGGTTGATTTGTGTTGGGCGGCATCACTCATGTGAATCTATGTTTGTCATTGACTTTTTGGTGTTTTTGGGAAGAGTAGAAAATTTCGGTATGTTTGGAGGTTGTGGTGTTGACAATCTTTTGGGTGGTATGGTTGGAGAGAAAATCAACACTTTGGGTGTCTACTACTCCCAATTTTGATGGAATTTCGTTGCTTTTTTTATTAGGGCAGATTGAAATATGATTTGCCAGTTTCTGAGATGTAATTTGTTCTCTATTTATCTTTTCCTTGCTTTTAGCTTTTTTGGAGGATCACTTGTCCTTCATGTACTGGGTTTTTAATTCATAATGAAATTACTTTGTTGTTGTTGAGAAAAAATCTTCGAAGCAAAACAATGTGTAGCCGAGGTAAAAGATGAGACAGACACTGAAAATAACAACAATATGATTGACTACTTTTGAAGACATTTTTTTTAATCAAAACACTTGTTCTAGCATAAAGGCAAACATGACAGGAGAGGTGCATAAATTTGATCCTCAGTGTCTTCAACCAAACTGCTTTAGGTTCATGTACATAGACTTATTTTCTCATTCTGCTCCATGCAGAGTCACATTTTACATTGCCTTTGAGGATAGCCTACTGCTTTTATTTTTTGCTATCTCCACCTTGTATCTTGAGAATTTTGACAGGAGTGTGAACTGATACAAACAAAGGGGGAGTTTATTTGCTATTTGTGGGTATAACTGGGGTTTTCATATACATTTTATGCTGGCCTTTTAATTGTTCTTGTTACTAGTTCTCACCAGGAAAAAAATCTGAACCTGTCCTTCTTAGTGCATTGTTCCATTCTAATCTTGAACTTTGAATTTAAAATGACTTTTGTTTATGTGATTTCAATTCGACTGATGGTCTTTTTATTTTCAGTGTCTGTGTATTTGTAGCATAAATTCAAAATAAAGCCCAATAAGTATCCACACTTTTATCTCGATTCTGGATTTTCTGAATTTAGTGTTTTCTTTAGGTGGCCCCACCTTTACCAGTTCCTGGTTCTTCTCAACCACCAAGGATGTTTGGAATGCCACCTCTGCCACCTCCAAATCAATCTTTGGCTGATATACCACCTGCAATGGGTCATACTGGAGCTGCTGTGACAGGGCCATCGAAAATTGATCCAAATCAAATTCCACACCCTATTCCGAGTTCCTCAGTAAGTTTGCATGAAACACGTCAGGGCAATCAGGCCAATCCTCCGCCGGTAATTTATCTGAAATTTAGCCTGATTCAAAAAGGAATTAATTTGTTTTGTGTGTGATCTGCTGGGTTGAGTTATTACTCTTACACCTTTAGAATTTCCATTTATTTAATGTTAATTGCAATGTTTATGTCCAGGCCCCAATCTGTTATAAACATGCATAAGCCTGCCTTGATTTGGTATACAGTGAAAGCTAAGGTTTAGGATTATATGTTATAGATAGTCTGATCTTTCCTGATTACTTGTTTTGTTTTGAAGCCGGCTACAAGTGATTACATAGTCAAGGATACGGGGAATTGCAGTCCGCGTTACTTGAGGTGTACTATCAATCAGGTCATGATCAAGTATTTATAGTGCATAAATTTATCATTGTTTTTGCATCTGAAGTCACTCTCTTTTTGATGTAATTGTTTATGTGATTTTATAAATTAGTTCCCTACTTTGTCAGAGCTATTATGGGGGCTAAATTTGATGCTGTTTATTTTTCTTTCTGTTGTTTCAACAGATCCCATGCACCGCTGATCTTTTGACCACTTCAGGGATGCAGTTGGCTTTATTGGTCCAACCCTTTGCCCTTCCTCATCCATCCGAGGAGCCTATTCAAGTATTGCATGGATTTCTTTTGTCTCTGATCATTCTTTATAGCCTATTTTGTCCTCCTAAATATTTATGTATTATTTAGGTTTAGGTTTATAATTTGTTTTTCTCTACTTTCTTTAAGGAGTATATCAATTATTCAGCACTAATTATGATGCATTAGGTCATAAAAACATTCTCTTGCAAATACTTGTACTTGGCATGTACTTTACAAATATATGTTCTGGATGTGCATACATTGATCTTCCCAAGTTCTCTATTTTAGACAGCTGGTAGTTTGACTTATTATTTTTTGGGCTTCCTTAGTTCATACTGTACTGGAAATTACTGTGAATATCATCCAAATTTTCTTTATTTTGCAAATAAGAATATAAGAAAAATCAACAAAAATCTGAGTTACAAGGCTGAAATGGAGATACACGTATTTATGCTGAATATTAGTTTAGCTTGTATTTGTTGTTGTCCCTTTAACTTATAGAACGTGATTCTTGATTATGTAATCATTAATGTTTAATTAGGTTGTGGATTTTGGGGAAAGTGGTCCTGTTCGATGTTCTCGTTGCAAAGGCTACATAAACCCTTTCATGAGGTTTATTGATCAGGGAAGACGTTTCATATGTAACTTTTGTGGTGAGTATCAGTTTTTCTCCGTCTTGTGCTCCTACACTAGTAGTATTAATGTTTAGGTTGTAAATTTATCTTTTGTGGTCGAGATGATTTTACTGTTAACAGCGATTAAGTACTCAATTGGGGATAACAAACATTCTTTGGCCTTATCGACTGTTAAATAATTTGTAAGTTACTAGATTCGATTCACATGATTTAAATGGTGTTACCCTCGATGTTAGGAGCTTCTATATTTTAATGTTGTAGTTATTTACACCAGAACTACAGATTTTTGGTTGAGTCACATATTATTTGAGCATGTTTTGGCTTTATATTGCTCTTTGATCTTATATTCTGTATTCATCAAGGTCAGTTTTATTTGTAGGATTTACGGATGAAACTCCCCGCGACTATCACTGCAACTTAGGTCCAGATGGTAGGCGCAGAGATGCAGATGAAAGGCCTGAGCTATGTAGAGGAACTGTTGAATTTGTTGCCACCAAGGAGTTCATGGTTAGTAACAATAAAGTTTGCGTGGTGTGTAGTGGCATCTTGTTTGCACCTTTTTTTTTTTCCTTTTTGTGGATACACCTGGTTGCCCTTTGTTATTACCATTGAAGTGTTCTCTATTTATTGTTTCAACACTAGGATTACTAGGTCTTTGAGAAACAGAAAGTCTGTCAATGGATCTAGTTACAGAGCTACCCAAGAAAAACACATTCAATTTGGATTGAAACTATGAACTCAGGAGTTTTTAATTAAAAAAAAAAGGGTTTTGGATAGCGACAAGCTCAGCAAATAAGACCCTGTCCATTCTAAATAAGGCCCAACTTATTGTTAAAAAGAGTGAGAATCATTAGTACCCATCGTTAATGGCTTATTACTAAGTCTCATATAATCTTTATTGATAAGCTGACAAAGTACCCTAACATGCTTGAACCAAACAAACAAGGACACTAATCAAACAATAACTATAGTGATAAACCAGTGGCTGTTGGTTTTTGTCTGTTACTATTCATCCATGTGGGATCCACTTCTGGCACATTTATTTTTTGATCTTCTCACTCTATCCTCTGTGCACCTTTCTGGATTTCTAGACTCTTCTTTTATCTCTCTCTCTCTTTCTTCTCACACACCTTCACTACCACTGGCTGACAGCCAACTAGCAGCCCACCACTTCACTTTTCTGTACTCTCCCTCTCTCCTCTCAAAAACAACAACCACAGCCCAACAACCCACCACCCACCATCCAACACTGCCACTCTCTCTCTCTCTCTCTCTCTCTACACCCTGTTCCCAACCCAACCCAACCCAACCCAACCACCCAGAACCTGAGAATTCCAAAAATGCCCTCCCCTAACCAGCAACATTGCAATGGGATGCTCCATGGTTGCGAACAATAAAGTAGTACTAACTGGTTAGATTTTCTTCTGAAATATTGCTTGGAAGGTGATTTTAAGAAGTTTTATGTTTGACCATCTCAAATATTTTTTAGAATCCCCTGCAAATTTGATGTAAGATCAGATGTTAGGTTGCATTGATAAAGATGAATCAAAGGATGACGGAAGAGGGGTGGATCCAAGATCTCTTCACAGGTATCATGGAGCTCTGTGGTTGTGAGGATTTTCATTATGGTTTGAGGGAGAAGAGGTGGGTGTTGGTGGTCGCAAAGAACGATTAGGGAAGGGCAGGTGAGTATTGGTTGTGCTTGTAGCGGGATGTGCTGTAGGTGGTCAATGGGATGGGCCATGGTGGATGTGGGATTAAGGTGCTGTGTGTGTGAACTATGGGGGTAGATAGAGAGAGAGAGAGAGAGTCCCCATGCTGGGTGGTGGAGCCACGGTGTTGTTTTTTGTGTGGAGAGAGGGAGAGAAGAGAATTTGAGGAGTTGGGCTGCTGTTAGTGAGTTGCTGGTTGGTGGGGCTGTGTAGCTGTGTGTGGAGAGAGAGAGAGAGAGAGAGAGAGAGAGAGAAGAGTTTGAAAATGTGAAAAAAGAGAAAGATAGAGGGGGGAAGAGTCGGGAAGGTGCAAAGGGCACGCGTGACGAGAAAAAAAAAGACTTGGGAAAAAAAAAAGGCCAAAAAATGAAAGAAAGTGGGAAGAAGAGGCATAAGAAAAATGTGAAGGTGTGATATGATGTTTCAATTATTGTTGCAGCCATGTAGACATCTATATGTGACTAGTCACCCTTCTATAACTTGTGCACATTGCTGTTTGCATCCGTTTACATCTATATAATATGGACCTGATTATCACTTTTCATCTATTAAAATCATGAATATGTGTAATTTTTTATACTATTTTATTTTATTATTTTATAATCAATGACTAGAAATTAAATTAATTGAATATCTAAATTCAACAAATCCTTTGAATCAGACTATTATGCATCCAATTCAATTAGGATGGCCTAAATGGTTTTGGATTGCATTCAATTTGAATGAGTAAATTGTAATTCACATCTGATTAAATGGATTCAAACTTGGATCAATTTTGAGTAAAATCTGATCTATTTACATGCTTATATATTGCTGGATCGTACAACTTTGGGATTTCGTGGTTCTTTTTAAAAATATGTATATCGAGAGGAGCCTTTAACATATCGCGATATATTATGACTATTTTGCTGGCAACCGTTTGATTAACGGATTAAGATCCTGATTTATTTTTATCGAGTTGTTAATAGTAAATTATTTGTTATGAATTCTACTAATAAATTGTCATTAATATATTATTAAAAAGTATTAAAAATGTGTTGTTAAGATTCAGAAACATAGATTTGGTTGACATTTCCTGATAACAGTTAATACGTATTGGAATTCAATCAATGGTGAGTTTTTGTTGGGTTCATAATCAATATAAGATTACCAATCATAAATTTAGATATAATTTCTCAAATTTACCATAGAGAAAATGGGAAAAAAAATACTATTAGGGGAATCTCCATTCCCATATTGTCAAAGTTGATAATTTATTATACAACTTGAACTCTATACAATATTATTGTGTTTAAATTAAGATTGATGTTGTTTGTATTGTAATGTATTGCTAGCAAAATTCATTAACTAAGTATGTTGTGTGTGTTTCTAATGTCAATTTACATGATATACCTAATAATGTGACTTGTTCAATCTTTAATTGTTCAGTTAGTAAATTTCAAACTAATTCAACCCTAAGCGATTTATTGCAATGCTATACATGCTAGATCACTTTGTCTTAGAACAATGTAACTTTAAAATTAATATTTTGATATGAGTAATCAAGAATATCCCATCTACATTGATAATTATGTATACCTTGAATGAACACGAAGTGAAGCACCAAATGCATGGCGCCAGTTATGGTATTGGATTGGTACTATATCTAGAAATAATTTCTGGAAATAAATTAAGATTTGGGTTATTTATGATAATAGATCGGGGAAGTAATAAGATAAAGAAAAATAATGAAAATGATGTCGAAAAGTAACAACTTTTTTTTTTTTGTTGGGATAAATTACACCACCCCTTGAGACTTGTCACAAAATCACATGGATCCCCTCTTGTTTGGAAATGACATGGTGCTCCTTTGGGGTTTGCTTCTTCATAGCACATAGCCTCCAACCGTTAATATTTGTTTTAGGAGTTGTTAAACTGTAGTAATATCAGTTTATGTTTATCACAAAATTTCAAAACTGCCTATATGCTGCCCACCACCATTCCAGATAAAATATCACTTAAGCCCAATAACTTTGAATTTCCATAAAACCCCCCAAAAATATCGGTTCTTTTCTTGAATGCTCTTTGCTCTTGTTGACAAGCTAAATTTCAAAATCAACACCACTATGTTTTTTCTATCACCACCGTTGGAAAAAATCACCATGTTTATTTATAAACAAATGAGTTATTATTTTCTTATGGGACACAAAAGCCTTACCGGTTAGCAAACATATAAAAAATCCTCCACTACGATTTAGGAATACGGCAGCCCCACCTGCACAACCACCCACCACCAAAAACTTAACCACTATCCACATAAATCTAAATGTTACTGTACTTCTATTTCCTCCTCCACTAAATGCAAACACAGTACCACCTCCTCTCCCATCCACTACCTCCACCCTTCCCGGCACCAACACAGTCCACCATCACCATTGGGTATCACAGTCCCATCACCACTGCCATCACCACAATTTCGGCCATCCTATATCCCCTTCTTTGCTCAGTTCCCTTTGAAGTAGCTACAAAGTAAGATTTAATACAACAACCGGCACGTGACTGTTTGACATTAGTCTAAATTCATGGGCTCCAATTAGTGTGTGTTGCACGTGGTCACACTAGGTTTATCAGATAGGCACATGCCATTGGACCAACCAATTTTTATGGAGCCCAGTTGGCCGAAATCTTAGTTTTAGGCTTCAAAAGTTGAAGTCTTAGGTCATTGGCGGTTAGCTTGAGTTGCCACTCTAAGAAGAGGAGGTGTATAATGAAGGTGTATTTGTGTTTGCATATAGAGAAGGTAAAGAATTAGAATTTTGGTTGAGGGAACCAGAAAAAAGGAACTCGTAGATGAACTAGAACTGGCTGGTTGCCACAAATTGTCCAATGTTATGGGGATTTCAGATTGTTCGGCATGTGGAACAAGGTGAAAAACAATATTATATACAAATACAAGACTGCAAGCCTATGTAGATAATAATGTTAGAATGTATTGTGGTGAGTGATATTTATTTTTAAAATTATATGATACTGGAACTTAATGTTGTTTAAACAATCTGCAAAGTTTGCACCCAAGAAATGTCAGTGCTGCTCAAGGACTTCCATGGGGATTGCCTTTTTTATGGATTTTTTTCTTGAGCTGCGTACTCTTTTATATAGCTGTATGTACTTGGGATCTGCCCCCATTTCTGATTGCTTTATTAAATATGTACTAATCTCAAAGCTAAAGTGCCAAATTACTAGTGCAGAAAGCTTCAAGCACTGAATTTCAACAATTAAAAGATTAGGATTTAATTTTTAGCTTCCGAGTAAAACATATAACTGAATCTTTTAAGCATGATGAAGATGTCAAGAAGCTAAAGAAAGACAACATTGAAGGGGAAGAGAAATTTAGAAACTCAATTCAAATCTCGAGGCAATTAATGCTAGAGAATTTGATGTTTGCAAAGTTTCGCAATAGCTTAAAGTCATTAAAATCTTTAAGTGTGGGTGCTTTGGTGATTTTAGTTTTCTAAGCAGACGATTAGTTACTAAACGAAAATTACAAGTTTTGTGTTGTTCAACGGGAGATACCATTGTTGCAAACCCTTGGAAGTACCTTGTAACTTTTTGTCTTTGTCCTGAAATCTTTCTTTCTTCTTCTTTGTTCTTCCTAATTTCTCCTTTTTCTTGCAGTACTTCTTTTTTCAGGTGCTTTGTCTCCTCATTTTGCCCTCACCTTACACATCTCTTCTCAATTTTATCATACTTTGACTTCCATGCAAGGGATCCCATTTGGCTACTATTTTTAAGCGCACTTCAACCTTTTTGGTATGAGAGTAGATTTTGATCCAAGCAAGCCGTGATTGAGATCAAAGTAGAACATTATTTTATTGTAGCTAAATCTGGCCGTTTACTGGAGCAAAACCTGGTTTATTTCTTTCAAAAATTTACTGATTACTTGAAGCCACTTAGTCTTTAAACTAAGAGACAACGGAAGATGCTAGTTTTGCATCAATACCAAAGAAAGGCACTACTTGGTTTCGATAGCAATTTGCACTCAAAAATCCTATTCCAGAACCAACTAATTGATCCTTCACTAATTTAAGGTTCTAGAGTACTCATTACGATATGCCTTCTGAAAGCTTTTCATGAAGACAGTAAACTGATGCAATTTTAGGTGTTGAACAATCCAACATTGGAGGACGCATTAGAGTCAGATGAAGTCTGTGTACTATTCCAAAAGATGTTGAAGGCAAAGCAAAAGAAGATATTTGAACCCAGTTGTTTTGGAAATGAGAAATTTGGAAACTCTAGTGGTATTCAGGAGTTGTTTTGTTGACCAAGGCGATATGCTGTTTCGGGTGTTGTTTGTAAAATCTGTGTACTAGGCGAAACATGGATGATAGTTAGCTTTGGAACTCTTATCACAAATTTAAAAAAAATATTAATTTGTTTGTGTATGTGGATATAGAATTATAAGTAATGTCATGTAATAGTGAAAGCGATCTGAATTAGATTTCCAAAGCGAAGCACGATCAAAAACAATATACCAAATCTACTCCAATTGCACTGTATATCGTAATATCATACAGCGTGTGTGCACCCATACTAAATTGTCACACGATCTAGATTATCACACGTGGAGTGCATGATCACACTGATGGGATCTTTATGATGAGTGATCAACATGCACCAATTCACTGACTGACTCTCGTGCTCTTTTCATTAAGGGTGTTTCTTCTGTTCTTTTATTTTTGGGCTACAGGGTAAGTGAATTTTCACATTTGCATCTTTTTCTCCAGGTGCGTGATCCGATGCCTGCCGTTTTTTTCTTCCTCATTGATGTATCCATGAATGCCATCCAGACTGGTGCAACTGCTGCAGCTTGCAGTGCAATCAGCCAAGTTATTGCTGATCTACCTGTAAGTGAATGTCTACTACAGCTTTGGGAAGCATTTAATTATTCCCTTGTTTAATGCTATATTGGTTTGATGATCAGTATTTTGGGGGATAATTTAATTGAGCATCTGCGAGAGAAAGCATGGAACCCTGTGTAATTAAACAATATAAGTGGTGCCAGGGTTATATTCTATTATGTCAGAAATTTTAATATCTAATTAAAACTCTAGAGTTGGCTGATTTAATGTAGGCTTAGCTTTTAAATTCACTTTAGCAGTATCAATTGTGGACTATATGCTTCCACAAGAGTGCTTGAGTCTGCCCACACTTCTGTTTTTGTTAAATTAAATGTACAAACAATGAGCAAAACTAGTTTGCAATATGTATTTGTCAGACATGTCTTTTGTGCTAAATGTGTTTGGAGGTTGTCAGAAACAGTTATTTTAAGCAATAACTATCTCTTCTCTTGCTGACCTTAGTTGCACCACATTTAAGTTGTGAATTCAACAGCTTTATCATCTATGTTTTTGATTTCTTCTTAAGATACTGTTGTACTCTTGTAATAACAATGCATTTCTTTAACTGAGATTTTGATGGCTTTGTTGTTTCAGGAAGGTCTGCGAACAATGGTGGGCATTGCTACATTTGATTTGACCATCCATTTTTACAATCTGAAACGTGCACTACAGCAGGTTGATTCAATTATGTTTTTGCCCTAGTTAGTAGCTGTTTTTCTGCCTTTTATTATTATATTTATATTTCTTGTGGATACAATACAACTGATTTGTTTTTAAAATCGAACTGAATATAAGTCATGTTGTTAGGTTTTGTCGATCTTGGGAAATAGGAAACACATTTTTGTAGGGTCCTGTTGGCAAGAATTTCGTCATCATCCACACCTTTCTTTTTAAGAGTTGTCCATGCAAAAATGTGCTTTCTGGTATTTTGTTTGACCTACTGCTAACCTAACATTTTCTCCTTATGGTCTGGCTACAAGGCTGAAAAGTAGAGTGAAAATTGTAATACTAACTTAAAGTTGCTGTGGATGCTCATTTGTGTCAATGTATGTTTGCAGCCTTTGATGCTTATAGTTCCTGATGTACATGATGTTTACACTCCTCTCCAAACAGATGTTATCGTTCCACTTTCTGAGGTGAGCTACGTAAAATTCTGACCTTCCAATTTCTTTCATTTTTTTTTTTTTTTTTTTTTTTTTTTGGGGGGGGGGGCATAGAAAGTGTGCAAGGCAGTATTTTACCAATTGGTTCTAAGTATTTATTTTCCTTTTTCAACGAGTTTCTAAGCAAATTAAGTGAACATTTTTTTTTCATTTCAGTGCCGTCAACATCTAGAGTTATTGCTAGAGAACATCCCAACTATGTTTCAGGACAACAGAACTGCTGATTCAGCCTTTGGTGCAGCTGTGCAGGTATGCAATTTCTCTATATAGTACTTATAAGAAATTGATCAACCAATCTTGTTAACTGTTTAATTATCACGGATTTATACATTTTGATGTTTGGTAACCAAAAACTTCTTTGTGTAGAACTTCTTATGCAGCAAGGAGATATTGCATAAATCTTTCCAGGAGTATTCTTGTCCTTCAACTGTGTGTATATTTGTGTCTGCTATATCATGCAAAATTGTCCGAAGTGTCTATATAATCAAGTGGTCATTGGCTCAAGAATTAGTGAAATATGCAAATGATCAAGAATTTGAGAAATATGCAGCTTACTAAATGATACAATTAGTTGCAATTTCCATTGGGTGATAGGGATGTAAATGAGCTGAGCCTAGCTGTGCTGAATATCAAGTCACTCAAGTTTGTTAGTTTGGCTTGTTTATTTTATGAGCCTCTTATGAATGAGGCTTGCTGGAGTCGATCTTGAGTTGCTTCACATTTCATATAGTCATTGGACGCTAATTAGCCTATCAAGCTCAGTTCGAATGGGGCTCGAAAAATTGGCGGGCTTAAAAAATGTGCTCAAGCTTGGTTCGATTCTCAAAAGTGTCTCTAATGAGGCAATCCTGACCAGAGCTTGAGTAGCTTGTTTATTTATTTATTTTTATAGCCTTATTGGTCAATGTACATGCCTTTTGAGGGTTTTTTTCATTTGGTTTTAATTCAGTAATTTGAAGTGGTATTATTACATATTGCCCATGTCGGTATGTGTCAACCACGCGGAAAATGAAATTGAATTTCTTGGTATGTTGGCTACGTGCTAGATTGCTTCACTATATTTTAACCATAATAATCTTTGTGATATCTGATACGCAATTGCTTAAAAATGACTTAATTTTGGATAATTGTAGTACATGTTTTTTATGTTGATATTTGTTATCATTACTTTAGGCTGCGTTCTTGGCAATGAAGAGTACTGGGGGAAAACTTCTGGTATTTCAGTCAGGCATGCTCATGATCTTTTCTCTATTTTTTTGAATTTTGCCTTAAAAGAAGTTTTCAAGTTGAGGATTGCAAGTTTGCCCTATTGTGCCTCCATTATTGTGTTGTTTGTAATGTTTAAGATTTGTTACTGAGAAGAGATTCTAAACTTTTTATTTGATTTGTGCATGAGACATTCTGATGTGGCAGCTGTATGCTAGCTAAGCCGTATATAAAATGTTGGTGCAGTGAATAGCGAAAATCGCATGGGGAGTTTGATGCCAAAGAGATCACACATACATTTTTTTTAATAACCAGACTTAAAGAATTGTTGTTTTTTGTGCATGGGGAAAACTAGATTAGACTATCAATTAGAGTATCTCCAGCGTTGACTCAAATTTTTACTAAAATTTTGAGTAAAAAACTTGATTTGATACAAAGGGCTTAAATAGACAAACTCAAATTTAAAGGAGGACAAACTCAAGTTTAAAGAAAGACAAAGTCAAATTTAAAGGTGGGTGAAATATGATCATTGGATCTTAAAGGATAATGAAATCTCACCATTGGTGATTTGAGTAAAGATTTGAGTCTCTCTTAATTTGGTATGAGTTTGGGTATAAAATTGGATGAAGTTATTGAGTTATTTTTACTCAAATTTAAATTTGGATATAAAAAGGGTAAATGTTGGAGATTCTCTTAGAAAATGAAATACAGAGTGTCAACAAAGCCTATGATCATGTGACCAGGACCACTACATAAAACAATGGATGAGAAAATACTTGCTGATTGTAAGATTTTTACTAGGAACTTAAGAATTGAGTTTTGTAGCCTAAGTTGATTGTGCATGGAAGGTGAGAAAACGATGGTATGGGAAAAAAGGTTTGATTTGTAATGGTTAGTTTATTAAGTGGCTACATTGGATAAATCTCACAAAAATAAGTAGAGGTTGATGCATTGCTGCTAGAGTTGGTTATCTGTATCTTTTGTTCTTCAAACTTTTCGGCAGGTAAAGTTACGAGAATGGCTAACATTTCAATCATTAATATTTATTGGAAACTGCATACCCTAAGAATTTCACCAGAAATTTGTTCACATTGATTGGATAGGACTTGATCAATGTGCATTATTATACATTTTTTTAAGAGTCGACAGTATTGCTGGATCAGTTTACATAATGATGTGGATTATTGGATAAACCTCCAAAGATCTTTGATTAAGAACTAGAGAGGGTTTTGGAAAAAAGGTGGGGGGGTAGTGTGTGTGATTCAATATGTCTATTAATAATTATATCGAATTTAATCTTGACCATTTAAATAAGCAACTCAACAATTTATTCACAAGCAAATATAATCAATCAAGTTTATACACAATCGTGGTACTAAAAACAGTTACATCCACTAGTGCATTGTAATCCATCCATTAAAGATATGTAGCTAAAATACTTTATGATTTATATGGTGAAAGATACATTTCATACTTTATATTTTCTTACCAGTTAATCAAGAAAACTAGTTTTTTAAGTGGAAACTCTACACGAGAAAAGCAATGGGATTATTTAGAAAACTCACTGGACAATATAGAACTTACAGAATACACTGACGCAATAGGTTACTGACCCAACTGGATTCCCTTCGGTCATTCAGCAGAGATATACTGCTGCCTTGTACCTTTTAGATTGATTCCTCCGATCTTTGTTCTATCTGTGTGGACACACAAAGTCCACTCCTCGTGCTTTGTGAGACTGCTAACCTCAGAACAATTTTGTGTTCAACGCAAGATTTTACGCTGATTCATAGTTTATCAAGTTCAAAGAAAGGTTCAAAGAACACACAAAAGTGTATCTGTGGTTTTGGTCTAGGATTGTTCTCACAAAAACTTTATAATTTGTTCTCTCAAAGATTTACTTTGAAAACATTAAAGAAAATTCTTGTAACCGCCTTAAACCTCGTGGAAAGTGTTTTGTTTCTTGGGCAGACTCTTACAAACGTAGGATAACTATAGGTGTTTTATAGTTTGCAAACAAGAACTCTAGTTTTGAAAAACTAATAATATGCCTACCGAATAGGATTTGAAATTGAGGGATCCAAAGAACTTGTATACCCACTTTTTTTCGTGATTATTCTCCGCTTTTAATAAGAATCTTCTCAAACATCTTTCCCCCTTTTTGTCACATTTTAACAAAAGAAGAAAATAATCATAATATAACCAAGAGAGACAAACAAAGTATAAAATATCATGTGGAAAAATAATAAGATCATTTAACTAGACTTACAGTATACCGGAAAGGATAAAATGTTCAAAAAGAGTTTTTAGGCACCACAACTGTGAACTAGTACAACTCAATTGAACTCAACAAAAAGTTTTAGCCAATTATTTGGAGTTGGCTACATGAATGTTGTTCCTACATTGTACTCTATTAAGAGCATAGTTATTTAGTGGGTCTTTAGTGGTGTTCCATTGATGGAAGGACAACGGGAGGAATGGAAAGACCTTTTGAGGTGGAAGAAGTTAAAAGGGTTGCTTTGAGTGTAATAAAGAAAAAGTCTCAAGTCCAGATGATTTCATTAGGGCTGTATTTTAGGTATGATGAGATGAGATGAAAGATGCTCTAATGAGGATGTTTCAGGAGTTCTTTTCATAATCGGCGGCTAATGCAATTACAAAAGCTACATACTTGTAGGTTACCCGGAAAAAGTTAATTTTTTAATTTGAAGGATTTTAGGCCTACTATTTTAGTTACAACTTACAAGCCTGCATAAGATCATAGCAAAAGTTTTATTAGTTAGTCTTAGGGAGTGCTTACAAGTGATACTATCTTAAGGTTCCAAGGGACTTTTGTGAAAGACAGACATATTATGGATGCAACTCTTATGGCTAATGAGGAAATTGAAGGTTATAGAGTAAGAGGGGAGGAGGGTATTGTGTTGATAATTAACTTTGAGAAAGTATATGACTATGTGGACTTTCTGGATTTTATACTGGAAGTAAAAAGTTTTGAAGATAGGTGGAGGAAATGGATTGAGGGGTGCTTGGAGTCAATGAGTTTCTCGGTTACCTTGGATGTTAAACTAACGACAGGTTTAAGGAATCTAAGTGCTTAGGTTGGGGATCCTTTATTGCCTTTTTTATTCTCTGTGGTGGTAAATGGGTTGAGTACGTTAATGAAAAGGGCAAAGAGGTGTAATTTGACTGAAGGTTTTGTGATTAGGAGGAAAATCATATCATTGTCATTGCAAATGATCTTATTTTCTTTTCTTCAGGATTATATAAGAAATTTAGGAGTCTAAAAAGGATTGTTGAGGTGTTTGGCGTAATTTTTGGCATTTAGGTTAATATGGAAAAGACCTTAATTGTGGGAATAAATTCTCGTAAAGGGAAGATAGGTAGGTTGATTTTTCTGTTGGTGGTTGGCATGTAAAATATTTAGGTTTCCTTTTAGGTAATAACTCATTGTCTAAGACTTTTTGGGATCCTTGTAGTCGGAAAATACATGAAATTTTATATGGGAGGAAGGAAACCTTTATTTCTAGGGATTGATTAACGTTTAGTTTAGTTTGTATTGGCCTATATTCCTATTTTTTTCTTGTCTAGTGGCAAGGACAATAGAAGTGATGATGATAGATATTTTAGAGGAAGATTGTGGCAAGTGATGGAAGGATTATTTGATTTGGTGGGAGGCTTAGTCTAGGCCTAAGTTTGATGGTGGTCTTTTTGTGGGAAATTTGTTGGATAGGAATGTAATCTTGGTTTGGAAATATCTTTGGAGATTCCCACTAGAGCATGATTCATTGTAGCATTCTGTTGTTAGTAGCGAATGAGGGTTATAGGAAAATGGGTGGAGTGCTATTGCGGTTAAAAGGAGCGATCTTTGGAGTTCATTTTTTAGAGGTTACCTTGTTTTTCACAAAGGTCAAGTTCATTGAATGAATTGGTCAATGGTTCTTTTTTGGGATGATATCTAGGTTGGGGAGTATTCATGTTTTAGTCTATTTTCTCGTTTTTATTGTATTTTTTGGTTATCATAGGAAGCTTATTGTATTTTTAAGGCCTTACTCTCATCCGCTTTCTTGTGATAGGAGTCTAAATGCTAAGAAACATTCTTGGTTGCTGATAGTTCTTTCTATGGCTATTTGTTTTACCTTGTCCCAAAATTCTTCGCTTAAAAAAATGTTGGATTAGTGATTAGCAGGTATTTTGTCATGTAAATCCTACTTTGTGTCCGGCATTGATGATTCTTCACTTCCATAATTCCATTTATTATTAAAGATTTGAAGGTCAAATTGCCTTTAGGTACAAATTTATGCATAGATAATTGCTCATGGTTAGTGTTGGAAGTATAAATTCTTATGTAATACCATCTCTAACAACTTAAATTGTTGGAGTAGATGGTTGCTTAATATGGTATCAGATTAGAAGGTCTTATGTACGAATCTCGTCGCCACCCTAATTATTAAAAGACTTTTACATGCTGGGCCTAAAATTTAGCCTACACGTGATGGGGTATGTTGAAGTACAAATACTTGAATTACACCCTCTCTAACAACTTAACTTTTTGGAGTAGATAGTTGTTTAATGGTAAGATTCATACAATGATGTATGAATTGCGTTCTCTACTTGTCTAATTCTTTGTCTAGTACATTTTGTTCGGAGCGTAATTTCCGGTGCACCAACCTTGCCATATGTTAAAATCAACCTTTATTGATATCTTTTAATGCCTCTGTCTTGAACTGTGAAGCTTTTTTGACATTTGAACTTGATTTTTTCGTGTTAATGAGATATTTTAGTCCTCATAAGCTATCAAAAGATTTATTGACAGTATTGATTGATCTGAGAATTCTGATTAATGTACTATATGCTCACAGTCCTGCCATCGGTTGGCATTGGAGCCCTTTCTGCTAGGGAGGCTGAAGGAAGAGCTAATATCTCTGCAGGAGATAAGGTATGAATATATTGACACTTGTTTGATTTGTCACTGACAGTTATGTACTTTGAAGCTCACTGTTGTTTTCGTAATGACTTTTCAACTTGAGTTGGATGGTGGACTGATCATGACAGATGACAATATTCTTAATTATACAAAGCAGAAAAAATTTGTCCTTCATTAGATTGGTCTTCCTATTGAGTTCTTCCTTGCTATGAACATCTTTACTTTAATAACCAGTATAAGCCTTTGGTTTCTCCCCTTTTCCAGTCTTTCCTTATTTATTTGAGTGAAGAAACATGGTTATGGCCATCAATTTGGTTTTCTGTGAGATAATCGGGTAACAAGATCGTGTAGATTTTTTAAAATGTGCAGAGGATGCTCCCGTCCAAAATTCAGCAATTATATATGTTCTCTATTGTAGTTTTTTGATTGACCACAAGATTTTGTTATTATTTTGAAAACCAGTAAAGACCTTAAAGGGCCTTCATTTATTTTCTAGATCATTGTGATGCTTTTTCCTGAAACAAAATGAATCCATAAACACATCAAGAGACCTACTTTAATAAATTATATTTATACTCAAAATTGATTGGCAGAATTTTCTTTCTTTTTCATTTTCTCAAACCTATGTGGGTTTAATATCAGATATGGTGTTCCCAAAACTTCCATGGTAAAGCATGGACCGCGCCTAGTTTTGCTAGCAATAGAGTATCGTCAATTAATCATAAGCGTTATGGTTATTATTGGATTTCAGGAGGCCCATAAGCTACTCCAACCGGTGGACAAAACTCTAAAGACAATGGCAATAGAATTTGCTGAGTACCAGGTGAAGTTGTATATTTTGGTTCTCCTAGTTAGCTATGGTTCTGAATTTCTTCCCATGGAAATGTAATCTATCAATATTAATCTTATTTTCTTGACATTTCCAGGTCTGTGTTGATGTATTTATTACTTCCCAATCTTATGTCGACATTGCGTCCATCTCTGTCATTCCAAGAACTACTGGAGGGCAGGTATTCCTGAATGATACGTTTACTGTTCTAGCTTTGTATTCACCATAAGTTTTAAATTGGTAACGCCCATGCTTTTGTCTGGACAATTTGTTGAAAAGCATCAATTTGCATCTTTCACTACTGTGAATATTGCTTTTGTCAGGTTTTTTCATTTAATTTGTTTATCTCATAGCTGGTTGCCCTTCATTTTAAAAGGGGCAGGCAGTTGGAAAAGGCTGTGATTGTCTTATGTAAGGAACTGCTGGACTGCTCATAAGAAGCTTGCTAGATGTAGCATTACTCATGTGCCTCCTCATTCAAATCCTTTGCAATGATGATTTTTTTTGTTTTTGCTTTCTCGGTAGAGTTTTATTCTTGATGATCTGATTCTTGGAAAAGATTTATTTCTTGCCAGTCTAAAAACTGATGAATAAATGAATTTGCAATTGGTGTCAATGCCTTCCTGTCTTACTTTTTTGCAACTTACTGCCTACTAGGTCTTTTTGGGGTTCTCCAGGGTCAAAAGTCTATGATACCTTTGGAGAGCTAGAGTTAGTATAATGGGAAGTCTGAGGCCTGATTGTAGATGGGGCAATCTCTCTGGCCAAAGAAATATGTTTTTTGTCGGTCTCGTTGGAAATCTTAGAGACTTTAAATTTCATCTCATTGTTTCTGCAGTTCACCTCTTTCATGGGCTGCACACTCTTTTGTTGTTTCTTCTATTCACTTACGAATGAAAGATCAATACTTTAAATTTTCTCTTGTCTGCATGAACCGAGCACCAACTTGTTGCTGCCATTTGCCATTTGTTTCTCACCTTGGCATTGGGTTGTCGATCAGCTGGTGGAATATTTTCATGATTTGTAGAATCTGTTTATGTTCAACTAAATTCCATCATGAGTTTTTGGTTGTCCCTTCCATTTTTAACTCAATTGTGTATGAATGTTGTAGCTGCAAGTGGGGTGTTTTTGTAGTTTTCAAATAGAGCATGATAATCACTTTTTACACTTCATACAACTATTGACATTATAGAATGGCCACATGTTTTAGTTTGAGTTTGTTCCCCAGTATGTAACGAATTTTGGCATTGACCTTCTAATATGTCATAATCTGTTGAAGCATGGACATGGATGTGCTGTCATGCATATGACATTCATGCTAGTGTTCTAAAAAAAGATATATATGTGGCAGGGACATACCAATATATACATTTATGCCTTTTGTGCAAATCAGACAGTAAATCACGAAGACTTGTTTTATGTTATTAAAGTTTTTGACTTTCTAACTTAAAAGTGGAAATTTGTGTGACAATTTAGCATCTAAAGGTAATATGAATGAAGTTAGGCCGGTGGGATTTGATTTTTTGCCATGAAATGGGCTGGAGGTTAATGGAGGGGGTTACACATATAATGACGGCAGTAATCACAGTTGAAAGATTTCTAAGGCAGATTCAAAATTTAAAAACGAGTTTAAGAGGGATAATGAAGTCACTATGAATGGAAAAGAGGCTGGCTTTAGAAGAGGAAAAGGAAGTGGGCTTCACTGGTGCAGGGCCCTCTAAAACTAGACATTTAATTGAAGTCCAGCCCAGAAGCAAGGATTTAAAAGAACAGAGGCTACTGTCGATGGGCCGGGGAATTACATTAGTGTTGGTTTGAAGGGCCGTGACAATTTGGATCAAGCCCATTCTTATCATAAATTTGACTTAGAGGATTTAAGGGTCAATCTGGGAACCTTAGACTCTAGTGCTCAGAGAGTTTTTGCAAGTTCTCCTTGGTCGATGCCTTTGTCAATTCAATTCTTTCAGGAAGAGGAGCGATTTGACCTGATGTGTGTGCAATCAAAGGTCATGTTTCCAGGCCAAACCGACACAAGCTATACCCAATCTACTAAAAATAGATTGGTATATGCAATTTTTAAAGAAATGTTGGAAAATCATAGAGCTTTTTCCGGATATCTCATTTTCGTAAAGAATAATTGGATAATGATTTGTTCGAACATAACAAAGCTTGTGAAGAATTACGTCTCATGTAAGGACCATAATTTTGTTTTGGTGCATTATTTTGGACACCTAGAAAATAGAAACGTTTCGATAATATTTTGAAAACGCTTCAAAAAAAAGAATGAAAATAAATAAAATTTTTGAGAATTTATTTTCAAAATATTAGTCAAAATATACCAAAATATATTGAAACACCTCCAAATATTGATGAAAAATGCTGAAACAACTTGAAATACTTTGAAATATTCCGAAACATCGGTTGATGAAAGAGGAGGGCAACATTACCCACTACTAAATATACCACATGTTGATAAAATGGACATTGCTGAGACTACCCTTAATCTACATACATAAAATAAAATTGTGGTTCATGTACAAACTAAAGTGTCTTGATAACGAAGTTTTATGTGGCCATCCATGATCATGACAACTCATTAGCTAGATAATGAAAATGAATAAAAATTTTGAGAATTTATTTTCAAAACATTCCAAAAAATTGGTTAAAATATACGAAAACATATTGAAACCCCAGTAAATATTGATGAAAAATATCGAAACATCACGACACATTCCAAAACATCTTGAAACATTAGAATTTAGATTCAATTACTAAATCGTTTTGGTCTCCTTGGAAATGGAAACGTTGGAAATGGAAACGTTTCAATTGTTTTGACCATTTTCAAATAAAATTTTGATCCTTCATCTAATGATGAAGGTTTCTCTTTAGTAGGCTATCTATGTTTTGCATCGATGGTGGATGATTCTGTAGAGGACATAGGGTAATTATTTGAGTAAGATTTGGAGGATATGGCAGGTACTCGTAATTGGAGAACACAACAAGTACTGATACTTTTACACTCAGAAGCGAAACATAGAGTTTTACAAAACAGGGGCCTATAGAGAAGACAAGAAAGATCATTTGATTAGATGAGACTTGGTATCCTCGATCCAAATTTAAGGAAGGTCTTGTGTTGGGCAACTTGACTACCAGGAATATTTCCTTACATGTCAAATGGTTATGGAGATTTTCCATTGAGATTAATAGTTTATGGCATGCGGTGATTGAAAACAAGTACTGGATTCAAGATTTCAAAGTAAATAAAAAAGGATGTTCTTGATGTCCTTTGAAGTTCCTTTCTCAAGGATGATCAAATTCTTCTATTCATGTCAAATACTTTATTGGTAATTGGGAGATAATTCGTTTTTGGGAGGATACTAGGAGGGGAGGGGAGGGGGGGGGGGGTTGTCTCGACTTTTGCTTCATAATTTTCATATTTCAAGTTTGTTTTCTTCCTTATCTGCCCCAAGTAGTGAAATTTTGATTTTTTAGGAAGTTGAATGATAGAGAAGTTATTGAGATGTCCTTTTTTTTAGGTATTCTTGGTAATGTGTTGTTGAATCCTCCTCCTCCTTTGAACTGAAAAAGGTGGATCATTTATTCTTTGGAGAGTTCTCTTGTAAATCTCTCCTCTTTTTTTTTTTAGTTTTTGGTTGATAAACCATGTTTCCCCATCTTCCAACACTCGTTTATGATTTTGATTTTGAAGTCTAAGGCTCCCTTAAAAGTTCAAGTTTTTGCTCAGTTACTTGCACATAAGGAACTCAATACTGATGAATTGCTCCAAAAGAGAAGACCTTCCTATTTTGCTGCACTCGCAATGTTGTGCTTTGTGCAATAATAATGATTGTACTTCAATTTTTGAGAGTCATTTTGAGGGATTCGAGTCAAGTAATAAAACCTAGACTCTGTGGAATTTGTGTGGTTTTAGCATTGTTATGGTTGAAAAGGTATAGCCGAATTTTTGAAGATAGAGATACTCCTTGGCAAGATTTATGAGAAAAAATCATTTTCGTGGCTTCTACGGCCAAAGATTTTGAAGGAATATCGTTCTTTTTTATCAAGGATCATTGGATCCAAGTGTGCTTTGATGGTTGAGAATGGAATGTCTTGTTTTGTATTCTAAGTTAACTTTATAGTTTCCTTTTTCCATTTTGAGGACTCCTCCTCTCATGTACTTTTATTTTGACATCAATAATATTCTATTGTTTCCTATCAAAAAAAAAAAAAAAGTGTGACAATTTAAGTTAATGTTACAGTGCTAAGTTTCCAACAATTATACTACATTACTTTTGTGAAATGTTCCATCTCAATAATGTTCAAAAATTAATGGACGCATGCCATAGCAAGTTCAAGAATTATTGGCTATGTGCTCAACATTAAAAAAAAATAAAAAATCATTTCATGTTAGGCTTATGTTTAGCAAGTACCCAATATGTGCTCAATAAATTGGAGTATCAGTATGTGATACTGAAATGGCTCTGTTGTTGAAGTGTTTGAGCTTGATAGATTATATCGTACTCATAAATATTAAGATTTTGTTCCTCGGTGTCATCTGGTGACATTTTTCTGAGTAGTCTATAGTGCTTCAATCTTTGAAATTCAGATTAGTTTGGGTGATATTGAGATTAGTTTGGAAATCAAACGATGAACTTTTATACATCAGAGGTGGTGGTTTTTTTAATCAATAGTAAAGAATTTTTATTGATAGAATAAATAAAAAGTACGTGGGAGCGAGAAGTCCACCAACAAGGGGAAAAAGTAAGACTTAAGAGAGCGAAAAATAAAAAATTGCAAATTGCAAATTACATATACATTTCTAACCTGCCCTAATCAAGAAAACCGGGGTACCCACAAACTCGGGAGTTGCTGAAAACTAAAAGGAAGCCAAGGTGGGAATTCTATCCCACAAAGCTTCTTAATTCTAAAACTTATCTTCAAAGATTCTGTATCAGAGGTGTTGTTTCCTGGTTTCTTTTCTTTTCTTCACATCATTGTCCTGTGAGTTACTTTTTGATGTTGGAATTTTCATATCAATTTTGTCTTTGCTTTCATAGACAGATGTCTTAATTTTTGGACTCTAATTTTTTGACAGGTGTATTACTATTATCCTTTCTCTGCCCTATCTGATCCTGCTAAGCTTTACAATGATCTTCGATGGAACGTCACAAGACCTCAAGGTTTGGAGGCAGTCATGCGTGTAAGATGCAGCCAGGTGAGTTTGTAATTTTAGTGAATTTTGGTTGCCATTTGTCTTCTGTAAAGTGGAAAATAACTCTATTTTGCATTATCTATTATTAGTCAATGCTAAAATAAATTATAAGTGGATAAATTTCACCACAATTCAGTTAACTTTTCCCTCTTTTTTTTAGGGTCTCCAAGTTCAAGAATATTATGGAAACTTTTGTAAACGCATTCCGACAGATGTGGACTTACCAGCGGTTCGTCTTCCTTCTCTGAGTGTGTGTGTATGTGTGCGCGCGCGTGCACGTGCACGTGCATGTGTGTTGGATTGATATTTCTTTGGGAGACACATAGTCATTCATGCGCTATTGAATGATGCTTTAATCTTGTCTATTTTGTCAAAGTTGCGTACTGTGGAAACACAGACTGTGTGTTCTAGGCTGATACTGAAAGTTCATTTGTGGTTTGAAGCATATACTAGAGATTGTTTGAGAGATACTTGCATTGACTTTTATACCTCTTCTTGAGTTTTTTGATAAAATTTATCTGTAACCATAGTCACCGTGTATCTAATGCTTACTCTTGGAGAATGCTTTGGAAGATAAACTTGGTGAACTTAAGCCGGATTCAGTGGTACTGGTCAACTGGTTCCTTGGTTTGTATATCTACGGAGAAACATTTAATTTGTTCATGCTGCCATAAGTCATCTTGTATCATTAAATAGTTGGGAGTAAATGACTGCTTTTTAGTTGGCAGTTATCTTGTTTCGGCCTTAGGTCTTACAGCTATGGTATTGTAGACATATCTAGTAAAGTTTTCTCTTTCTTCAGCTTTGGCTTTCCTCCGTCGTCCTCTTTACACTTGGTTGCTTGAGCCTTCGTCTTTCGGCTTTAGGACTATCTCAGTCCCATAAATAGGTATTTAGTGAGTGACTCATTCTGTCTTTAGTTTCAGTTCATTACGGCAGTTGTTAGTTTTGTCTGTTAGCTGAGTTGAATTTAGGCCAGCAAATTGTGTAGCCTAATTACCCACTTCTTGTCTTGAATCATTATTACACTGAAATTGGAGTGAACCTTGATTCCTGACCAAGCCCTTGAATGGCATGACATTGGGCACTCATAACTGGTGATAGGATATTGAACCTGATTCCCTATTTCCGTCATTCTAACAAGTTTGGGCTTCACTACTATTATATATTTGTTTTCTATCTCAGGAACATTCCCTTTGCATCAAGCTCATCAATATTGAAGACCACATCCACAACCAAGCAGAAATACTCCATTATTCCTGAAACTCTTCCAAACTTACCATTTTTAAATGGAATATTGGCCTTATTCTATATGGCCTAATTTATTCTATATTACAACAGTGCTAGTTGACTTTAATTAATTAAATGAGCTGTTAGTTAGTAACTTGAAGTATCATAATGCAAAATGACTTGACCTTAATATATAAAATTCGAAAATCAATTCTTATTAGGCAGGCTTAATAAAATGGAAATTAAGGCAGAGATGACATCCATGACAGCTGTTCATTTTTGTTTTGAGAAAGGAAGAATCCATAATATATTCCTTGTGGTTGTATATTCTTACCCTTGACAATCCTTGAAGGCAAGAGGAGAAGAAACTTAAACCTAACAATAAATATTTGACTGCCTCTTCTACCTTATTGATGTGTTAACTCTTCCCTATTCTTTCTCCCAAATGTTAAACATGGTTAGATGAAGAGATAAGACTCCAAAGCAAATTTCCTTTAAGGCCACATTTCTTTGTGTACCTCTTGAGGTGCAATTCCAATGGAGCTGGAACTCAGGAGAAGTTCCAGCAAATCAAGAATGAAATCGAGGTTGAACCACTGAAGGAGAAATTTGGATGGATGAGAGATGATTAACCACATCCTTTGAAATGTGCAGAGGTTGCACCTTTTGTTAATGCGAGCCGTCGTCAAACAAAGTGATGCATATTTGCATCTGCATGAATGGTTTAGGTTAAAGATGATCAATAATGGTCATTTTTAACTACAATTAGCTAAGAAGCAAGGATACAAACACAGTATATAGATATGATGCGACACAAATATGCGGATACAATATTTCTCAAACAAAAAGGATACCGGCACGTTGGGAGCACATTACAAAATTATTGTTTCATATATATCATGTGGTATAGATTATCACAAATATAAAAAAAATTATTTTGGTACCCAATCGAAATTCAATTCTTTATGAGAAGTAAATCTCATGTCTAGTCAACCGGAGTGGATTTAATCAATAGTCACCGTTTTTTTTGTAGAAAATGTGGAGCAAACTAACATAGTTATAATGATTGCTCCCATCTCCTCATTTCCTCTTCTTTAGCAAATATCTTTTGTTTTTATTTAAGAAGCATGGACACGGATATGACACGACACAGACACTCCGACATGACATTTTTCAAAAAAATAGGATACGGACACGTTATAAAAAAAATATATTTTATATATAACATTATATAATTTATTGCAAATATAGTGATAATGATATACAATTCATAAAAAATTCAATATTTTATGATAAGTAAACCTAATGTCTAATCATCTGTGTGAATTTTTAGATTAAAGCATCCTCACTATAGTCAATAATCATCATTTTTTTTAGACAATGTGTACATATAATTTAAATAATTGCTCTCATTTTCTCAATAATTCTTTTTTAAAACTTTTATGCATCTTTTATTTTTATTATTATATTTGGGGTACAACTTTAACATGTCTAGTGTTAGTAATTATATGTTCTCAAATTTTTGAGCTTTGTTAATCACATTTCAATATGTCTATTTACTAGTAGACACGTTCTAAAAAAGTGTCGGACACGTTACTAAAGAAGTGTCTGAAATTAAAAATTTATCATTTAATTATGGACACAGATAAAAGAGTATCGGACATGTGTTCGAAGAGTGTCGGTGTCTGACACGTGTCCGACAAGGATACGTCTCTTTCTCGAGAGTGTCCGTGTTTCATAAGTTCTTATTAGCAAATTTGAAGTATAACTTGTAGATAACTAGTCTTAACAACGCTATATCCTTTTGCAGTATAAGATAATTGTTTGTCCATTTCCGTGAGATAGTCATTTGTCATTTTCTTAGCCTTTGTTAATTACATGTCAACACATTCTCATATTTTTGGTAGTGGACACGCCACCAAAGGAGTGTTGGACTGGTGTCATGAATTTAAATTCTATCTTTTAATTATGAACATGAATAAAAGAGTCTCAAATACGTGTTCGAGAGTATACGAGAAGTTTCGGTATCTGACACGGATATGTCACCCTTGAAAGAGTGTTTGTGCTTCTTAGATAGTTAGTCTAAAGCATTTTTTTAATTAATTGCAATATGGATTGAATTACCTTTCTCGAAGTCTTGTTTTATCTTGTTTGCTTCTCTTATTACTGCTGAATGCATGCGTGGTTGTGATTTATTTATATATTTACTCTTCTTTTTTGCATTTGAATTTGTTTGATTTCTGACTAAACTTTCTTTCCACAGATCGATTGTGATAAAACAATATTGGTAACCTTGAAACATGATGATAAATTGCAGGATGGCTCAGAATGTGCTTTTCAGGTATTAATTAACATAATCTGTCTTCTTGAATTAAGTTTGCAAAACTTTAGGTTGAGCAATTTTGTGGTTTGGCTTCTTATATTCTTTGTAAAGCATGAAAAGTACTTGTTGTGGAGCTTTTAATCATTTCAGCGTTTTTATTGCTCAGTGTGCTCTTCTTTACACCACTGTCTATGGCCAAAGAAGAATCCGAGTGTCTACCCTGTCTTTGCCATGCACCACCATGCTGAGTAATCTATTTCGCTTGGCTGACTTGGACACTCAATTCGCTTGTTTCTTGAAGCAAGGTAGTTGATTTTATCCCATAATTACCGTGCCTCTCTCTTTGTTGATTTATTGCTTGTATGCCTGTTTTTGCCTGGATTACAAGGAGCTTTCTTTTGTTCATGTCCAACATCATTGCAAAGTAAACTAAACTTCAGACGTGCTCTTTGCTCAGACTTTTGTTACCTGTTAAATAGTGCATTTGTTCTACTTGTAAAGAGAGCTTATATCACATATCGAATAATTAGGATCACCCAAGGTTTGTTTATATACTTGAGAGGTCACTCCACCCATTGTCAATTGACTTTGGGTTGGATGCTGGTATCAGAGCTGAGCTGTGGGATCAGTGGGCCAAGTCTCTTACGTATTTGAATTCCCGGTATACATGGTTAGTTGTTTATTTATTTGTTAGCCCCACGTGTGAGCCTGGGTCCCATATGATGGGGGTGTAAAAAGAGCTTGTATCACACCTTGAATAATTAGGATCATCCAAGGTTAGTTTATATGCTTGAGGGGCCACTCCATTCATTGTCAATTGATTTTGGGTTGGATGCTTTATTATTACTCTACCGATCATATCTGTTCTTCTAGAAGTTTATACAATTCTTTTTTTGTTATTCGTGAGAATGATGCAAATTGTACCCTGAAATTTTCTCTTTTTTGTAGTGGCAAATGAAATTCCCTCCAGTCCACTATTCCAAGTCAAGGAGCAAGTAACAAACCATTGCATAAACATTCTGCATTCATACCGTAAATTTTGTGCTACTGTATCCTCAGCTGGACAACTTATTCTTCCTGAGGCCCTTAAACTGTTGCCCCTATATACGCTTGGTATGTCTCTTGTTGCTTGTAAATCATGCCTGAGTTATTTCAGTGTTATAGCATTTCTATTTTGTTAGTTTTTTCCGCTTACCTTGGTATGGAGTAGGTTGAATCTCTCACATGCCTTTAGTTGCTACCTGCTTTGGACAATTAGTGATGCATTGTAGAACTTTTGATATCTCTTTCCTTTTAAAACAAGATTATTTTGTAAATATGATAGAATTTCCGTTTACCTACCAAAAAAAGTAATAGCATTTCCATTTATGGATCAAACACTTCTATTTTTTGGTGGATTGACTTCTTCATATCTTGTATGATAATGTTGTTCCATGATCTTTCTCTGAGGAACAGGCAAAAAAGAGGATAAAAGGACACCAATTTAAGATTCTTAATGATTATAGGTCAGATCTAAAGAAGTGCTAAGCTTAGATGCTAAACCATGCTACATATCTGTTCAGTAAAGCAAGTAGAATTTTTCTGCTATTTAGTTTTTGATTAGATAGTATAAAAAAGACACCTAAAAGAAAGGGGCCAAACACATTTACAGTCAGGATACACTCCAAAAGATAATTAATTATGATAATTATCTACAGCTATATAGGTTATTTTTTATAACAAAACCATGAGAAGAAATGAAAGATTCTAGATAAGCCTCCACATCAAAGAAAAGTGTGTTCAAAACTACACTTTCAAGACTTGAAATAAATTGCTCCACACCCTAAGAAGCTCTTGCATCCTCTGATGATAAAGGCACCAGCATCAACATGAAGGTGCTGCCTCCCATATTCTGTTACCCATTCTACCTGGAAAATGCTAACCCTTTGAAGTGTCAAAAGCATGCTTTAACTTTTCTTAGCCATGCTACAGTAAATCAGAAGATGACTTAACACTCTTTTCTGCTTCTTTACACACAAAGCACCAGTTCCCCTAAATCTTTTTTCTTTTCCTTGTGTATTCCCCATTTGAACTGTGATGTACAGCATTTAGAGATCATTATGCAAGCAGGGACTTTACCATCCTTAAGAAAGCCCAAGCTGAGATCAAATATAGTGGAGACAAAATCATGGCCGTCTTGCTTATTCACCCTCTTAAGTCAGGATAATAGTTTTTTAAATGGAATAATATATCGTCCAACAAATGTTCTTTTATGTTGTACTACCTAAATTACCTCTAAGTGATGTTTATTGACAAAATATAAGATCGAGTTTTTTGTAGTTTTGAGTGGCAAGAATGTTTTGCAGAGGCTTTAGTTAGACATTGAGACAATGACTACCAGTTATTGCGTGTCTTATATAAATTAGAGCAAGAACCACAATTTGTTCCTCAAGTTCCTTCCTTCATAGTCAAATATGATGATACGCTTTGGTGATGTTACCTACCAAATAAAAGGCCTGCTAGGTGATCGAAATCGCTCAGGTCAGTGAGGAGTCACCTACTCACCTACTCACTCCTTATCTAGAATGCAAACGAAGAGAATTGAAATTGTTTGTGTGTGTTGTTGAAACTTCTTCTCTTTACATAATCTATAAAAGTTATAAGTTGATTTAGAGGGATACTAATGTAGGTTGAGAAAAAGAACACGCAGGACATTGAAAAGAGGTCATGAAACACAAAATTATCTAAGGAGAATAATCAACTAAGGATCAAACTTTTGTTTCGGTGTATTGTTTCGGTTACCTAAGAATCGAAAATATTTCGATGTGTTTCGAAAATGTTTCAATATGTTTCGGAAACATAATGAAAAAAATAAAAAATTTAAGAATTATTTTTGTAAAACATTGTTCGAAATATATAAAAGTTTCTTGAAATATTCTGAAATAATTGTGCTAATGCATTAAAATATTACAAAACATCTCAATATATTATGGAATACCTCGAAATATTAGAATTTTGATTTTATCATTGATTTGTTTCTGTCTCCTTGGAAACGGAAATGTTTTTGATGTTTCAACCGTTTCGAAATGAAATTTTGATCCTTAAATCAACTCAAGTTCAACTTTGATAAAAAGAATAGGAATTGCATGATTATTTATAGACCAAGTCTTCCAATAACACAGAGTACTCCTATCCATGGTTAGGACTTTGTAAACAAGTTAATAGGTGGATTAGATTCATCCTACTGAATCCTAATTAATAAAGTAATAATAAAATAAAAAAAATTAAATTCAAAATTATTTAATTCCTTTTCAATCCCCATCATTAACCTTGTAGTTGAATGTTGCAACACCATGTAATATACATTTTTTACACGAAACCTCATACTCTATATGCCGTTTATGATGTTCGTATCCTTTGCAAAATTATGATCCTTCGTATTTGTCTCATCCTTCAGGCGTTGGCCACTAGCTGACACCTAGAGCTTGCTAACTTTGACCAACTATAATTTCATAGTTCGTCCTACTTGGATGAGAAAAAAACTGTTCTCTGAATGATTGTGACAGCAAAAATATTTCAAGAAATCTAGAATAGGTTGGCAAAATACATCCTCAATTTGGATAGGATTACAATAATGCTCGAGTGAGACTGTATTGAAAATCACTCTGAAACGAAACAACATCTCAATGTTTTACAGTACAGTCAATACTGAAAGGAGGAGATGAAGGAAGCATAATAACTGGTGTCGAAAAAGTAACAACCACATTTGTAGAAACCTTTTTCAAAGCTTCATCCGTACAAACACTCTTTGAGACTCACTTATTATTATCAGTTGATGCTGTACAAGAAGAATGCTTTTCAATATTAGACAATTTCAACTTATCTTCGATCAAATAGGAGCTTATAGTGGTGGAGCTTCTGGTGTAGGGACTTCTTCAACCACGTGTTCATTAGCAGTTGAAGAGGTGAAGCTTATTTATTTCTTTGTCTTAGTTCCATGAATAAGAGCCTGTACAGTTCCATTTAGTGAATCTACTGATGCTTTGAGTGAAGCTAGCATGCTCATGCGGGTCCATACAACTGTCAATGAACGAGGTGTTGAATCACTCCTTGTACCACTAGCTCCACCACCATCACTAGCTCTAGTCTAATTGAATGATGAGCCTGAAAATTCTCCTCCTTTTCTTGGATTGATTGTTACTGCTTACTGATAAGCTAAGACAAGCTAAGCAAATTTCGAAAAATGTTACTACAGTATGGTTGTTATATTTGCACACCAGTTTTTTTACTTTCTTCATCTCTTTCATTCTGTATGGACCAGATTTTGAATGTTGTAAAGCAATGAGATATTGTTTTGTCTCATGGTGATTTTCAATATAGGATTACTAGAGAGTGCATTGTTGTGATCCTATCCTAATTGAGAATGTAGTTAGGCAACTTGTTTTTAAAATCCCTGGGAATACTTTTGCTTTCACAACTCTGCAGAGAAAGAGTTTTTTTTTAAGCAGGGGAGAATTGATGGGGATTGAAAAGAAATTGAATGAAGTTGAATAGAAGATTTGTAATTTACTGTTTAGTTTAGTATTATTTTTCTAATTGGGATCTATTAGGATTAATCTAATTATTTATTGGATTACATAAAGAGTATTTATCAAATTAGGAGTGTTTGGATAGTTTTCGATAAAGTTTTGTTAAGACATTACTTTTGGTTTTAGTAGACTTGGTCTGTTAAATATCATGTGGTCTCTATTTTGGCCAGAGTTAAATGTCAGTTGATTAGTTTCTGTGGAGAATTATATGTTTCTTATTCTAATCCTTGTGAGGGCTTGATCATGTCCCCTTCCCTCTTTTTTCTTCTGTCTTCTGTTATGTCTCCTTTCCTTTCTAAATCAGAAACTTTTGTTAGTAAACAATATCATTCATTTTTGCCTTATATGACAAGGGCATTCAGTTTGGTTAGTACTCCCACTGTGCATGGGGGTTTTAGTTTATGTCATAAAGAATTGAGGAGCTTTCAGAAGTATATGAACATATTCATGTAACCCCTTGAACATGTGAAGTTTCAGTCCAGTGTGAAAAGGCTATGTATTTTGTATGTCGGGGGTAGTCTTGGAATTATGTTGAGCTTTAATGACGATAATGGCTACAAGACATTATGTTTGAAAAGTATTTACTCTTAATTTGAGGTGCGAATAAGCAAAAGGTACTGTGGGAATCGACCATCATTTCTTGTATTAGTCAGTTTTGAATTAAGATTAGGGCATAAGATTAGGGCAGTTCTGTATGTGAACATCTATTTTAAAGATCATGGGAGATTTTGAGTGTCATGTGACATAATTATGGACCTTACCTAAATCCTAAATGAAGGGCCTAGGGGAAGTCTTCGCTAGAGCAACTGTAGAGTTTTGTGAAAGGGTTGATCCATGTTGTATTCAGCAATCTGCAGATATTGACGTACTTTTACCAGAATTTTTAGCTTGCTACAACAGCTATTATCCTTTCCCTTATTGTGGGATTAAGTGGTCTTGAAGCTAACATTTTGGCACAGTTTAGTGCTCCGATTTCCTGCCTAGTTAATTTCTTTGATTCGACAGTGAGGTGGCTGGAAGGCAGTGGTTTCAATTAGGACAGGGGTTCACTCTGCGTGATTGGTGGTGGGGTGATGGGGGTGGGTGGTGGTTTGTGGGAGGCAAGTGAGGGGGAGATGTTGGTGGTCTCTCTCTCTATTTTCATTACTTCCGTCTGCCGACAAATACTGACAGGAGGTGTGAGTGAAATTTCATGTAAGGCAGGGTGTGTTGTTGAACATGGGCCTATCTACAGAGTTGTGGATAAAATTTACCCTAATTTCTTCTATTCATGAACTGAATTGCGTAGAAGCGGAATCCCATGACCCAGCAAGAAAAACCATTCTTAGGGATCCTTGAAGACCACAAACTTTCCAAGGAATACCAAACACAGCACTCTAGTGTAAAGAGTAGTAGGAGTTGCACTGAAAAGACCCAATCCTTTGTGCCCTTCCACCAAATAGCATCAGGTCTAGTTGAAACTTATATCAAATCAAATGGTTTATTGATTAATGGGTTGCTACTTGACATTAGATAATTAAGCGATTGTGAGCTTATATATATGCTTCTTTTGGTTGTACCTTACTTCCTTGGTTCTCATCTACCATTATGTGTCCCTTCTGTAGAGAGAAGAACAAGTTCTGTCTTGGAAAGACTATATCAGTTCCTTATCAGAAACTTACTGTTTGTGGATTGATTAATTGCATTGCTTTGCATTCTTTCAGCTTTGGTTAAAAGTACTGGATTGCGTTCTGATGGGCGTATTGACGACCGATCCTTTTGGATCAGTTATGTTTCCCCCCTCCCTACTCCTTTGGTGATCCCAATGGTGTACCCTCGGATGATATCGCTTCATGACCTCAATTCAAAGGTATGAGGTGCACTGTGTTGGTCTGCAGCTATGATTCCTAATATGCTCCTTACATCATTGGCATGTTATTGCTGAATGACAGATGGATGGATCTCTCATTCCTCCTGCTATTCCACCTTCCAGTGAACATGTGAATGATGACGGGATATATCTTCTTGAGAATGGCATGGATTGCTTAATTTATATTGGTAACTCTGTTGATCCTGAAATTATGCGGCAATTATTAGGCATTTCTTCATTTGATGAAATTCCAACTCAGGTAATACTGTATTTCTGTTTCTTTCCTTTTCATCTTCTGCCCCCCTCCCCCATTCCCCTTCTTTTTTCCTGGGGCATGCAATGGAAGACCTGTGACATCTTTAATTCTCGTCTAGGAACGACATGCTTTCAAATTATCGGTTGCTAAGTTTTGAGCATCCAAACTTGAATCTTAATGCATGACTTGTGGTTTGAAAATTCACAACTATACTCCAATGTGATCCCCATTAGAGAGAGAGAAATACCGGGTACAAACTTAAGCCTTCAACAATATTTGTACAAGTGGCTGACCCCAATCTTGAAGGATTCATTAATTTAAAGTCTACTTTAAATTCTTGTCTTGCCATTTTCATTACAAGAAGGCTTTTCTCAGTCTGAAATTGAATGATTCTGGTCCAGATTCAGCATCCTAATTTTCAAGTCAATTTTTTTGTTTCCTGGGACCCTGTCTGTTTGTTGCACTTGTCATTTATTGTTTTCTTAATTGAAGAACCATTATTAGTAAGATCTTGTCTCATTCTTGCAAAGAACTGCCAAAAAAGAGTTTGAACTCTTCTTGGAGTGCTCAGTTGTAATTTATCCTTCATTTTGGTCAATGATATGTGAACTTATATGAATTTTGCATCGATCAATTAAATGATTTTTCTGGGATAGCTACCCTTTTGTTCAGCTTGTGATCTTGTAACTTGTTTTTTTGTCTGCTCAGTTTGTATTGCAGCAATATGACAATCCGTTGTCAAAGAAGTTAAATGATGTCATAAATGAGATCAGGCGACAAAGATGTTCCTACCTCCGGTATGACTGATGTTTTGCGGGAGTTTATTATTCTTGAAGAGAATTCTTGCGTACTTTTCATTTATATGTTTTCTTTAATTTGCGGTTGCTTAGCATATATCGTTTGCTTTCTTGTTTTTTTTCAGCTTAAAGTTGTGCAAGAAAGGAGATTCATCAGGTTAGTGATGGATAACAACTTTTTATTGTAATGTAGGGTTCAACCATTTCATCTTTAAGTGGTTGTCATAACCTACTAAAATCACTTGCTCAAAAAAACTTTTCAATCATTTTTGTTTGTTTTATTTTCTGATTCCTGAAATCAATCTTTAGTCAATTGAAAAAAGCTTCCTCCCCCCAACCAAAAAAAAAAAGTTAAACTAGTATTTGCAGTTGTTTACAATGATTATAAGTTGGAGGCTTCTTATTAATGAATATGTAGATTGCATGCCAACATAACTTTTTCTGACCGCAAATGCTTCATATGCTGTAAGCAATAGCTAATGTGCACATTGACTGGGCTTTCTTCATTTGACCCTACTGACAAATTTTTAGTGTGCTAACTGTTACTTTGTAGTCATTTTATAGTTTTTTGTTTTTTGCACGTTTTCTCTTCAGTTTTCCTTTGTCTTTGTTTACAGGCTTGTTGTTCCTCTCATATATGATAGAAGACAAGACTCCTAGTGGCCTCTCCTACGTTGAGTTTTTAGTGCATATCCACCGGCAGATTCAAACCAAAATGTCTTGATAATTCGTCGCTTCCTTGGTTTTAGTTGCATGTTCTGATAACTAATACATGGGGAGCACTTACCAGGATCAAGTCGTAAGAAGTAACATTAGACTTGTTCACCTGCATTCTCACGAGAGGCCCCGAAGAAATATTATTGTTCTGGTGGAAAGAGGGAGAAATAGTTTTGTTATAGTGGGATTATTGGAGCTTATATATGAGAGAGGTAAATGGTGCGGATCAACAAATCACATGGGTTTTTTTTTTGCCCTTTTAGACATTTTATACGGTTGCTCATTGTCTTTTCCTGTTTATTAGATTGTGCTGGAAGGTGGAAAAGATAGTGTATGAACAAGTCTTTGATAATACCGTGATTTGAATGTATATTGCCCAGAATTAGTCCCATCCCAGCACAGACAGTTCATTTTCAGAAGGGACCAACAATGAATTGAGTTCACAGCTTGTTTACCAACTGGGTTTCTTTAATTGATTTTCCATGTCTCAATGAACTCTCTCCTCCTGCTTACATTCTCTTTAATAAACATCTCCTATCGTTTGTAGC